AGTTCTTCGTCAGAGGAAAAAATTAGTTAGTTTGACTTAAATTCCCCTGTGTCTTATGTATTTAAGACCTGTGACTCACCTTTAATTTAGTGACGTTTAATTTATTTTCCCTGGTTTTAATAATAATAGGTTTTTGTTTGTTTGTGTGCTTGTAAAGATTAACATGGGTTTCATCACCCAGAATATTGCACTTTGTTTGCCACATCTGTATGTTGTTTGATATAACTTTAAAAAAAACCCAGTATTTTAATATTGAGTCGCGCATGCAACTCAAAGGTGCTCCGGCATTTGCTGTAAATCTGTTACTCAAGTGCGTGCTAGGAAAAACACTGGTCAAATCAAAACATCCTGCAAATTACCCAGTTGGCACAAGTTGCACACGCCTCCCGAGGGGAAAAAGAAAGAAAGAAAGAAAAAAAAACCTGCGGGGAGCTCCACCGACCAATTCCAATTTATCCACAATTCCTGCTCAGATCTCTCCAAATGTTATTAGTTTTTAATCGGTGTGCTTCCGCGGTCGCAGAGAGAGGGGTCCAGATCCATGAGGGAGAGACTGGGACTGGGAGGAAGGGAGTTGATCCAAGAAAAATTCATTCTAGTGGACTGACTACCGAGCCCTGGGGGGCTGTTTGCGACGCATTCAGGGTATACAGTCTATTGGGGTCGGAGTTGGTCAGCAGTAACCAACGCGCAGGAAATGAAAAAAAATAAAAATAAAAACACGCACCAAATTTCCAGCGAAACCAATCTCTTATAGTAAGGGGGAAAAAGTGAGAATGAACAGTTTTTTTTGTAGGCTGACTTGGAAAAAATATCAGGAAGATGAAATTGTGAATCCCGAGGCTGTTTTATCAACAGACAACGGGGAGTGCAATTACAATTTTTGGATAGGGACTGATACAACGCTGGAAGGCTACTGGCCGGGGACAGAGAAGGAATCAAATTAGACCGAGGGCTGTGTAGCGACAGCGGGGCTAGCGCAGCCAGCGTCAGTTACCTGTAGGGCAGAGAGAGAGAGCTAGAGAGGCAGTTTAGGATGAGGTAATGCACATTGCTAGCTAGTGGTTACAGGTGATCAAGTCATCAGGTTATCCACAGTTTAAGCAACACCTGCTTGGCTCCTAGACTTCAATTAACTATTTAAAATAACGGATGAAGGGCAGATGCTGACCATGTTTCTCTTTACACTGCTATGAAATCAAGTCTAATTTTGTCCTCGGCTTCAAAATAAATCTTGGAGGTGTCGAAAACTTGGCTCGCGAAGATAATAAAAAAATTAATAATAATATAGCGAGACTATAATTATATCAAAAGGAAATTAATCATGCTAACAACTTAATGAGTTATTTCTACTTCAGTACCAGTATTCACTCATAATTTTTAAATCAAATTGATGCACTTGGTTCTTTACCATTATGTGTACTACTTTATTTGTGTTTCTTTATTTTTGACCTGAAGTGCAATAAAAAAAAATTATTGGTATTTCTTTGAGATGAATAGTTAAGTAAAATGAGCAGCAATTGCAGTTAGATAGGATTTTGTTTCAGCGTCATCAGATTCAGCACAGTTGATATTATGGATACTACTCCATTATTTAATATTATTTTGATATCGATATCGCGGATAGCAATTTTTTTAATCATATCGAAATATAGACATTTTTGATATTAAGGAGTCATATTGAATTTATCAAAAATATCAAAAATGCATCAGATTGTCGTCAAAATAAATCTCCCGTTTGTGCTTTTACTTTGTGTTTATCGTTTGCCGTATATTGAAATAGAATGCAGCAACTTGTGCTCGTGACTCAAAATAAATACATTACAAAATGCCAAACGGCGTCGCTTTGTGCTCTGCGCTCGCTGAAATTCGCTGTTTCCCCCAATGTACAACTGGACAAACTCTCAGTGCTGAGATTTGTTTTACAAAATGTGAGCAATATGCTCCAGAGAAAGCCATGGAAAATTGTGCCAAGATTTTTTTAATTTTTTTGTTATTAAAGAGTCATCTTTATGGTCTTTAACTTTTACATGGGATAATCGATAGGCCATATCAAATATTCTCGATATTGGATTTCTGATGTCTTGATTATTGACAATTCTGATATCAACGGTGCTTATGTCACATGCACATCAATAAGAACACTCATACACATGCACCAGTCTCTAAAACAAAACCTGAAGATAGTTGATACAAAAATAAACAACAGGTCTGAAATACCCAAGGAATGTTTTTGCACCGAAAATAGTTGCATGTCTCATCCTAGGATCCCTTTACACAAGGGTTTTGACTGGGTTAAACAGGATCAACACAGGATCTTGAGGACAGACAGTGTAGTCTGGCAGCAACACATTGACACCTCACTGCAACGGTGACAGCCAACAGTTAATGATCCGTGTAACAGTCCTGGACGCCATAAATCATCCAGAATTTCAATTTGCCAATGCTGGATATTCTTAAGGAAGGAGGGGCAAGTCGGTCCCGGATGGTTTATGCAGTGCTTCTATACTGACAGGTGCTAATGGAGTGTAGCACCATAGGGAAATTTGAAGTGGTGGTTGTCTTCTGCAGGTAATTTTGAAGGAAGAAAACATCTGATGGATACAGTGAAAATGATGCGTTCAATTTGCTCCCCCGTGCTATTTTTCGAGTTTCATCCTGCAAAATCTATTTTGTTGTTTAAATCGCTCTTTCTTTGCACAAAAAAATTAATCACTTTTGAATGAAAACATGAAACAAAACAATCTGCCCATGATTGTTATGGAATAATAACTTTACAAAGTTTGAATTATATGCGACCCGTAATGTTTGTGTCACGGTACAAAAATAAACCCACAATAAAATTATATTTTCAGATGGTTGAAACCATCCGCCCCCCCCCCCCAAAATAAAACATACAAATTGATCAATTTGTTTGGAGAAAAAGAAGATGGAATATGTTGAAGAGCACGATTAGAGCAACCTCAGTGTTGCTGTTTTGTATGTGTTCATTTTCATAAAGATAAAACCATAAAACTGTGCATGTTTTTATGGGAAAAAATGTAACCTATCAGATTATGAAGCAGAAGTTTTTTTATGGCGGGATGATATAAAAAAATCTTTTAAATCTAGTTTGTACTACAGATAGTGCATGGTGCTGAGAGGTATTGCCATACAGAAGGCAATTTCACCTGATTTCAACGTTTTTTGACTTGTTGTACATGTACATTACCTTTAAAATTGGAGAAACAAAATAAGAAAGTTGGATGCAGCTTGGCATTTCTTCTTCTTTTTTTCGCAACTGCCAAGTTGCGCATCTGGTAATGGAAACAAATGTCCTCCGTTGACATTTCTCGTGCGAAGTTCCTGACAAACATGAATTCATTGAACTTTACTGTATGTCAGCCTGTGACCACATAGATTTACAGACTTCGGCTTTAGACTGCATGTTGTTAATGATTGCCTTAATCAGTGTGATTAATGTGAAGTCTACGTGGGATTTCTACAGGGCTCACCTCGTGCCATTTCCCCCCCCCCCCCTGAGCTCCCTGCCTCTTGTTTCTTGAGAGCCTGCCTTTCTCCTGCTTTATCATTCTTAACAACAACTCAAAAAGACGGGACAGGAAAACAAAAACAGGAAGTTTGTTTGCACTTTTCTGTGCACGGTGAGCTCTGAGTTGATCCATGGTCCCTAAATTTCCTGCCAAAATGTCATCGGGAAAACATTTGTCTTCTTTCAATGCCTGTCAGGGATCACAGCAAAATCTAAAGCCTCTGATATCATCAGTGTCCGATTTAAACAGGAAGAGTAAAATTCCAAAATCTTTCTTTGTTTAACAACTTCATGATCATCAATATTAGGTTTTGCCCTTCACCGATGTGTAAACACTGTATACTGAAAAATACCTACGACCTCCAGCTTTCTAGTGTAGACGTCTTACCACTCGACCACCGAGCTTGCGGGATCGGTTGGCTGGTCTGAATCTGATGTACATGCAGCAGCGGGTACAGCAATTAAGTTTTCCATCTTATGAATAAAAATTCCATCTTATGAATAACTTCTTGACAGTGAAGCCATTAATAACACTTAATCATTTCTGCTGGCATATTTGTATGTAAATAACCACAGAAAATTTGCCGACGTTTAATTGTAAATGTAGTTGTAGGCATTTGCGCTGAGGTTCCATGGTTGGAATTTTGCCCACATGCATCTCTGGACTACCCGCACACAGGAATGTGTGTTGTAATGTTGATGCCCCTAATGTGGTGCGGCCCCTTACGTGGCACACTTTGATTTTTTGCCTCTAGTGCCTTCCTAGAGCGAAAGTTTTATCTCAAATTTCACAGTAAATGAAATTTCATCTAAACATTCCCGTTCATAAATCTTGAGTTTACCTACCCGTTACAAAGTTGACAGAAATTTATTTTGGCATGATTTTCCGCTTGTATTTTGAAGTGCACATTGAATCTTTTTAAAATGCGCCCATAAATAAGAAACTGATTTTCTGACAAACTTCTAGTTAGGTTTGTAAGTGGAGATAATAACGGTTTAACAGAATTTGTCAACTTTAAAAAAATGTTTAAATGTTAACATGGGATTTTCCGAGATTCGTTAAGTGCGCCATGTTAGAGAACACTCTGCCAACTTTGCGTCCAAATTCTGGACGCCACCGTTTTTTAATTTCAGACTAAATTTCATATGACACTTAAATGGTTCACAAAGGTTAAACAGTTATGGTTAAAGAACCAGTATTTAACTAAAATGAATTTAAAGTTAATCAACAAGGAGGTTTGGCAACATTGCATGAGGAAAGTCGGGGGAGACGAAGTGCACCTCGTTAGGGGACTCCATTATATTCACAGCCACACTCGCGGCAGCAGTATACTGCTTTCACCACCGGTTTACTTCATGTACCTCAGTGGTTGTTTGCTGTGCGTAAGCCTTCAATCGGTTTGTTTTCTCTTGTAGTTTTGCTGATTGACAAATGGTCCTTTTTTTCTCCCCCTAATGTTGACTGCAGGTTGACCCTAACAGCATAGCAGGCGAAGATGGAAGAATTAGAGAAGGGGATCAAATACTTCAGGTATGTACAATATACCGATTATTACAGCAGCCACAGTAAGAAGCCATGAATATGTGCTTGGAAAATATGTTTAAAACCGGCTATGGGCCTGGATGTGGATAATGGCCTAGCCTGATTGGATTGAAAGTTGGTATGTACATTTGTACCTAGACCGGGATGTGTTACAGATGAAAATTGAGGTGGCGTCATGACGACGTCATCACATAACATATGGCGTCATATCAAATGTGCATATTTTGAAGGCGTATATCCACAGAACTACAGGTCTGATTGGGTTGAAACTTGGTATGTACATGTACCTAGACCTGGATGTGTTATGGGTGAAAATTGACGTGACGTCATGATAATGACATCACATAACATTATGACGTCATATAAACTACATGTCCCATTCGGTTGAAAGTTGGTACATGTATGTACCTTCATCAGGATGTGTTAAAGTTGAAAATTGAAATGATGTCATGATGACGTCATCACATGATATATGATGTCATATTAAAAGTGCATATTATGAAGGCCTATAATATATCTATATATATACACAGAACTACAGGTCCGATTGGGTTGAAAGTTGGTATGTACAAATGTACCTAGACTGGGATGTGTTATAGATGAAAATTGAAGTGATGTCATGATGACATCACCACCTTTAATGTGACGTCACATTAAACGTGCACTTTTGAAAGGCCTAAATCCGTGGAACTTTTGGCCTTGATCGGTCTGCAACTTTCTACTGCACATTTATGTGCTATTAGTCTATAACATGACATAAAAATACGATAACAACATGCCAAAACAGCCATGTGTTTGTCCACAGACATAATTCTACATGTAGTTAGAACATGGACCACCTCAGTATTGTTTTCTATTTATGGTTGCTGGGTGATTCTATGGGCTTGATCATTCTCCGAGCATACCTTATGCAGGCTGTGCGTTAAGTATGCTAAGAATTTCCTGGCTAGCACTGCCAAAGTTCCTAAGATTGGATTTGATTCACTTTGTTGACCTCTACTGCCATGGCGGCTTTACCACGCTTGTCAGGGACCACTGCATTAGGGGCATATCCGAATCTAGTCTTGGACAAACTACAGTATGGTCATCATGTTGACAGATGTTTTCCTAGTATTGGTCTCTGATTCTGCTAACCATATTTGCTCATCAACCTCCTCTTTGTTAGCAACGATGTCAATAATTTGATTTGTGTCGAGAATTACCGCCGCGAATGTACAACAAAATGTACGTATAAAGCTTTGGAAATCGTGCCGTCAAAAGCATGCTGCTCTAACAAATCCCCGGCATTAATTGGGGACAAACATGATCACATGTCGCTAAGTAATAAGTCCGCTTCCCCCGACGCAAGCTCCATTACAGTCTTCGCAATCAAACATCTTTAAATGGATGACTCTTGAGTAAATACTGACTCAAGTAATTTCCTCGCTTTAATGGATTGTTGGCCGAATCAATGACGGAATAATTCCCTAAGTCCACAAATTAGTGGCAAAGACTAAGAAGTGGAGACATTCCAAAGTTCAGCGCGCCTTTTTTTCTCCTTGGACAAACATCCGCAGAAAAAAAAACAACACAAAAAAACACCAACCGATCCCCGAGATAAATGCAATATGGGGAGCATTTATTGTACTTGAGACCTACATTAGGACACTCCAGACACGAACACTAAGGTTCATTTGCGATGAGACCCCAGCATCGGAGATTAATACCGTTTCATCTCGGGACTTTGGAGGGTTTTGTGTTTCTCAAGAATACTTTTTGTCTGGTGCACTTTATCAAAGTCCAGGAGCCTATTGTGTCTTGGTCTCATTAATCAATCCTTCCTAGGATGTTAGTCTGGTCTCATCAGGAAGCTCGGGAGAGTAAAGAATCGTGCCGTGTTATAATATTATTCGGTTGGTTCAGAAACTCGTCAGAAAAAAAGTTCTGTCAAAAGTTGCTCGTCGTTGGGCCAACTCACCGTTTCCTTTTCCCGGAGTCATTTGTCATAAAGATTAAGTGCTTGAAGCATGACCAGGAATAAAGTCTGATTTCTGGATCAGTCACCCTCAAGAATACGAACATCAGCTCCTTGCCTGCATTTAGCCACTGCTAATTATTCCTCCCGCGTGAAGATGCTGTGGGTTTCTGCACAGTTGTACAGATTTTTGCCCTGGCAGGAACTGAGTTACGGGGAAGGTTTCCCATCGTTCAGTGGAAAATTTAGACTGAGTTGTTGCGACTTCAACTGTCTCCTCAACGTTTTTAGGTCCTAACAAAGCCATAACAAGGACACCTTTATATGTATGGATGTAGGATTCACTGGCTATCATACATGTACATGTACAATGTAGGTAGGTAGGACTTAAGGTGACAATCTACAGTTTTTATACAGTAATACATGTACATACTCTTCTTTATTGTAAGTGTTGAAGTTAAGCTGCCTTTCCACTTGCACGTTTTTGGTACAGTTTGTATCCGTTGCATATTTAGGCTCACAAGTAAACTATAGTCCAAACCATGAAGCAGACAAAAATCGGACGAAACACGCAGTTGTGGAAAGGCGGCTTTATTCCCCATAAACCAACAGCACTATGTAAAGATATCTGTCATTGTGAAACCCTTCTTTCTACATTGCTTTGATCTGATCTTTTTCCCGGCACAGATAAACGGTGAAGATGTCCACAGCAATGACCACGCCCTGTCGCTGTTTACCCAGCAGTCAGATACTACCTCATTACTAGTGTGCAGATCCCAACTACAGGTAAGATACCTCAGGATCCTGTGGCAAAATTCCTGCTTCTGCTAAGCAGAAGAGTTTTGCTGACTGAAGCAGAGAATGGTACTTACCTTAACCCTAACCATCCCAAATCCTTCAAAATCCTCTTTGCAAAATGGAGGATTTGGCAGGATTGAGGCTATATGGCAAATATGTGCTGGTTTTGGAGAATGCTCTGTGTCAAGGTCTTAGGCCGGACCTTGTGTTGTTTATGCTCAGCCATGCATAAAATTAGGCCAAATTATACTTGAAATCTTCCGCACTGCTTAAAGATGTCACTGGCTCTGCCTCAACATATTGACAGTGATTGCTGGAGGATTTTGCAGGATTGAGGCAGTGGTCACCCCTCCAAGGACCACATTTCAAGAACTAACAGATGATTTTGGAGGATTGAGGCTGCATGCAATTTTTACATGGTGGCAGTTGGAGGATTTTGCAGGATTGAGGTTGCATCCTATGAAAAAGGTCTAAGGGAGTTAGGGTTAAGCACTTTTTTCACTGTGTCGATGTACTTAAGGTCATACACGCATGGGTTTTTCTTTTGTTATATCACATATGTAGGAACATTTCCATCATGATATTGCTCACAGTTTACGATCCCCGTGTATTTTTACACAGATGCTCACTTTGCCCAAATAGCTGCTTAGCACAGCCATGAAATTGGTCCTAGGTTTGTCCAATGACATGGGTACATTACGTAATGCACACAGTTGGCACCTGTGATTTTGTGTGCTTGTCTTAATTCTATATTGCTTGTGTACCTTGTGAGCACCTTTAACCCTAAACGCCCTGAAACTTTCAAAATCCTCTTTGCCAAAGTGAAGGAATTTGGAGGATTGAGGTTACATGGCAAAAGTGTGTTACTGATTTCGTAGGATGCATTTTGTCAAGGTCTTGGGCCGGACCTTGTGTTGTTTTTGCTGAGCCATGCATAAATGTAGGCCTGGAATATGCTTGAAATCCTCCTTACTGCTCCAGGATGTCACTGGCCAAGCCTCAACATATTGACAGTCACTGCTGCAGGATTTTGCAGGATTCAGGCAGGCTGAGTCAGTGGTCACCCCTCCACGGGCCATATTCAAGAAATAATGAAGGAATTTGCAGGATTGAGGCTATATGCTATTCTTCCATGAGGCCAATTGGAGTATTGTGTAGGATTAAGGCAGTTACGGTTAAAAAAAATTGGGAAAAAAAAAGAAAACAAAAGAAACTAAGACATTTTTTTTTTTTTTTCCAAGTAAACCTATGGTGGATCAAATTGTGCGTGTTTGAATAAGTGAAATAAAGCAATAAGTATGCAAACTTGTGTCTACTCAAAGTTGGCGTTTTCATGTCAGCATAGTGAGCCGGAGAAACTTTGAAATATGCATATGCGTCATCACTCAAGCCAGTTGGAATCAGAGAAGACCAAGTATTAAAAAGCGGTCAACGCTTTCACAGCTCACTGCAAACAAGTCCGAAATTCAAGAGATTGCAATCTGGGGCCGTGGCTTTATTATACGGAGTATGCCTTCAGCGGGCATGCCCCTCCTTGTGTTCAATATTGAGAGCTAGATTCAGCTCGAAGTAAAAGCAACCCGTTGCTTTTCATTAATAAAAAAGGAAAAAAAGAAAGATACATGCCATGTGGAGGATACAAAGCTCAAGAGCAATGCATGGAAAGCGGGGTAAGTGATCGATAGATGATACTTTGATACATGGTCTGGGTTTTTTTTTTTTATTCGGGGGATGAGATTCAGAGATGATTTCCTTTTGCACGGTCGGAACGCATCCCCGACGAAGCAAGTGCCTCGTTTGGTCGGCAATCAATCGCTCTTCCGCGGAATGCTTTTGTCGGCGACATCAAAGGGTTGAGTTCAATGAAGCTTGCTTCGACTAGTGAGCAGCAAGGAATCGTCGGAGGACTGTTGGTTAAAGGAGAGAAAAAAAAGAAGCTATAAATAAGAAAAGGTCATACCCGGTACACTGAGACTTGGTGATTGTGACGTCCGGAAAATGCTCCGGTGATGGGCATTTGATTTTTTATTTTGATCATTGACTGTGGTTGATTGTAAGGGTTTGTTGTCTTTTGCTTCACTTGAAATGAAGCCTTTGTTCTTACATGTTCCCCAGGGGATGGCTTTCATCTTTAATTCAGAAATGTTCCCCGCGACAACACATGCACTTTGTTTTGTTCTCCAAAGAGATGCTTTTTGAATTGGTGATTGGATTCACTCAAGCAAATGCTGATAGGATAACTGGGCGGCTTCAGGTTTTTCCCCCCTACGGTTTTCGTCTTGTCAGAGTTTGTACTTCCATTCCGGTCTTAAGATAGTCATCAGTTCTGAGATGTTGCAAGGCTAAACAGAAGAAGATGTTGCACTCGAGCCTTGAAGATTGTGGAGATGAGACCCGCATTGGGAGTAGGATATAAGCCTGAGAATACTGGTGTCTAGGGACATGTGGTCTCAGGTTGTACAGGATTTGAATACGCTGGGGATAAATTAATAGATGTATAACAGAAACGCTCATTCCTTGGATGTTAAACTGAGAGGTGAAATTTTGCCAGTTAGGATTTTTTTTTCAGATGGATATTCCAATGAGAGATTTACTGCCCAGTCGCATTCTTGCGGTTGACCCATTGGTCTGGCAATTGCCAAGCGCAGGCCGGAGATTGGAATGGCTGAGTTCAATAGTTTAAAAACATTGTATGATAAATATGTTAAATGTTCATATGTCTGTGTTCCAGTGAGTGTCTCACTTCGCACGGAATCAAAATTGTTGGTTTTTCTTTAAATGGTGATCGAGCAGAGGCTGGTCTTCAAACAACATATTTTTGTCATTAATGACTAACCAGGACTTTGAAGCAAATGAATATTGATGAGCATTGGTAGGATTTTTTGGAGGGGGGGGGGGGGGGGGCAGAAATTAAGGAGATTTTACTTTGGTGTACTTTGGTGAACTCAGTTTCCAGTGTACATGTACATGTACCATTCAAGTGTCATATTGAAACACTTGTAGTGTGAACATTCTAGCTGTTTCTACTCAAAATGTACACAATCATATAAATTTGGGCTTCTGGCATCAATAGGTATTAAACTCTGTCCGTAGACCTTTTGAAAACTTATTTATCACTATGAAACTGCTTGTTTGTGTTCAAAATGTCCACCCAGTATGTCAGGGGTAGAAATATCTCACAACATATTCTGTACCATTACTGCCTTTAAACTCGGAAAAAAAAATCCATATAAACTAAACTCATGTTGGAGCTAATGTTAAAGCTTATGTGGATTTTAAAGAAAAAAATCAGGTTCTGGCTTTCGTTAATTATTTGGTGGGGGAAGAAACAACCATCATAAATTCATGCTGATTTTGATATTTTCCCATTTTTCTGCTTAGTACATGTAGTTCAATACATATTGGACTATCTGCAACCTTCCTCCAGATATTATTAATGTATACATTTTTTTTTCATATTTTCATGAAATGATGTAGTCGAGATAAGGAAACTTGCATTTAATATCTGAAAGCAGCATCGTAAGTAACTGCTCACTCAAGTCTCCTCTGATTTCTGTTGAAGATCAGGCAAGTGTAAAAGATGGCGAGGGAAGGACGGCATTTAGCGCTGTCAACTAGTTGCCGGGCTATGCCTCGCTCTCTCTTGCTCTCTCACCGCAGTGCTCCCTTGCCACTCCATTAGCGCCATCCCAAGTTGTTTGCATCAAAGAAAAAAAAGTTGGCCTTGCCCGAGCGCGCGTTCTTCTCCCGTCTTGGAGCTTAAACAAATCTTCCCCGGATGTTGCCGACTATACTCCAGCGGGCTGAGATGTAATCATCTGGAAAGCCGTTCTTTTCATGCATTTGATGTGCGCCTTTTTAAAAATAAAAAAATAAAAACCTTAAGAGGTAAAATGAATGAACCGGGTGTGCGTACGGGAAATGCAAGAGACAGTTATCAAGACATTTTCTGTCCTGTTTTTTTTATTTTCATGTTGTTGTGATTTGCCTCTAGACGTAACTGTGTTCTGAGTGTGATGGTGAACAGTGAATTGTAAAATAAGGGCAAAAAGCAATTCAATTTCTGTGGCTCTCAATCTCACAACACAGCACTATCTCAGGTCGGCTCTGTATTATTGTTGTTTTTTTCCCTTCATAGTCGGCACTTGGACAAGCACGGACAAGTTAAACTTAATTAAAAAGAGCTCTTTCCCTTCTGCCGACAAAATCATCTGAAAAACTACACAGGGGAAATATCTGATTTGTTGTGCGGTGCAAAAAGCCTCTTTTTTTTATCTCTCCCATAGTCGGCATTCCCATGCAGTATTTGTTACATTAATCCACCGTTTCAGGAGAATTTTTTTTTTTGCCTTGCCTGTGTCTCGCCAATAATTTCTCTCCTTCCCTTTGATAAATCTTCATTAGGGATCCGTTTGATGTGCGGCACATGCCGCCGTTGACCTAAGCTTACCGAATCCCTGCGGCCATACGCATGCAGCGCCACACAGGCATCGGCATCTAAATTATGATATGATGTCAGATATCGGTTTATTTTCTGAGCTAAGCCGACATCTCCTGTGCAAAGCTTTGATCAAGGATGCACATCAGTTTCTACGTGGATGGTTTCCGAGGCCGCTCAGGAATACCTCTATCTCTTTCTTTTTTTCTTCCTTTTTTTTTTTTGGTTAAATGTTCTGGACAGTCGAGGCATTTTATAATATCCTTCCTGCTGTCTGCTTCTGCAGTTGTTGCCTCGTGTTTGAGATGCGAATGTATCTGAAAGCTTCATCCATTGAAGATCATAATGTGGTAAAAGGGAGATTTATCTACTGTGTATGTTGAATCAGCAGAAATCGGGGGAAAAAAAATAAAGTACAAGGCCATGAAGGCACACAAAATTGATGGGATTTATTAGCATTGAAAATGAAGTTGCTGATATTTTGTGTTCTTTGCTCATTGAGATACACTCATAATTCAAATCATTTTAGGAAAAGTATAAAGGGCACAAGTATGGATGTTGGCAACATGGATGAGTTGTTCTAAAAAAAAACACCCAAAAAACACACAGTACTTTGAAAAACCACCTGCTGTGAAAAAGCAAAATACACCAACACATTAGTTTGATCCAGAGGAGGTTTCAGCTAAAAAGTGTGCTTAATGTTTTCGTCCCTCATCAGTACTTCACCTGTGTGGAAAATATAGGGCACTGATATAGGGAACCTGCCTCTCATTGGAGCCCAGCCGCTGGCTTAATTAATTGGATAGAAATTGCACGATGAGGCCATCATCAGCTCGTCTGCGGAACCGGAAACTTCAAATTGCTAATAATGTTCTGAAACCTGGAGTCCTTGAGTCACATAATACGATGACTCACTGCGCGGCTCAATCCTGACTAAACCACCGCATCTTTTATCCATCGGATGCGGTGAGGGATTCTGTCTTGTGTTTCATGGAGAGGAGCTAAGATATAAAAAAAAAGTTGTAGCATGATGCTGAAAAGTTAGTTACAGAGTCACGATGGTGATTTTTTTTGGCCAGTGATGATTGTGTGTTCAGTGTCTTCGTTTTTGTTTGGTGAATCTTAATGACAGCTTTCAAAAAAAGTTTATTACTTAACAACGAGATAGTCTGAATACACGACTTTTTGTTCTATCCCTGTTGTGTGTTTACCTCGCCTCTACTGCCCGTCAGTTCAGTCCTAGCCTGCTTTTAGCCTAGCCATATTCCACTTGAAGAGCTTATTGGCATCTATCTTGTACCCAATTTGAACCCACCTTGAACCTACTGTCACCCAGTTGTATCCCACCTGTAAGCTTATTGGAAACTATCTTGTACCCACTTTGAATCCACCTTAAACCTTCTGTAACCCAGTCGCAACAAAGGTACATGTATGAGTACTTCCTGTCATAAATGTTTTATTACTTTCACTCTGTCATTTCCCTTCCTTGGCTTTCCCAATCCAAATGGCAAGCTTGCTTTAATCTTCTAAAGCCCCTTCTTTCAAATTCACTTGTCAGATTTTCTTGTTTACAAATGATTTCCTTTCATTTCAGATCAGGTAAACAAAAGTGTGCATGTTTTACTATGTAAACACCCGTAAGTACTTGTAATGCATAGCCCTAGCTGACTACCACGTTGTCAGCGTGGATATTTTACGGCATGATGGAGGAATTATTGGTTCACTGGCCCCTTGCTCACAAATTGAGTGTATTCTCCGGAGAAAACATGATCATTAATCCCGGCCAATAAATTCTAATTTACACCAATCAGGAAACACTTTCCTAATGTCAACAATCCAATCATTTTGGGGGGGAGCACACTGCGCAATGTAAGTGGATATTACTTGGTCTGTTTGGAGGAAATCATAAAATTTGAACATGCGGTGATTATGGTCAGAGTAAACAATTTCTGAGATAAAAGAAAGAACGGAAGGAGAGAGACGTAGAGAGTCGTAGACAAGATGTCATTGAACTTGGCTAGCCAAACAGTGTCAACGATCGGCTAATCAGATTTGCTCTCCTGACGGCCCTGGAAACTGGTAGCCGTCGAGAAAACTGATATGACAAGCTCACTCAAAGCGTCCCTTTTAATATTAAAAAAAAAAATTTAAATCAAATAAAATAAACACATCCTGTTATAAGTATTGAAGATGGACGACAGATCTTCTCGCATTACGTTCACAATAGCCGTTCTATTGAGCTGTCCAGGACTGCCGGTGCCAAGTTATAGATTGCTTTCATAGAAAAAAGATGATATTGTGATACCGCGCTATCTTGAGTTCCACAAAGTGCGATAGCTGTCGGACAATCAAAACGTCACCTTTCTTTCTTCCTTTTTTTTTTTTTTTTTTTTAAGTGCGTATTCCCTGTCACTGTTTTTAATGCCAAGGGATTTGTATAGCTCATCTGATCGAGTTGTTGGAGTGAAAAAGCCGGCACTGGTATTTTTAGTACGCTGGAGATGTTTTTGACGGAAGTCGGTGCAACTGATATGTTTTCGCTCCTTCAGTTTGCTGGTCGCGTCTACAAGAAGATGGAGGGTGATCTTTAACCTCAAACAAGTCCTGCTGCATAGAGGGATCGTGCAGATGCTCAATGGAAGATCCAATTACAGGATACTGATTGTAGTCTCGATAGAAAAAGATTTTGCATTTGCTTTCTGATTTGTTAACGTCAAAACTTGTCTGGTCTGGGATGGAAATGAGAAGAACAAACTTCAGTGAAACTCCATGAATAGAACAAATTTAGCTCTATTTCATATTATTGCCCAATCATTTCTGTCTGCCAAAATATGTCAAAAGTAACTATGTCTTGCTCCATTTTTCTTCTCCATTCTTCTTTTTCTGTAAACCCAGTTTGTAAAAACCTGTTTTAAAAGCAGGCAGGTTTTCTTTTGCACCCGGGAGAAAATCAAATCCCAAACAACTGCAGTCAGTGTCTGTCATCAAGCGGAGTTTGAAAACCCCCCTAGTCATTAAATTGGGTACGGTCTCTGACCCGACCTGGTGACATTTGACCCCCACTGGGTCATTTGGCCAAAGTGTGACAATTATCGGCTCCCTTTGCCAAGCAGCTAGTGGCTGGGGGCGAAAGAGTAATGGGAGTGATGAGTTGCCAACAGTAAATGCATGTAGCACCAGCCTGAAACACTTAAGAGCCTTTTTACACTATCCCAAATCTCCCTGTTGGACTTGGACCCAGGTCCAACATGGAGATTTCAGGAACCCCTTTCACACTGGCAAGATATGGCTTCTACACGGGTTTGGATAGAGTGAAAGACCCTTACAGCTCTCTTTTTCTTGGTGCGAATGCTTTGCCTATTAAATTTGCACCATGTCATTTTAACCCACGTATGCAAACATACATTCCGTGCCAAGTTGTCCTTGCAGTCAGAATCAAACAAGTGACTGTTCTCAACAGTTAAGAATTCCCAGCCTACATAAAGCAGGATTGACTGCCTTGGACTGCTTAAGTAACTTGATACAGCTATGCTTTGACTCCGGTGAGTGATAAAACAGCTGTGACCACAACTTGCCTGCTTTGTCTGTTGACCCAGTTTGACTAGACACAGTGCTTGCATGAGATATGATCTGACTGTTGGTTACTATAGCCTTTGTTACAAGTATAGCCGGTATATGCTCAAATAGCAGGAGGGTTAAGGATCTCTTTGCAGCGCTACCGGCAGATCTACGGCTGCAAAATAAAGAAGGAAACTCATAGCGAATGTCTTCGAAATGCTCGATCCTCTTGTTGGTAAAAAAAGTCTCTTGATCCAAACCTGGATGCCTCTGCTTTGCCCTAGTGTCCTCATCCCTCTCCTTTCATTTTATTTTTGAATATATCCCAAAGAACATGTTGCAGTTCTATCTACCACCAAGCCCTTTCAGAGAAATTATTCTTGCTCACTGTCATCTAGAATCCAGTTGCAATCATCAGGGCATCTAGCTGTCTGAAATGGCACATCAATCACCTCCTACATGTGATTACTCACGCTGTGCAGGCAGGTGCTAGACAAGTACTGGGGCATGTTGGCCTGGGAACTTTTGCACCTGAGGATGGGGGGGGGGGGGGACCCGTCTTAAAGTAGCTCTGAAAGCCTATCAAAGGGTGTGGTGATCACACATGGACCAACCATTTCCATGTGTTTACATGCAACTACACGTAAAACCTCTGTTGCCTGACTAAATTCCGTGTCGGCTCGAAGTACCTTGGGCGAAACGTGACTATTTGGTGCATAAATGCACTATTTACTTGCAACGCCAATTTTGAAGCTGTTGTAATAATTGATCAGTCTTGCTGGAGTGTACCTTTAAAGACCCTCATGTGAAGGAAAATCTGTCCGAGTCAGCAGCAGTTCCATCATAATTATTCTTGATTTATTGGACGGGGGTGATTTGTCTCTGGGCTTTTCTGAGTCAGGAATTCATATATATTTTGTGTGACTGGTGATTCATTTGACAAGAAACTTTTGGGAGAGAGAACGAAACATTCTGAATGTATGCGCGCTGATAGGAATTTGCATAATGTTATTTTAAAAATCTCTTGCAGGGATTTGTTTGTTCTGTTTTTTGTTTTCTCGACAAATTTTTGATTTTTAAATTTGTCCTGTGATACAGAACGTTATTCAACGTATTTCTGCACTCTTTTCAAATCTCTGCCCACAGTATGATGAATGTCTCTTTGACGAACACAATGCCTTACTGGAGGACATACAACTGGACATGCTCGAGCAAACACACCAAGAAGCCATGCAGTTCACATCGTGCTTACTCGCAGAGCATGTAAGTATAAACACCCAAATTCCATCTTTGACATGTATTTTTTGTTGCGAAGGTGTTTTGGAATAGAGGGTGAAGACAAGTTTTGGGGAGATGTTTTGGGCCGATTGAGGGGTTTAATTAAGTCATTTCATGACACTGAAAGGATTTGTATTGCTATCTTTAGCATGTATTGTTCACATTTGTGTCCATGCACAGTGATACATGACTAATTCCCATTTAAATTTGCAGATATTTGGCCTGAAATTTTTTATAGCGAAAAGTTATCCACACCTGAAACTCTATTAATAAATACTTAAAAAGACACAAGTGTTTTCAATCTAGTTGAAATCTCCAAATGTTGGCTGGACAAAAAAATCACCAAAAAAAATTGAACCATATCCTGTGATGGATGAACAGTCTCGGAAACAAAATCCAGAGAAAATCTGCAGGCGGCCAATTACCCAATGAAAATGCAATCTAGGGTTGCATCTCGTCTACAAGTAACCGAGAACTGCACTGGAAATCTTGTAATTATAACAACCTTTCGTAAGGCACAATCGGTTTTTTTTCTCCCTACCTCCCTACTTGTGGCTCGTTCTTTCTCTTGCTGCGTTCAACTCAGAATATCATACCAAGTACTGAAAGCAGGGTGCGCGGCTTTATTTGTCGCCGTTCCTGCCCGGGGCTTTTTTATATCGTCGTGGCAATCAGCAGGTTTCCTCACAGATGGGTTTAAATAAATGCGGCTCCGGTTTCTTACTTCTTTTTTTAACTCTGCGCTCGTCAGGAGGCTATGCGTTGCTGCGCTCCTGTGTCGGTGGGTAACAATCTTCGTAGCTAGGGACTACAGATAGACAAGGTTCTGCGGTGGATACCGCTCAGGGAAAAATGCATCGGGTGTTAAAAAACGGAAGGGAAAAAAAAACGGGAAAAAGCTGGGATGTAATACAGCTGAGATGAGGCTTGAAACCGGAGAACTCCAATTATACCCCGCCAAAAAACTTCACGGAGAAAAAGAAAGAGAATTGTAGAGATTTGGATGTGACATTTGGGAAATCTTCTCCGGCGCTACGCCATCGAGTTGGCCGAGCAATAATCTCAAGTTCTTGCACCCAGGGGGAGTAATTAACAGGCGGATTGCCTTAGAAAATGCTGGCTGAAATTCCAAACGCTATTCGCAAATTGCATTGTTGATTCATGCAACCTTCTCGCACCCTGCTACACTCAAGGAGCAACAGCTCCGTGTCAAAATCACTCGACAGAAAGGGTACTATTTTTTATCCAAAATTGATAACAGAATACACCTTCAGGTACCGTCGTACTGGCCTTAGCATAATTTATGGCAATACTAAAAAGAAACAGAAAAATCATTGATGTGGAAAAAATTACAACCATGTGGGATTCAACTGTGTACCGGGCAAAATTGCTTTCCAATGTAGTAATTGATACCAACGGATATCAACTGTGGCAGTCCATATATTGTTGTCTGGTCGTATAATGATGCTGAGTGCCGTGACTCATTTACTCATTTGCTGGCAATTGTATTCACCCAATTGTTCTTTCCTCTATATTTAGACTGTTTCCCTCTAAAATGCCCATTAGAACCATCTGTTCCTTTCTGTTAATGCTTCCTCATTGATATAATCATCCCATCGCCATGGAAACCCGTACATGTGTACAAGACGGAGAAACCCATCTCGATGTTTGAAGCGCCGATGTCGTAGGGCGATACGGAGAGTATGTAGATAACGAAGGGATAAAAAAAAAGTGCCGGTTTGCCTTTGAGCTGGTTAGGCTGTCCGCCAGCGCATTAGTAGCCCTGTCGGATTAAGTCACTCATTCCCATATCTTACTGATCCGCCTTTCATTTGCACAGCTTAATGACAGATGACTATCATCCATTAAAACCCAGACAGAGTGACATTATGCCTTGGATCTGATTGATCCCACAAAACGTAATTGAACTAATACTGCTCAAAAGTTCATTCTATTAGCCGTGCTGTCAGCAAAAACCAATTGTAATTATAACCTGTTTTTCTTGTTATATTCTCTTTTGTTTAAACATTTTTATTGGTTTTTGTTTTGTTTTTTCCAAACTCAAGCAGTTTATTTTCCATGTGCATGTTCTCTACATAGACCTGTACTGATTAAATAATAGCAGTTGTTGTGACTGCAGTACAAATAAAAGCCAGCAAGAAATGATTGACAGGAACAAAAACAGAACTACCATTTTTAGACGTCTTGTCACCAAAAATGCAGGCAATAAAAAGGAGATAATGAAGTGTACAACACGTCAGTCTTTTCTGTTTTTCTTGGCCTATCTTATTGCTTTGACAGAGCTGACAGCCCTTTTGCCATGACCTTGATAGCCCATTTAGGCCTACTTTCATTTACATCTGCATCCATTTTTATCGCTTTCTCTCATCTCCTACTTCTGGAGCAACGCGCCTCACTGCCCTCATCAGACCCTGTAAAGACTATTGAGTCCAGGCGATGACACATGAAGGCATTAAAAAGAAAGAAATCCATGTCAATGCAGCACATGAAGGGAGATTCATTCAGTGATGTGAAGCTGTCTTCGCGACTGACGAATTTGAATGATTGGGGAACAGTTTGTTGCTAGCTGGATAGTAACGGATTGTGTTTTGAAAGTTGAAGGCTGCACCAGCGAAAACTAGGCCGCAGTAGAGTATCCAGATTTTTGGAAGGGGGGGGGGGGGGGACAAACGGGTAAATTTCCTGAAAAAGTTGCCCCATTCCTAAAAATAATATAAAACTGGGGAGGGTATAACTACTTGGAGCTGTGAGGTACTGATGCTTTCGGTTTCTTACAAAAAAGGGTGTGCCCCTCTCGATACTCCACTGCCAGGCCTTAAGTAGTTGTTAAGACTGAGGAAACCTGTGCTTAAAAAGGTTAAAAGAGTAAAAGTCTGCAATACTTGATTATGTTGGAATTAGAAGAAGGGCATGACTTCAATTTCCTTGAAAAGAAACAACATCTTAAGCAGCACCTGTTGTCAGTTAGTAGGACCCTAACAGTGCACACTTAAACAAGAGAGAAATTGCCAAATGAAAAGTTTGACAACCAGGCATAAACACATCATCTGCAGGTATGGGCTGTTGGAGGGAATGAATACCCAGGTCTCTGGCTAGGTCTTTTGATCTCATCCGCTCACAGGATTGAGGGAACTACATGTACCAACAAAAATGTTGTCGGTACATCAGCCCTTGAAAAATCCTCAGGCTTGAAACAACATCTGAAGCGCTCAAGACAAAAAAACAACATGCCAAGATTTACTCTAGAAGTTAGCTCTCAGGGAACAACGCTTTTGGGTTAATCTTTCACCAGCGTGCTGGCTGCATAAAAAGTTGTGAGGATGAGAAGAGATGGTTAATAGTGATCCAAGATCGGTTATAGAACACTGGTCAGCCACCCCATCTTCAGGACTCACCGGGATCGGGTCAGAAACCCTCAGGTTCTGGAGTGCTTCAGAGACAGTCTGAGTCACAGTGGCCTCAGCTGATCAGTCAGAACGGAAGTAGCCGTGTAATGCATCGGTCTGATGACGAGGAGCGCCGGCTCCGTCCGTTCATCTGTGGTTACTTTTGTAATGAGTAGAAGACGGATGGATTTCCGCTAAGCGTGCCTGTTTAATTTACACTCCAGTGTTGTTCTTTTCTGGCCTGGCCAGGGGCCTGGCCAGTGTTTGCATTTTTACACTTGGAAAAAGAATGGATGATGTTTACCAGGCAGTTGAACAAATGAACAAGTTGACCTGCATATATCTGAATCAGCTATACAGGAATCGCTTCCAAGTACCCCCCCCCCCCTTGCCCACAACATCTTCCCCTTCATACTGGAGCCAATTAGGATGAATTGGTTGGTCAATCAAGAAGCCTCTTGCTCCATGAAATGAAGACCGTTCTCTGTCATGGCTTGTTACTTGGCCCATCCTTCAGAGATGGCCATTTTACTCGGAGCGTTTAATTCACTCTCTCCCCCGCCGGTGCCCACTGTAGTAGCCGGTTCCCGTAGTGTAGACATTTGCCTGATGATAAATCAAACGGGCTGAAAGCATACCTCCACAAGATGCGTCATTGCTGTTTGCTGTATACATCCTAATTCAAATCTTCTCCCACCCCCCTCCCCCCAAAAGGTGGCATTCCAACACCAAATTAATTTCCAAAGAAAATTTTAAAATCATAAAAATGTTTCAACGAAGGGAAAGAAAATTGTTATTTTCGATTTTTCTTTTCATGAATATATATACAATCTTCAGTTTGCTCTAAACAACACAAAGTAAGATATAAAATTGAAATTAAATTCAAGTTGATTGCATGAAGAAATCAAATCTTTGATATTTCATAGACAGATTTTCACTGAGAGTGTAATATTGGAGAAAGGTTTCATAGCCCGTCCAATGTCTTCATAATGGGATTTGTTCCTTTTTGGGGGTGTAAATATTGATTTGTCACCGTAATCCAAATATAGTGTTTCGACGTGCGTGGCAGACTTTGGGTCTCTATTCCCTGGCAAAACAAACTGATCACTTGTACCGCGTGCGCCGTCAAACACACACACACACAATCCAGATCCCTCACCAAAGGGTGCCGCAACACACAGCGGCCAACTAGAGAAAACACCGACAGAAATGTGCGTGGCAACCATGAAGCGTTCTGTTTGGCCAGCAATTGGGAATTGATAGCCATGTTTTTGAGCCTGAGTCAACACGGGATTGGAGTGGGGACCATTGTTGGCGGAGAAGAAAAAAGATTCATTGGAAGTTTGTGCAAACTTCAGGATATGGGAACCGGTTCATTGGGGGCCAGGTGTGAACGACCTGGTAACAAACACCAAAGTAGTAATTGCTTGGTCTTGTATTGGAATTTTCATGTGTGCGTCTTTGACATAAGTTCCCAAGGACCTTTTTAAATCCAGAACATGCAAACCTGGAATGAATTTATTCTTTAATCAAACTATAATGAGAACAAATTCAAAGAATGAGAACTTTTCATGTTCACGAGAGGGAGCTTTTCTGGAGTTGCTGCATCAAAGTGATTTCCCATTATTCATATTGTCTCTGCCTAGTATGGATTTTTGGGGAGCTTGGCCTAGTGGTTAGGGTTCATGACCGATGATCAGAGGATCAGGGGTTCGAATCCAGCTGCTGGTCGCATGTTGTGTCCTTGGTCAAGCCATTTCACCCCCACTTGCCTCTCTCCACCCAGGAGTGTAATTGGCATTAGCTGGGGAGAAACCTGTGATGGACTAGCATCCCTTCCAGGAGGAATGGAAATATTCTCAGTAGCTTCATGCTACTGAAACTGGAGATAAACGCAGGCCTGATAGGCCACACTAGCTCCAGATAACTTTACTTTACTTAGTAGTATGGAATAAAAATCTCTTCTGTTACAATTCAGGTTCAAAGGTACATGTATCTTGATATAAGTGCTTGCACAATCAACAGCCACTGATATTGTCTGTTTCTTCAAACACTGCAGTCAGCATTTTGTGGCATGATGAAATCTTAACAAGGGACAGTCGGGCTGCTGACCAATTTATTCTATTAGTATTGTTTTATCGTTTGGTTTGGAATCCTGAGACTATGTGATTCTGATTTAATATTTACTATGCCTGTTATTTTTTGTCCCTGCAGGACAGCAGACAACTTGATGACGATAGCAAGACAGACACAACAGGCACCACAGAGACGACCTCCCTTCATCACGAGAAGGACAGTGGGGTTGGCCGAGCTACGGACGAGAGCGTGCGCAATGACGAAAGCTCCGGACAGGAGAACGACTGTAGCAGCACGCACCAGAAGTACGTCCCCCAGCAGGCCAGACTGGGCAGCAGGGATCTGAGATACAGCAACGACAGCTTCATCTCCAATGGAGTAACGGAGGCGGACTTCCCCGCCCACGAGATCTCGCTGGAGGACTGTATGAAATTCCAGGCGGCACTGGAGAGCAAGTGCGACAAGCACATGAGGAGCGACACGGATGAAAGCATGAGGGGGAAGGAGTCAAAGGTCATGAGGCTGGGGTCTGACTCCATGGAGACTACCAGCCTGAGTGGGGACTCGCTCAGCCGCACCAGCCGAAATCGATCCGGGGCCAGCGACCAGGACGAGGCGACAAAACACAGGGATGGCACCAAGAGTAACGTCTGGGTGGCCCAGCAGAATGGACAAAAGAGTCTGGTACCCAACGGGAGGCCTCAGGGTAGTCCAGAAGAACCCCAGGATCAAGGATTTGAGCTAGAGTCCAGGAAACTGGAGATGATTGTGGAGAATGGCCAGGTTGGCAGCCCAACTCACAGACCCACAGAGCTTGTTCTTGATAGCTTAAGGAACTCAGACAATGGCCTCCACCAGATGAGCCCCAGTGAAAAAGACACCAAAACCATGACATCGAGTTCTTCAGGCTCAACAAGACAGCACCGAGCACCTAGAACTGTCCCTGGGAGTCCAAGCAGGAGCAAGTCCTCATCTGGCTCAAGGGACAGATCAAAGAGCTCCAGCTCCTCTGGATCAGGCAAAGAGAAATCAAGCCCAGTCAAGACAGCATCAGAGAAAGACAGTGAAGCCAATGTTCCTCCCTATCCCCCAAAGCCCTACCGTCGAAGACCCGCAACCAATCCCCACCTTCGTGCTCAACAGTGCGTGCAACGCAACCCGTATGTCTTGCAGCAAGAAGAGGCTGCGGCCCATCTCATCCGGCAGAACTGGAAGCTCCAGCAGCAGAACCGTCAGCTCAAGAAGAGTCTAGAGTCTCTGGGCCCTAGCCAGAAGCTGCAGCCTTGCCAGTCCATCATGTCTATCCCCAGCCATGCCAAGCACTACCGCAGCTACCTGCATCTGGTCAACCAGAACGAGGAGAACTCCTTAGGGCCCAGCCAGCCCAGCAAGATCATCAACCACAATGAGTGGAAGGTGAAGATCCGCAGCGATGGCACCCGCTATATCACCAAGAAGAACACCAGGGGGAAGATCCTGAAGGACCGGGCCAACAAGATCCAGGAGGAGCGGGGCGGGCTGACAACGGACGATGAGGCAATGAGTGAGATGAAGCTGGGCAGATACTGGAGCAAGGAGGATCGGAAGCGGCACCTGGAGAGGGCGAGGGACCAGCGACTCCGCCGGGAATACATGGAGCAGTCCCGCATGGAATGCCTGCAGGAACAGATGGAAGATGAGGGCAAAAAGGAACCCAACATTGTGGAACTGAGCCAGCGCAAGATGCTGAGGAAAAAGAGCGGGCGCAAAATGATGCTGGATGACTTCACCACGGTTCAAGAGATGCTTGTCCACGGTACAAGAGTGAGTCCAGAAACTGCCAAAGCCTTCTACAACCCCCTGCTCAACGTCACAACAGTATGACACCCATACAGCTAAAATACGATCAGTGGCATGAAAATAAAAAAAATTACAAAAATGTGAATAGTAAGTAATAAGCCAAATTTAAGTAAACTATTTATAACGGAAGTGCAAAAGAGAAACACAAATGTTGATGCTGTTTACTGTAAGCTCATGTGAGAATTTTTATCGGTTGACGGTCAGTAAGGAGTCGCCTTGACACAAGTTTTATTTGTGGAAAGCACAGTTGTTCCATTTCTTATTCTTGCCAGTTAAGTGGGGGAAAGACTGACAGAACATTACGCCTTCTAAAAACATGAGAGGTCTCATGCTAAGGATTAGCCCTGGGTCAGTCGGATTTTATTTCCCCTTCAAAAATATCCTGTCAAAAAGCTTTTTCCGAGGTTGCCTTCTTGTACACCTATTAAACCAATTTAATAAGATTACTGATTTGATTTCGGATGAAACTCATGTCATAATCCACTGCTGTACTTCCTCAGTTTCATTATTTTCACAAAACTTGTCCGGAAAATAGTGGAAAGTTCAAACCTTTTCCGTCTTTCATAATTTTCTGAGTAAATTGACAACAATGTGTAAAAGATACCACTAATAGCGTCCTATCTATACAAAGTGACACAGAAATAGCTTGACCCAAAAGACAGCTATAATTGTAACACCCTGCCCAGCCTTTGCCAGGAACCTAACCAATGAGTCCCTGCAGCACCCCCTCCTAATCCCTGAAGCGCCTGAAACTGCCCAGCTCTCAATAGTTTTATTGAATCTTCAGTGAATAAATACAACGTGATACAATGTAATACAATGTTATACAATGTAATACAATGTAGTACAGGTGCTAATGAACTAAATTATACATCAGTGTTTGGCACATACATTAATGCCATACCATAATGTGATAAACTCCTGAACCCTGCACAGCTTCGGGTCTGGTGTGTGTAATTGTAATCAAGACTCGACCACAGCGCTTTATTTATTTGCCCCAGTTTTGGACCCAGCCAGTGTTGTTATTACGCAGTGGCTGTTTTATGAATTGGTGGTTTTCAATGAGGACCGGGAGAAAGTGATCAACATAATATGCCATAGAAGAGGGTTGCATGGATAATTACATGGGGGAAAACTGTACCTATGATTGCGCACAAAGCTTATTCAGGTTGTTCAAGTTTATACATTTCCTTTAGTGGCTATGGATAAGCAGGGCTGAAAAAGGTGAATCATTTGACTTATGTATACATTGCTCAAAATGTTGCTAGTAAACATTCAGACAATCATAGTGTTCACTGTCTGATTTAAAAAAAATATCTTTCCAGACAAAACAGCTGTTTGCTATAGGCCTACATGTATGTGAAGTGTCTTCTTATTGGATTTTGATATAAAGTCGCTATTTTATTTTTGTTGGGGGGGCTTGATAAAAAAAAAAACACGGAAATACCGAAAAAATGTGTACACAAATTGCTGTCTGGCTAGTTGTCAGAATGATCTCTGTATGCTGTGGTGACCTACGCAATTATCCACAATCTTACTTGGATTAAAGATCATTCTGGTACTAAACACCCTGTGGAATAATTCCGTCTGGCTTGCTGTCATTTTAGAAGATATCAAGAAATGTTTTCTCAAAGAGTGTGTCCACTGAGCTGAAACTTCAACAGGTTGGGTTTTGAACAGTTGTCTCTGGATTTTGCGTGGTGTTATTATTGGAAACAAACAAAATGCATGAAACGCAAATGAACCTACATGCTTAGAATATTTTGTAGTACAATTAAGTGTGTTCTGCAAAGCATACACATGTCCAAGCCAGTTTAAATTTGTTAACCATAATCAACATTTAATTGTTAAAAAAGTAAAGTCTGTCACGAGCCAATGTGGCCCATCAGGCCGGCATTTATCTCCGGTTTCAGTGGCATGAAACGACTGAGAATGTTTCTACCCCCCCTGGATGGGATGCCAGTCCATTGCAGGTTGCTAATGCTGGTACCCATTTATACTCCTGGGTGGAGAGAGGCAAGTGGGGGTGAAGTGGCTTGCCCAAGGACACAACATATGACCAGCAGCTGGATTCAAACCCCTGACCCTCTGATCACGAGCCATGAACCCTAACCACTAGGCCACACGCCCCACCAACATTTAATTGACAACAGATGACACGAACAAACATATTATCTAAAGGAGGCATTTTGAATATTTTGACAGAATTACACACATTGAAAAAAATGACCAAGCATCTTCAAAACTAGAAGTGTGCTGGGGCAACAAACAATTTGAAATTTTGTATGACCTTATTTTTGTTGATAGTTCTTTAAGGTAATGAAACTTACTGATCTCTTTTTCACCGTATTCACAAAAGCTGTACTTGTAATGAAAACTAGCTGCTCACTTCATCAGCTGAATTTTTGTTGTTTGTTAAAAATTGTAATATTATGTATCTCAGTTTTACTTTTTTCGTTTGTTAAATGCCTAGCTTCTTCAAGCTCTGCGGAACTTTGTAAATTGTAAATTGTAAGTACGTCGCATAAGAAAATATATTATGAGCTATCTCTGTATTTAAGTAAGGTTTTATTCTTTAAAAAAACCTATTATTGATGAGTGGATTAATTGGGAAACGAAACGAACTATGAAGTAGCGTAGAGTTGGTATATAAGGCTGGCTTGATTTGTATTTAAACACTGCTGGTTTTTTTATTTTTTAAATTATGTCGTACAGTGTTGGATGCATTTAAGTCATAAGGAGTTCTTTCAGGTAAAGACTTTTACAGACCTTTGTAAAAAGATGTAGGGCCTACTGCATTTCATGAATATTTTGACCGAACTCAATCCGAACTTTAAATTATAATTGCACATTTTGAAATGGAGACGCACATTTAAATAAACCTATCAAATTTGTGCTTTTATGTAACATTACGGCTGTGAAGGATACTGCACGGATGGAGCCAAAAGCACGTATAAAACCTTGTACCGGTAAATAAAGACGGCGCCCTCTGTTGTTCACATAAAGAGACCTTTTCTAATTCTGTAACCTGTCGGTGAAAAGCTGTGACTCCTATACTGTGAGTGGGTATAGGTTTTGTAATACCATGCTGGTTTTGTAATATTACATCAGTATGGCCGTGTTTGTTTGTTTGACTTTCTTTACTCCAAGGAAGCCAAAGTAGTGGCTATTGGGTATTTGGACACAAAAGACAAAACTGTTGGAATTTTTTTTTTTTTTTTTTTACTTGACAGTGTCAAAAAATGAATTTCCTTACAAGTTTAAAGAATATCTTTAGATCCAAGGAAAATTGTGAGGGAATTGAACTTCTTTTGGCACACCTGGTGTTCCGTTTTGATTCGTGTTTTGTCCTGAATGTTGTATGATCAGTGCTGTGCGTGTGGTCACACGTTCTATGATAAAAAAAAACCCTTCATTGTGCCTGTATCATCGCTAATTGCAATATGAAAAATATAACGTAAATTTGCTTGCACCTCCCTTTCCCCCTGTGTACAGGCTCTGTGCAAGAACTTGACCCATTCAGTGAGTGAAGCTCGGCTTTTAATAAGGGGATAACACTGCGATGGAGCAGTTATCGTGCACTTTGAAAGAGGTTAGGGGCCTGGCCCGAGCCAAAAGCGAGGGCCACTATCGGCGACCAGGCCTGTGACCGGATTCAAACATCACGTTTACAACTGCTGCATTGCAATGTTATCTCCATTCATAAATACCTTTCCAGACAAAAACATAAAAAGTATAAAAGCTGAAAACTTCTGACTTTCTCACATTTTAGTCCATGTTTGGGCAATTTCCGTTGTGCACAGTGTGCTGTGTGCTCAACGCATCTCCTTGTTACATGGAGATCATACCGGTGGTTTTTAAGCGATCTGTTAAAGCTGGTATGCACTGGGCACACTGCGCGCATGTTTATACAATCAACAGTGTAAAATCAGTAAGGGTGTGCATCGAAACTGAGTATCCAACCGATTGTCAGGAATGCGTTTCAGATTGTGAAACCAACGTAACCAGTGTACCTGTAACGAACTTCACAAATAATTGAGTGACTTCTAAGACAATGAAAAAGAAACGTTTTGAATGCCATTTGTGGGGAATTTTCCTAATGAAAACCAGGCTACATGGAAAACCAAAAGGGATTTCAAGTTAATGTGCATTTTAATGCGGGACAGATAACGCCCGCAAAAATTGCACTTTACACCGAAAAGCTATAAAGCCCTTCACACAACTTCTTGGATTTGAATTTTGGGGTTGGGTTTTGTTTACGGGTTGCCAGGTACCCGTGTTTTACTTCAATAGGATACCCGGTTCCCGTACTACCCGTAAATGCACACCACTAATAAGCAGTAGTTTAAAACGCAGGTTCTTGACCAATAGGAATAGGTAAACTGTCGGAGGTATTTATGAATGTCCAATTCTGACGCTAGGTTTTAAAAAAAAGTCAAAATATTGACTTCCCTTCACCACCCAGCTGTGCAAAAAAACTAATTTACAAAAAAAAACAAAAACATAAAAAGCACTTGTGTTGTGTGTGTACATGACTTGTAGAAATGCGGTATGGACAGCACTGTACAAACTAACTGTGGTCTCAATATGTATGAACAATACAAGTAAAAAAATAGGCCTGTATCGTTTGTATTATATAAACTTCACAAAATAAAAACAACGTATGAAAAACAAGTTTAATGGTTGCATCTGTTTTATCATTTCTTCCACCTCCTTCCCAAAGCTGTCCCTTCAGTCAAAATCAATCAAGAGACTGTTTTGAAAGGTATGTAGGAAAGGGATCATTAGCCAACTTGCACTGGCTCCCTATCCAACGAGTTAAATATAAACTCTGCCTCATCATCTTCAAGACCTTGCAAGGTGACACTCCAGCATATCTAAGTGTCTTGTCCAGCTCTATGCCCCGGGGTATCGGGGCTTACGATCCTCACAACATAAACTCCTTAAGGAAAACATGGCTAATCATCGATGGGGGAGAGAAGCTTTCAAACTGCTGCACCAAGACTTTGAAATTCCCTACCTGGAACTGTGAGGCTTTCAAATTCTCTTGGCACATTCAAGAACAGTTTAAAATCCTACCTGCATAGGGAAGCATTTGGTTGACTTTGGTTTCTACTTGTTTGCCTGATGATGCCGCCTGTTTTTTGTTTATATTGATGGAGCGTGACGTTGCATCTTGACGGGTGGAGGGTCGAGTCAACCAGGTGCTCCTTTATTCTTCTTGTTTTCTGGTTGTTATGCAGTGCAGCGTCATGAGCGCCGCTTGCGGCGGATACCGACGCTTTATACATTTTCATTATTATTATTATCATTTGGAAGATGATTAAAGAACGAAGGTGTTTAAAGAACGAAAGTGTGCAACAAGACCCCAATAATTGTGCATACGTTTTCTCTATTTACTCAAAATGTATAGTATCACTGAGCGGAAACTTCAACAAGTTAGTTGTAATGCAGCCTTAAAATTTTGAGCAATTTTGTCGCTTCAAATGAAAAACAAAGGCCCAAGAAGCAAATGATCCTATGTATTTTCACAGATTTTCATTGGTAAAATGAGTGTCATTTTTGCATGTTTCTTTTCGCAAGTGTCTGCAGTAATTTTGTCAATTACACCTATAAACCAACTACTCTTATGGAGTACTTAAGTGTGACGTCATTTAGAACCAGCTAGTGTAGTGTAAACGAATGGAGTACGCACGTGTTGGTTCACGGTCTGAATCGCGCGCTAATGTCTTCAGTTTGTATGTCTATGAGTTTCACACACAATTTGTGCGCGTAACGTATTCACTTCGGAACTCCATTAGTGTTCAAATTTCCCTCAAAATCTATTAACACAATCTGTTAGTGCCATACACAATAAACAAGAAAAAATTGAACACAACACACGTTTTTGTCTGGACATAAAATATATTTTACCGACCAAATTTCTCTTCCCCGCCAGGTTCCGGCCGAGGACAAACCACAAAGTACTCAATATATAAATACTGGAAATAAACCCACGTTCAAGAGTATTCTTGATACGTTCCTTGCAAAGAACAAGTCACTAAACAAAGACAGTATTTGCTACTCTAAAGATAACCAATAAAATTCACGACAATGGTATGAACTGGTTTGCGCTGAGAAACGTCAAAAACTACTCACTTTTTAAATTATTTGATTTTTTTAAATTTTTTTTTTACAAAAATGTGGCTTTCCTGGTGTCAACATCTGAACAAATTACGTGTCATTTTCTTAAGTATTCTTTCAACTTGTTTACCTCACTCTCATACAAACTTACAACAGGCAAAGAACGATGCATAAATTTATGTGTGCAGCACATGACATTTTTAAGTGATGTTGCAAATTCCAAAAAAGGGTAATCCTTACTTTTAGGACCCCGTTCCTATATAGGAAGGGAAAGACTCACCAAAACAGTTGACTAAATGACACTCAAAATTGACATTCTGATATTTCTTGGCACATCTGAACAATTGGCAATGACACCTTCTTGAATATCAGCAGGATTAATTTTGTGGAAAGAGGGCAGGGCTTTGATTTATGAGGGAAATTCAGGGGTAAAGACGACGATGACAACCTGCAGAAAACAGACTCAAAAACCAAGATGGCAAACCTGAAAGCTCAATGCGATGAAAGCTCGATGCTGATTGGCTGATAAAAAATAAACATCTTATTTTTTTTTTTAGCAGCCAATCAGCATCGGGCTTTCATTATGTAGGGCTTTCATGCATGTGAGAACTACAACATGCACGTCTGACTGCGAAAAAAGGTAGAAAAGTCACATTTTCTTTGAAAGTGCTTTCAAAATTACAACTAACTTGAGTTTATATGAAGAAAAAAGACTGCTTCAGCCTGCAAAAGTCACATTGGTACTGGACAGTCATCTGCAAAAGTCAGTTTTGAACAGAACTCGTAAAAAATAGAGGTGTCCTAAAAGTAAGGATTACCCAAAAAAGGAATAAAATATTTCACTGTATTCAATCAAGGTTGTCGGAAAAGTCTACAAAACTACAATGGCGTGGTACTGAATTGGTACACGTTTTATATTCCGAATGTTAAAATCAATAGTATCTAAAACCAAATAAAACAAGAAAATATATTAAATTTTGTGAGTTTATTACCGGAAGTGGTTCTTTGCAGAGAAATCAAACACCTCTATTTCATTTATCCTTACAGTTTCTTTATTCGTAGGAAAGAATACAAAACAATGACAAATTGCAAAAACAAATTATGGCAAAGATTTTAGACAAGGAACTTGTTTTCCACCAAAGTGCAAGGAAGTTGAGGCTAGATGGAGCTACGAAGGAAAGAACCGAGATGCTTGGAAAAGGAGTCCTCAAAGCTCATCCTTTGGAGGCTCCTCCTGAGAAAAGAGAACAGAAATTGAACAATTTTATGATTATGAACTTGGTCTAGCTCATGTGAGGCGTTCTGGCAAAATGAGACACAACTGGGCAGAGTTGAAATAAGGGTTTGCAGGTATTAGCAAAGAGAATAAAGTTGTCCTTACAGTACTGTTTGCTGCACTTCAATCGGACATCCCGTTGACAAGTTATGACCGATTAAAGTTTGCATTTATCAACATGCCAAACAAATGTAAAATACTGCGTAAAAGGCCTTTACAGTTTATACAGTGTTTTGTAGTTGTGTAAATGAAAGACACCAATTTTCTTTTCTAGTTTAAGAACACTTTCACTCCACGATTTTTGTACTATTTCTTTAAAAATATGTTTAGTTGACATAATTATCAAAGATTAAAAATCAATAAATCTCAATATTAAAGGAAAAAAATCATACCCATTTTGGTTTTGCACTTTTCTCCACTACGGACTGAGCCCAGTTCTATCTCATTTCCAACTGCCCGATCCCCAAAACAATGCATAATTCCTTCTCCTTCACACCCACTGTGTGTTAGCACATGAGCAAACCTCATGTAAAATTGCCCAAAACCTTTTTTATTTTATCAAAATGATATTCCATCCTACAATGAATGGCAATCCTGTTTAAGACCTAAATTATGCTGAAACCATATCCAGAGATTCTAGGCTTGAACCTCATCTAGTGAAATGGGATCCTGCTTGGAAAGAGCTAGCTCATCGTGTTCTAGAACTGGATTCTATTACTTTGGCTGACACCTCACCTGTTGGTTCTAGATTTTCTTCCTCATAACATTCCCCCATTTGTGACTGACATGTTCACCACCAAATTTCAAATTGCCCGATCCTGGAACCAATTCATACTATATCCCATCCTAAAGTGAAGTGCAAATCCTGTTTCGAAGAACTCAATTTGACTGGTTCCTCCTCCAACAGTTCTAGAACCTCTTCCTCTTAATGTCCAGGTGGTATCGGTACATATACAAACCTAATTTCAAATAGCCTAATCCCCAAAACCAACTGATACGATCAAAGTGGTATATCCCGTCCTATAGTGAAGTGCAATCCTGTTTCAAAGAACTCAATTTGACTGGTTCTGCCTTCAATGGTTCTAGAACCTCTTTCTTTTAATGTCCCTGTAGCACTGGTACCCGATCCTAATTTCCAACAGCCTATTCCTCGAGACCAATTCACACTATCGAAGTGATATACCCTGTCCTACAGCGATATGCAATCCTGTTTCAGAAAACTCACCATCACTGGCGGTACCTCATCCAAAGGTTCTAGAACCTCTTCATCCTCAATTTCTTCTTCCTCTTCTTCCTCTTCTGCGGCTGGTTCCTCAGCATCTTCCTCCTCCTCTTCCTCAGGCTCCTCCTCTACCTACAGACAGCAAGAAGCCATAGCAATATTGACCATCAGACAAAGCATTTTTTCTTAAATTGATGTGAAATATGAAAACACAGATTAGGTAACACCCGTTTAAGACTGGAGTTTCCAGAGTTGTGCAAGAACCAAATAAACACCACCAAGAAAAAAGAAAGAAAGAAAGTCCACACTCATTGGAGGGGTCATAATTTTGAATCTGATCGTCTTGTGGTAAGGTCATTTATATAGCGCTTTGAGGAATTGGATACCCTGTTTGCTACCAAAGACTGTAAATTGATTGACAACGGTTTATGAAAAATTATGCAGTTGGAAAAGTTGCAAATTTAAAAGATTACGCGAGGAGAAATTGCTAAGCCTAACCACACCTGCCTGTAATTGGCCTCTATCGATTGCACAGTGCCCCAACTAAGCGCGGGTACTCCAATGCATACAAGCACTGTGCGATCACTTTCGTTTCGGGCAGTGTAACATTGTCACAGCGCAATTTCCACTCACGTAATCCTGTGAATTTCTTGTGCAACTTTCTACTGTTTGTTCGGGTGGCTTTTTGCATACATTTGTTAAATGCCCAGTGTAATATCAAAAGCTCTTGAGGATGTGTGTACCACTTGAAATGTACTCGTACTCATCGGAAAATACTTGCACTTGTGGAAACAACTGCCTTGTACTACAACAGTAACAACACTGCCTTTGCTGCACACTTCTTATCTACCCGTAAAAGGCACTATATGATTTCACCAATCAGAGAGGATTTCAAGCTCGGCTTCATGAATATGCATGAGGCACAACGAGAACCATTCCTCAGTCCCAGCGCTCACCTTCTCCGCCAGGTCAACGTTCATTCCCAGTCGCAGCATCCTCTCTATCCTGCCAGCGAAGCCAGCCGAGTCTGGCAGAGAGAAGCCAGACCGGAGCACGGCCGTCTCAAACATGACCATGGCCAGGTCCACGGCGGTTGGGTCCTCAGGGTCCGCCTCCACCTTCTCCAGGAGCTTCTTGGTCAGCGGATGCCTGGGGTTGATCTCCAGGGTCTTCTTCTGGGATGCGTAATAACTGCGGAAGAAAATAAACCAACCACACAGATTGATTTTGATGGGCCTACCTGCTGTCCTCACACTGGATGACTAAGTGACTGCCTGACATTAAATACATAGGCTAAGTTCGACCAAAGACCAATGGGTAACTATTGTTTGGTTCGTGACGTACATGTACCTAGCACATGCGCATTGAAGTTGAAGTGGGAACGACTCTAGTCCAATCGAAGTCGTAAAAGTTAAACACATTTCAGCTCCGGCTAATTTCTCTGTGAATGTTTCTTGATATCAAATCAATTTTGTTTTTTCACTCACTTGACAAAATTACAGACCCTTATGCAAACTGTAGAAATATTATTTTAAAAATGGTAATTGCAAAATAGATTTAGCAAGATCTTTCCCTACCTGTTGCTGCTGTCGCCAGTCTTTGCGTATGCCTGTGATTTCATGATGCGTTCCATGTTGCCAGACCATCCATACTGACTGGCTACCAGGGCACAGGGTGATTCCGTCAGGCGCTGGGAGATCTTGGCTTCCTTGATCTGAATAATCAACCGCAACAGATGACTTCTGGTTAATGTGGGTTTCTTCATACGATTGTAGGTATTACTGAAGCACATAGTTTGTGTTAGATAGCGTGCAACATCTCAGAATGCTCAGAATCATCTGAAGTTAACCGAAGTAAACCAATTGAACTTTATTATCAATCTTTGCATTGACATTTCTGTGGTGTTTCTGGGTTTTGTTCACAGTTATGCGAAAATCTATAACATTGATTCTTAGGCCAAAAAAAAAAGTCTCCGGTTTCTGGTATGGAGCTTGCCCAAAAAGTGGTGCGGCAACGCGGCTTTTTTTTTTTTTTAACCCGATTTTTTTTGCTTCAAATGTCGGCTGATGACTGCAAATGGTGTCCGACTTAACTTAGTGCAAATATATGGGAGTCCAGAGAGGCCACATAAAGATTATTCTCGACCATAACCCAATCTAAAAACACGTTAAAACTGTGTAGCAGCAGGATTCCAGTCAAACCAGTGAGTTTGGCGGTTTTGAGACATCATCTTTCATTGAAAGAAAAACTTTTACATTTTGCCGACGCGCATGGCTACGGCGACGCGCGCGCATACCAGAAACCGGAGACTTTTTGTTTTTGGCCTTAAGGTGCCCTCGGGTGGACTCACGATTTGCTTGCACCGCCACGGAACCGTCAGCATCGAGCAGAAAATTAATGCTCAGATCACAAAACTGAGAAATCCTGTGATTCTCATGGAACAAGCGGCATCTCGGCGCAAAATGTAATGCTCATGTAACCCATGATGCGACAACAATTCCACGGCATTGACAGTCATCTTTAAGAATAGCGACAGCATACGGATTACAATCAAACGACATTCCACGGCCACACCAGCTGTTTATTCAGCCGTTTTTGCCGCACGCTGATTGGCTACACGACTGCGATTGACTCCCGCCTGTCGGGAACGTGGCGCAGAAGTTGAAATGTTTCTACTCTTGCGACTATTGATTTATTGAGCGCCAACTGATGCGGATCATCTTAATATCGTCGCAGTTACACTCAGGTCCCACAAAATCGGCGACTAGTTTGTTACAGATGGTCGTAGCTCAGGCAAAGCTAGATCCTGAAAAGTCAGTCGCCAACTGATCTGTGTCATCGCAAGGTCGACCTGAGGGCACCTTTAGGCTGTGAAGAATTCTATTTTTGAGGGGGGGGGGGTGGGTTGGGGGCATAAACATTACTAGTTCGTGAAATTTTTGTTTCGTATTTGTACACACAGTTATTGTTCTTTGGAGTGTGTGCCTAGAGTTAGACAATAACAGTGCCCTCAGTTGTCAAGAAATAGTTGAACATGTAAAACAGCAACAACAATTGTGCATCTAAAACCAAACCAAGGTGAAGAAATCATGAATCGTTTTTTTTTTTTCCATACACTTCCAAACAAACAACTATTTTTCCTGAAAAAAAGTTGAAAAGTTGAATTCATGATGATGAACCCTAACTTTTGTACTTGAATCAACTCAAGACTCTTGTGCAACCGTACCTCATCCTTGAGGGCCGTCTCCTTCAGCCAGTTGGTCAGCGGCTCAAACTTCTCCTCCAGTTCCTCCCGCCTCTCCTTGGCCTTGTCTGACTCCTCCCCTATCTTCAGCCCCTCCTTGGCCACGTTCTGGAACTTCTTGCCCTCGAACTCCGGCAGGGACTGGATGGTGTACTCGTCCACCGCCTCCGTCAGATACAGCACCTCGTAGCCCTTCTTGAGGAGGCGCTCTGTGAACGGGGATGATTCAACCTGTATAGGGTAACAAAAAAGGTCCTTAAAATACTATGTTCAAGGCTGCGATAATTAAGGACTATTAGGTTACAAATAGAGATTTTTATCCAAATGTTTCAAATTTAGTTTTGAAAATGGGACCCCTCTTAATTTTTTTTCACTGATATCAGCAGCTAGGTCGACTTTGTGACATACATGCTCTACACACTTGGTGCTGTGGAATCAGGTTGGCGTAGCGGTACTTTCCTCGCCTTCCACCGCTGTGACCTGGGTTCGATTCCTGTCCTGGACCACATGTGGATTGGGTTTCCAGTCCCTACCTGATTCCGTGGGTTTTCCCCAGAATATTCTTCTGGGGTTTCCTCCCACCTCTAAAACTGTAATTTCTTCTCACCGTCTTCTCTCTACAGGTTTCTATAGGCTTGCGAACTATACAGTGCCCAGGGCAACCTTAGGAATCCTTGAATAAAAATAACACAGTGTGTCCTACACAGTGGATTTCTCACGAGCAGTCACAAAGCACCATCCATTTTCCCTGCACAAAGTCCGCACATTACACATCTCTTCAAAAACAACCCAGAGGTCTTCGATGTTTCTGTCCACTCATGTCAACATTTCTGCCTACCTCTTTTCTGCTGCTGCCAGCCATGAAGTAAATGTGCTCCTGCTTGTCCTTCATCCTCTCTAGGTAGTCGGCGAGACTCGTCACCCCGTCCTCCGAGTTGGAGGACTGGAAGCGGACCAGCTTGGCCAGACGGGAGCGGTTGCTGTGATCCTCAATGATGCCCAGCTTAATGTTGGTGCCGTACTCCTTCCAGAACTTGTCGATGTAGTCCTCATCGCTGATCTTCTTGATCATGTCCAGGGTCTGTCAGGAGAAGGATGGAATACAAGTTGAAGAGATAAATAACTTTTTTGTCTGTAACTAGCAGTTTTGTGGAGCAACAGCATTGATTTCAATGAAAACTTAGTATAAATCAAAACTATGATGCACATTTGTGTTTGTATAGTTTTCACTGAAAAATAAAGCATAAATTGTATAGCTATTACCTACCATTTGTGCAATGCATTGACACCCCATTTGAACATCACAAAAGAAGGAGAGCAAATTATGTCAAAATTAACATTCAAAAACCCCAAAAATTGATTTAAATAAAACAACCAAAGACAATTTCACTGACACTAAAACCTATCAAGCCTTCAAAGCTCATCTCCAAATATTCAAGATTACTGGGTGTAATGACTGAACCTTTTTTAATATGTAGATACATATTAAAAAAGGTTCAGTCATTACACCCAGTAATCTTGAATATTTGCACCAATTGTGTAGGCAGAGGGACATTACCCACCAAGGCTGATCAAAGTGACATCCTGACCCATGTTACACAGTGAAACACACTTGTATTTCTCATTGGATATCCTCAAATCATCCCTAATGACTCCAACTAAAGCTAAGAAATATTGAGGTATGGGCACTTTATATGTTGTCTCGTCAGAAAAGGACAGAATTGGAACAGCTCACTCCCTAGGCCTTTTTGCTAGGATGTAGCCTCAATCCTGCAAATTCCTCCATTATTTCTTGAAAATGGTCAGGCTTGATCAGTGACATCCTGGAGCAGTACGGAGGATTTCAAGCATAATCCAGGCCTTTATTTATGCATGGCTGAGCAAAAAACAACACAAGGTCCAGCCCAAGACCTTGACAAAGTGCATCCTACAAAATCAAAGCACTTTTTATTTTTCCTCATTCATCCACTTTGGTAAAGAGGATTTTGGAGGATTCAGGGCGGTTAAGGTTAAGTTACATGCCAAGATTCGTCATGAAGACTCACCTTGCGAACCAGTTTCTTCTTGATGACTTTCAGGAGCTTGTGTTGCTGCAGCATCTCTCTGGAGACGTTGAGAGGCAGGTCGTCCGAGTCCACCACCCCCTTGACAAAGTTCAGATACTTGGGCATCATGTCCTCAAAGTCGTGGGTGATGAACACTCGTCGCACGAAGAGCTGCAATGTATACCACATGACATCAATTTTACAGCTTGTTACAATTTGCACAACTCTGATGTAGTGGTGCAAATTATTGAAAATCCTTTTTGTGATGTCATAAAGAGTTCCATGTGAGCACTTTTGCAACGGTTTGGGTATTCAAATTTTCAATGTTTTAATATCCAACTTAAAATTACCCAAACTTGTTAATAAACGCCCCCATCTCAAACCCCTCCCCCCCCCCCCTCCAAAATGTGAGCTGGGAAATTGTCTGGATTACTTTTCCATTCTGGGTGATTCCTGAATGCCATATTTACTATTTGCGTGACCGCCCAATTTTTGGTCAACTATTTAAAGGGAAGATACAACATTTGGAAACATCAAAAAATGAAATGATCAAATTATCACAAAATATCTTACTGGTTTGGTAGGGAATGACGGTCAAAAGCATCTTGTAAAATCATGGCTCCTAGTGTGCTGACATTTTCAAGAAAACTTGGAGAAAACCCACTTTTTTTCAAAAGGTGCTCCTAATTGATTATACACCTGTGAAGGGGTACAAGACTTCTAGACTGATTCTATGACCTTACAATTCCCCTAAGTCTATAAATTGCTCTGTTTCATCTAATGTGGGGTCAGGGAACCAGACTACAAAACATGGTTGGTTTTCTTGGATTTTCCAGCATCTCCGAACCCAAAACGTGAAGCAAGTCAGTTTAGCATTATTTGCTATAACATACTTATCCTTCAAATCCATTTAATTTCTATAAAATTGCAGCAAAAGCAAATGTTGTACATTCTCTTCAATAAGGAAAAGGCTACCAAGAAGAAGCTCAGGAGTGGTGAAGATTGCACAGACCAATAAGGGAGTAAAAAAAAAACATTGGTTCAATTCAACGAGCCAAGACTCACACTGATGTGGTCAAACTTCTTGCCGTAGTCAGCGAACATCTGAGGCGGTGCTGTCGGGGGGACAAAGAGGATGGACTTGAAGGTGACCTCGCCCTCCGCCGTGAAGTGGGTCTTGGCCAGGGGCTCGTCGCTGGCCTTGGTGAAAGACTTGTAAAACTCGTTGTATTCCTCGTCTGTGATTTCTTTGGCTCTGTGGAAAAGCACAAAAAAAAAAATATCGAGTGCTTGGGTTAAGGTCGGTTCACACTTCACGCGAATGTGAATGGGATTCAAATTTGACGTAACGTTCACCGCAAAATTTAACAGAGTTGAAACGTGTTCCACTTTTGTGAATTCGCAGCGCATAAAACTTGCCCTGACTTCACAAATTTACGTTCACGCTCGCTATCGCGCAAACAAATTGCCGACCTCAAACTTTTTATCGCCACAATTTGGCTAAATTTTTCAAATGACACTCGGCCCAGGGCCCAATTTCAAGGCGCTGCTAAGCATAAAAATTTGCTGAGCACAAAAAGTCTGAATAATAAAAGCAGATTACCACCCAAAACTCCATGTGATTTTCATGCTAAGCAAACAACAGCTGAATACTAATCACGAGCAATATACATTTCATGGAGTTTTGGCTGGTCACCTGCTTCTATAAGCTTAACTTTTTTTGTGTTTACACATTTTTGTGCTGAGCAGCGCCGTGGCATTGGCCCCTGGTACTTACTGGCGAGTCCAGATGGGCTTGTTGACGTTCATCAGCACCCAGTCCCACGTCGTCTTCTCCACGCTTTTGGTCTTGCGCTTGGGTTCCTTCTCTTCTTCATCTTCAACTTCTACATCTGTAGATAAAAACCAAACGAAGTGTGTACATTAGGCCAAGTGACAACATAAAGCAGTTTCTCATCCCGGCCCACTTCCTTTTTCCCGCCCGTGTTTTTATTATTTTTATTTTATTCATACGTTAGCACTATTTTGTTTGTAAATTTTGTCAATATGTTTTCTCTTAATTTGATTCCAACTAAACTATAGCGGGTAAAGATGGTGAGGCTGGGTATTCACCAGCCTTAAGTCTTGCAAATTAAAAATCTCAACCAATAGCAGGAATTTGGCTAGAATCCTCTAAAAATAGTGCACTTTGCAGGAACCCATTGCGCTCTTGAAACTTTCACAGGGCTTCATGCACAATGAAAAGTGAGTGAGTTGGGCTTTATCATCATGTACATCCCAAATCCTACAAAACCCGAGGGATTTTGAAGGATCAGAAAGGGTTAAGGTTTCTTTGAGAAAGCTGATTGTTTAAGATGGGCGACTTACCGTCATCTTCTCCCTCGGGTTTCTCCGTGGGTTCTTCCTCATCTTCATCCTCAACCGGCTCCTCAACTGTCTCAGTCTGAGGCAAAGAAGATAAAAAGCAATTAAAAATTAGATGAGGTATAGTACATGTAAAACATTGTAAATACAGTAAGCATAAAAACAATGTATCCCAAGGTCTGTGAACTTGCAATGTTTCCTTCAACATGCTCTTGTTTTTAGATTAAAATAGCGTCCTTGGTTGGTCACGTACAGAGTCCAATAGCTGTCTGTTGTTTTATTTCAGACCCCAAACCAAAACCCATGATTTCCCCTGCAAATCTCACCCAGGCCGAGTGAAACAGCACGTGAAAAGTGTTGTGTTGGAGTCCAACACTGAGTCCTCAATTGTCCTCACGAGCCCATCCCAAGTCTTCAAGAGCCCATCCAAGTCTTCACGATCCCATCCCAAGTCTTCACGATCACATCCCAAGTCTTCACGATCCCATCCCAAGTCTTCACGAGCCCATCCCAAATCTTCACGAGCCCATCCCAAGTCTTCAAGAGCCCATCCCAAGTCTTTAGGAGCCCATCCCAAGTCTTCACGAGCCCATCCCAAATCTTCACAATCCCATTCCAAGTCTTCAGGAGCCCATCCCAAGTCTTCATCCCAAGTCTTCACAAGCCCATCCAAGTCTTCACGAGCCCATCCCAAGTCTGCACATGCCCATCCAAAGTCTTCAAGAGCCCATCCCAAGTCTTCACGAGCCCATCCCAAAATCTTCACGAGCCCATCCCAAGTCTTCATGAGCCCATCCCAAGTCTTCACGATCCCATCCCAAGTCTTCACGATCCCATCCCAAGTCTTCAAGAGCCCATCCCAAGTCTTCACGATCCTATCCCAAGTCTTCACGAGCCCATCCCAAGTCTTCATGAACCCATCCCAAGTCTTCACGAGCCCATCCCAAGTCTTCACGATCCCATCCCAAGTCTTCACGATCCCATCCCAAGTCTTCAAGAGCCCATCCCAAGTCTTCACGAGCCCATCCCAAGTCTTTACAAGCCCATCCCAAGTCTTCACGAGCCCATCCCAAGTCCTCAAAAACCGATCCCATCCCAGGTCCTCACAAGCCCATCCCAAGTGATCAATGATGGACTAGTGACGGATTTAAGATTCGACATAGTCAAGCATACCTTGCTGGACCAGAGATAGATGGGGAAGTTGATGAACTGACTGTACTTCTTGACCAGTTTCTCGATGGTGTCTGGCTCCAAGAAATCGTAGGCCTCCTCCTTCAGGTGCAGACTGCAATGAGAATGTCATGAAAATAGGCAATTAATTTCCTCACACAATGATTGGTAGATAATGTGACTCTACCCCGTGTACCATAGTTAAGTTGCCAACAATTCACATGTTCAAATTTAAGTTGTATTTTGCATCGCAAATGTATGTGTTTAGTTGCGGTACCCGCTGTTATATCAGCCTGCCAACCTTGGCAAGCTCGGTGGTCGAGTGGTTAGACATCTGCACTAGTAAGCAGGATATAGTGGGTGAGCTCAGTTAAGCTTGTGAATTTTTTTTCTTCTTCTGGCAAGCCCTCGGACAACACCAAGTATAGAGTGTTTAAAATCACACCAGTAAAGGGCAAAACATAATACTGAAGCTACATCTCCCCGACGCAAAAATTCCATCATACACATTATAGAGAACTTGACAATGTATACACAGTGGATCCAATCTGGTTGGGAGCACCAATTATCTACAGGGTGGATAAAAAAAAAAAAATGTAACCGAGATATTATTGCTAATTGGAACAGAAGTAGGGCACATGTGAATCGAACGGAGCTATCTTCTGTTAGGGTTCAATCTCCTCTTTAAAATGACACCCTGATCGTGGAAAAAAAAAGAGATTTCACCATGAAAAGTCGCACAATTCTCTAAATAGACCCTTTCATACAATTGGTCACTGCTCAGTCAACTGTGAATGTAAGCACATGATCAGGGTATCACTTTAAAGAGGAGATTCAACCCTAACAGAGGATATCTCCCTTAGATTCGCATGTGCCCTACTTCTGTTCCAATTAGCAATAATATCTCGGTTTCAATTTTTTGATCCACCCTGTATATATGCAGTGGATCGAATCTGGTTGGGAGCACAAATTATTTATTAGTCTCCACCTGACTGTGGTTCCACGTTTCAGGGTGTCCCCTCGTGGGTCCTCGGTGACTGTGAACTCCCCAGCATTGGACTCCCAGATGTACTGCTTGTCCTCATTGTGCTTGGATGTTACAATCACGGTATCAGCAACTGTAGTCAAAGAAAAAAAGAAAGCGTTTTATCTTGCTAGATAATTTTGCCAGGAACTCTTCCCGTGCTCTTGAAAACTGTTTTCTTCTCTAAGCGTCTAAACCTCTGAAACTCGAATTTTATTTTGGATTGCATTTGCTATTATTTGTGATTGCAGATTTGCTGAGACTATTTCGGTCGCTGTATTATCGATACTGATTTCTGGGGCAGGAACCAGCCTTCCCTGTGAGAGACTGAATTAAAGGGAAGATACAACATTTGCAAACATCAAAAAAACGAAATGATCAAATTATCACGAAATACCTTACTGAATTGTTAGGGACTGACAGTCTAAAGCATCCTGTAAAATCGTGGCTCCTGGTGTGCCGACATTTTCAAGAAAAACTATACTTTTCCAGGCAGACTAGCGTTGGAGATAACTGGCTTTTTTTCAAAAACTGCTCCTAGTTTCTCATATTTAGTTATACCGCATTTTCTTTGCAATTGATTACACACCTGTGATGGGGTACAAGCCTGTTAGACTGATTCTTTTACCTTACAATTCCCCAAAGTCTATACATTGCTTTGTTTCATCTTAAGTGGGGTCTGGGAACCAGACTACAAGAGCATGATTGGTTTTCTTGGTTTTTCCAGCCTCTACAAACCCAAAACATGAAACAAGTCAGTTTAACAATATTTGCAATAACATACTAATCCTCTAAATCCATTTATTTCTGAAAATTGCAGCAAAAGCAAATGTTGTACATTCCCTTGAATGTCAGGCTGCAAATAATTAAAAATATGTGCAACGACTATTCCATTAAACTAAACATGGGTGTATTTTTGTTTGTTCAATGTCTAATGTTTAATGGGCAACTTTTGTATTGTACACGTAGGGAAAACAGCAATTTAAAACTTCACTTTATTTTTTCAAGGTGAAGCTTGAAGATGGCACTGGGAGTGTCATTTTAAGCTCCATGTAAAAGAAATTGTGGCCAGTCCCTACTTCCTAACTCCAGCAAAATCCTACAATAAACCTTCAGGAGGATTTTGAAGGACATGGAGGGTGTAAGAGTTTTCGGGAAATCACTGAACGTTTAGGATTAATCTTGTGCACAAAACTAGTACAAATACACAAAAATTGGATCAAACAACTCCTTGGCGTTAGTCCGAGTATCATCCGTTGTCGAACGGAGCCCTCTCTGTAACCAACGTCTGATATATGTTGGCAATGCATATTTTAAGCGACCCTGCCCCCAGCCAACCGGAGTCAACTTAAGAAATTGGGACGTCCTTTCAATCAGATATGTGGACTTAACCGTTGATTAATCAATATGGCATCTTAGTTTTTGTAATACAACGATGGGTTACGGAAGACCCGATAGAAGGTGCCCGCTGAATGCTCAGAATCTCGAGGTCGAGACGCAGTCTTGTTTTGCATAATAAATTGCCGAATCTGCTCGCATATCATAGACCCTTGCTGTGCAAGGGGATGTTCCATAGACTACCTTGGCGGAAGATATGTTCATGTTTCATATGTGAATAAATATCAAATTTTTTTTGTTTTGAAGCACAGATTTTGCAAGGCAAACCTACCCAGGAAAGATGAGTAGAAGCCAACACCAAACTGACCAATCAGATCTCCCGCGTCATTCGAATTTACTTCCTGAAAAGTGAAATAACAGTTTGAAATGTCAAAATAAATACATTTTTTTGATCAACGGAGACTGCTCTCTAATTCTTTGGTATGAATTTGACAAACGACTGGTTTTGTTGTCACATTTTATTTCTTGTTCATCATGTTGTAAAAACATCTATAAATTTTAAAGAATAAGCATATCTGGGCAGAATCATCTTGCCCATTTCACGAATTTCTAATTGACAAAACTAAAATGTCCACGGTACAAACCCCAGACTTGAATGTATTGATAGACAAAAATAACTAACCAAAGCCTTGCTTATATCCAACATACAAGGTAGTAAAAAAATATGACATGAACACAAAAATTACAAAGCATGTCCTTACCGTAAGTTTTTCAAAGAATTCACTGGTTCCCGACTTGGCAATGGTACCCAGATTTGTGATCAGGTCTTTCTTTGTCATTCCGATACCCGTGTCAGTGATGTGCAACATGTGGTTATCTTTATCGGCCTGTAAAAAAAAAGGGCAAAATTTCAATCTTATCATTTTAAAATGTCATTATACGTACAATTCTGTATTACGTACTTGTTTCGGTCTGAAATCTACATTAACCCTAACCCACCTCACTCCTCCAAAATCCTCCTGGCGGTTTTGGAGGATTCTAGAGGATTGAGGATGAATGGTGATTGAATCAAATGAGGATTCTGGAGGATTGAGGATGAATGGTGATTGAAGCACATGAGGATTTTGGAGGATTGAGGATGAATGGTGAATGAAGCACAAGAGGATTTTGGAGGATTGAGGATGAATGCATTTTGAGGCAGGACTGTCTGATGATTTTGAAGGATTTGGCATTGGTTATCCTTCATTTATTAAACATGAGTGCAAAGTTTTGGGATGAGGAGGATTTTGGAGGATTGAGGATGAATGCATTTTGAGGCAGGACTGTCTGACAATTTTGAAAAATTTAGGCTGAGTTGAAAAATTTTGGAGGATTTGGGAGGATTTAGGATGGTTGTAAGCAACAAGGGCCTAGGGGGTTAGGGTTAAACCCATAAGAGCTTCATCGACAACATAATATGCATTGGGAGGCTGTCTGGACTGTTTAAGATTACAGTTGGCATTTGAAACTACAAATGCGACCGTTGACACGGTTATATGCAAACTTGAACTGTTGTCCTGTTTGAAACATAACCTGTTTTCTTAATACCTAAATAAAAAGTTAACTGAAACACAATTCAATGCTTTGACTTCCAGAATACCGTTTCCAGAATTTAAACAGCTCACCTCTCCAAAACTGCTTGAGGCTCTCACCAATTTTGTCATTTTGTTGTTATTAATAAAAAAAAAAATAAGCGAAACAAGGCAACTAAAGCTGATCCAAAACCAGTCGAGAGTTGGTTGAAAATCCCACTCAATTGCTTCATGCATCTTTTCTACACAACTGGCAGGATTAAACCGTTCATCGGTGACCACGTTACGGTGTAATCCTACACAAGCACTGCCTGGCTCCCTTCACTGGCCCACAACCAGTCTAAGTCACAAGTGACTGTCAGTCAGTTGTCAGAGAGATGAGTGAGATAGCTGCAAAGACCAGCAAAACTCTTTTCCAAAAGATTTGCCAGAAGTGTCAGCCCATTTGTTAGTGTTTTGCACCCGAACTGTTCTTCCTGTTTAATACTGCACCCTCCATAGAGCTTGTGATACAATAACACGCCAGCCAGTTTATAAGGTCGTTCGGTAACTTCAGTTCAACATTTTATATTCAAGAGCAATTCCAATATCCATCAGCTACTACACATTAAAATGACTACTCATTTATTGGGACTGCTTTTACCTTAATTTTGATGACTAGTTCCTCTGTGGCGTCCAGCGCAGATTTATCAGTCAGTGACAGTAATCGAATCTTGTCCAGGGCATCGGAGGCATTTGAGATCAACTCTCTCAAGAAAATCTGCAAAGGGGAAGCATTTCAGAAAAACAATAAGCCAAATTTGGCTTGTAATGATAGATATTTTAAATTTACAGGGCATTACTTTGTTTGAAACACAAAAATGATTTAAGAAACACAATCAAGCAAATTGTACAATCAGTGTCGGTTCATATACTTAATTTGCAGACTATGTGAATGCACTTTGCCAAATGCTAAAAAAGTAGATCGTGTTGCATTGTGCAGTGAATCCAGTACACACCATCCTAAGTACAAAGTAGTTATGGGTGTTTCTACAGTATTGGGTAATTTTGACGGACAAAGATTACACAAATGTTTTATTAAGAACCATCCTTTGCAGAGTTACAAGTTATGTGTGATATTGTTAAGTATGTATTAAAGATATATCAGAAATAAAACGAAAACCATTGGTTGTTGTGTTTATTCACTTAACTCTGAAGAATGTGTCCCTAAAATGGTGCTAAATATTGTGACATTTCCTGAAAGGCAGGAAACTATTGCTTTTTCTCCCTGTTTCAGTCTCAGTATTAAACTAAATTGACAGTGTACGAAGAGTTGGAGTTTCCCCCCACATAAATAATATCAGATGCAACCGCTGCGAGCTCACTTGTAAATACACGCCGACTGACAGGTGAGCCATTATCCACGTAACTGTGTCCGTCAAAATGTTACGTGGATAATCCCTTGCCAGATTGGAAAATCCAAGCCTTGTATCCCCACCTGGTTATGACTGTTTTATAGCTATGTTATCTTGTGTGAGGCACATATCATGACAGCGAATGTTTCCATGGAAAAGTTTCTCAAAACAGCCGACAAAATCTCAGTTCCAACTGTCCGTCAAATCGTTACGTGGATAACATCGCGCTCGTGTGCCAACTCAGAATTAGATAGATCCCCAGTTGACATCTTATGGTGTTCTCCCCTCACTGAGATGGGTTTCTGACGTGTTGTTCTTGAACAGTCTTTCATACTTCCTGACGGATGTTTCATGTTTGGTATTCCGTCACCAGAGTTACGTGGATAATGGCCGTTACGTGGCTAATCATGACAAAGGTTTTTAAAACGTCTTAGCACAGCGAGACAGGACAAATTTGTTTCCAGTGATAGAAGATGATGTCTAGTAACATCATGTTCAGTGTTCGAAGCTAGGTGAAATTAAATACAACTAAACGAGCTGATGACACAAGAGACGGACACAATGACTGGTGTGTCATTACCCTTGTAACAAAATTCAACGAAGCATGGAACTTGAGTTGACTGCCAAACGCAACAGTGTGCAACAAGTGTTTACCACGGCTGCCTTCTGTTGCATTTAGCATGGTTAGAGATTACACACCTCCTTGTTTCTGTAGAGGGAGTTGATGATGAGTTTCATCATGCGGTTGACCTCGGCCTGGAAGACGTGCTTCTCGGCTGATTCTCGTAACTCTTTCATTTGAGCGACGTTCAAACCGTCTAACTTGATGGCCTCCTCTTCCCTGGAGACAACACAAATGAAGGAACAAATAAAGAATGAATGTTTGTGCTTGTTTACTAACGATATTTCAACGGTTTGGGTCACAAGAAACCCTAAGAATGCCTTACATTTACAGAGGCAAATTTGAAAAAAAATCTGGTGTGTTTGATCTCTGACGCGGCAGCCATTTTTACCTGCCTACACTTATTGCAAGCAGTGAAAACTTATAACTTATCAAATTACATGTATAACTAAAGCTGTCAACATGAGACTGGCTCCGAATTTAAGCGTATACACAGTTAGTTTGTTTTCCTACTGCCATAATTTGTGAAACTTTTTGCCAGACAGATGTGCAGCTTAGAAATGATATGTTTTTGTCAACAACATACATGTAACCTGAAACTAGAGCAAGTGAAACTATTAGCTACATGTAACAGAGACATAATGTAGACTTATCAGTTGCATGTGCATGAAATTAATAACACTCTCGTACAAAATTCCTGTCCACGTGTAACTACTTACCATTTCTCTTAAAATAACCATTGCACAGACATTTACTTCCATCCACATGTGTTGTTTACTTGATAGCTATCTTTAAGCACACGTGTACTAATACGCACGTGAGCAAACATACCACTGGCTTATTAAAATCATTTCACTTTCAGCACACTTTCGTTTAATAATGAACGACAGATCTTTACAGTATTGAATACAGAACATGCTTTGCTTTGTTTGTTCTTTTCTTTTGCCAAATGATAAAGTCGTCATTAATGTCTGACATGCAGGATTCTTTTTCTTCCTTTTTCAAATTTATTCATTTCAGAAATCTTTGACGTCTACAAGTAGTAGACGTTTTTCACAACTTAAAAAACATATTATAAAAATCATGGAATAAAAGTGTTTTGGCATCTTTCACTGTCATGACTACAAAACTCACCTCTTTGTCAGTATGTTACTTTTTTGACATGTCGATAAATGCAAACTTTAAACATCCATAACTTGTCAATGGGATGCGAGACTGAGCTGCAACAAACAGTATTACCCGAACCCTCATTTCGACGTCTGCCCAGTTCTGTCTCATTTTGCCAGAAGGCATACAATTTTAAGAGTCCCAAATTGGTGGACTACTTTATGAAAGTACCTTTCCACGGTCTCATCATCTGTCTTTGATGCATCCCTGCTCTTGCCGATGTCTTCCTCAACCACCACATCACCGTCTTCTGCTTCATCAGCGGCCGACACAAATGCTGAGAGAAAAACACAAACAAAGCGGCTGGAGTGAAGTTTGACTGGTAAGTTTAACTACAAAACAATAAGCACAATGTAGTCTGTGTATTTAAGTACGGTTACAAACTGAAAGTTGGGTCGCCCTTTTTGAACGCATTGTTGAGGTTTTGCAGATCCACGTAACATTATCACGTGAATGGTGCAACCTCTGCCACTGTGGACGTCTAGCGTACACGATCGATTGTACAGCACATGTACTTGCATTATGCGTGTTAAACGTGCATGTTCTGGGGTATTGTCACGGTCAATATCAGATTCTTCTCACAAAAGTCAATAGTTAACCCCCCAAATCATTGAACACATAATGAAAGATGAAGAAAGCAACCTTTGATATGTGTCTCAATCACTTTGGAGAGGTGTTGGTATTTTTCCTGAACTTCGCAACGGCGTGTATTTATCACAGGGGTTTATTTACTAGTCTGCAATCGCAGATGTCCAATATGGCGGGCATGTGTATGACCACTGGCCTGTGACTTCACGTACAGATTCCTCAATTTTACTATCGGGGTAGAATCACGTCAACGCAGCTTGTGAAATATTGTCCAATTAAGTGATAAACATTGTCACCGACACCACACACTAAAACTCAGTTCCGCGCGAGTATTTTACGCGCATTTTACAGAACCGGGTTATTTTCGTTTTCACGAACCGACATTGGCACAGTGCGGCACTTCTAGCACGCACTCCATTCATTTTTGTTTTCACAAACTGCCACTGATCTTAATATCGCCAATTAAAATGGCTTTTAATTAAATCATTGTGAAAGCCCACAAGTACACAGATCAATGGATTAAATTCATGTCAAACTTTTCAAAACATTTTTCTCTGTAATGTAGGCCTATCGCCGCAACATGCTTGGGTGTTACCCCTAGAACTATGGGTCTTATACGTAAGACCCATAGATATGTATATAAATGCAAACATGCTGTATGCTCTACGAATAATATACAATCAACGACCGGAAAAGTAGCGTTGAGCTTTGGAGCGGCCGCTGTTTATTTTTACCCCAAGACTATGCCCAGTACTTCTTGACTTACTCACGTTCATTTCGCTAAAAGGTATGTTGAATCGATCCCGATGATGCAAAAAAATGATGAAAACAGTCCCCTTTATGTACCAAAGCTACAGTTTGAGTTTTAACGGCACGTTATCACGCACGCGAAGCGTTGTTGGCGTGACGTCAGAGTCTTTTGGTTTGGAAACCTACCACAGACATCATCTTTATAGTGCATATTGTGGGCGGGCCAATCACAAGACCTCGTGATTGGCACGTCTGATGCCGCCCGCGATCTGTACTATAAAGATGGTATCTGTGGTCGGTTCCCAGACCAAAAGACTCTGACATCACGCCAGCAACGCTTCCCGAGCGCGATAACATGCACGTTAAAACGTTTAAACTCAAACTGTAGCTTTGGTACGTAAAGGGGACTGTTTTCATCAATTTTTTGCATCATCGGGATCGATTCAACATACTTTTTAGTGAAATGAACGTGAGTAAGTCAAGAAGTACTGGGCATAGTCTTGGGTACAAATATACAGCGGCCGCTCCAAAGCTCAACGCTACTTTTCCGGTCGTTGATTGTATATTATTTGTAGAGTATACAGCATGTTCGCGATGGGTCTTACGTGTAAGACCCATAGTTCTAGGGGTACTTGGGTGTCAGTTCCTGAAAACGAAAACCATTCTATTTTGCGTCAGTGTCCAATGTGCGTGCGCACTACCGGGTGTCAGTTCGTGAAACCAAAATGGTTGATTACGTGGTTTTTCATGAACTGACACCAACTTGCGCTTGAGTGTCAGTTTGTGGTCTTGGTGACGAAATGGACGCATAACGCGAAAAATCCGAGACAAACCATGGAGATGAAGGAATTCCTTCCTCCGTGGACATGATGGACAAACAAACTTACACAATTCCCCATAGGGATGTCTTAGGCAAGTTAGGGGCGTGGCTAACTCGCAAACGGGGATAGATCAATTGCACTGGTCCTGCACTGTGAACAAGATCAGGCTAAGGCCGGGTTTGTGCACATGCATACTTTCAACATCTTTTGCAATTTTAAACGAAATGCACACAGGCTACTCCTAGAACTATGAGGCTCCACTACGTGGAGCCTCATAGTTCTAGGAGTACACACAGGCATGACAATAACAAGTGGTAGGCCTAAGTGGCATGAAAATGAAAGCCATAGACATGAACTAGTACGTGTCATACCCATAGTTCTAGGGTAGGGGCCTGTAAGTGTAACTCCGAAATAGCCAATCAAACAAACACATGACAAACATTTGTCAAACCTAAAAAGTCAAGCAACAAAAAAGTTAGGCCAACGACTTCTGAAAATATTAAACTGTTAAATAAACCAGTATTCATTATTAGCGTCAAATACTACATCCCTCAAAATAAAAAAGCACAACAATCACAAGAAAATTAATGCATAAATTAACAGCAAATAAATTTCAACATGAATGATTAATAGGAGAAACGCCGGCCAGCCAAGTTGAATAAACTAAAGTTCGCCCGTCATGTTCCGTAGTAGGCTACACGCAAAAATCATGTTGAACAAATCCCGATGTCCTTTCGGTCGATTAACTTAAAACTTAACATGTAACAAACCTATATCCATGGCAGTTTTACTTACATGTCGCCAGCAGCACAGCAAAGAGCCCGAATACCCAAAACTTCGCCGACATTTTTGGTTGAACCGGTAGAAAACTGCACCTTCTCCGCACGTGTTTGTACACACAAATGCACCAGCGTAAAGCGATGTCGATGACATGAATTAAAAAAACATGGTACACGAAGTACACAAAGGTCACACGTGGAGTGTGGCCAATCAGAGCCGACCACGCTAAAACCAACCAGCCAATCACGTTATCCCAACTCAGCTAGGCCGACGGCTGAGCGTGGCTCTGTGTGATTGGTATTTAGTTAGCATGACGTTCGACTAACATGAATATGCAACAAGCGCATAAATTGCATGAAATCAGTTATATTTTGCATTTTTAATGTTATACGAAAATAAACTGAACGCTTAGCAGCAACAGCAGGCTGTGGTCTTTAATGTCAAATCTTCTTATTGCCCTTGGAGGGTCAGTGACTCTAACAAATAGAACCGTTCCTTTTTGAAAACCTGACATTCTAGAATTTAGAAAATTGCAAGCCTTTCCTCCCCATTCCCCACGCACACACTTAATGCAATTTGCACATTCTAATTTAGAATTTTCGAAGGCCTAGAAACTTTCTGATTAGGTCATAGGCCTGTGTATAGCTGAAACTCAAGCAAATGACCGTCCTAAAAACTCAATGATTTGTAGGCATGTGGGGTAATACAGGGTGAGTCAAAAAAAAAACGAACGAAAATGTCGGGACTATTGTTTTTTGCGAAGTTCTGCATGTAGCACTTTCAAAATCTAGGATACAAAAGCGCAATTCATAAGCTTTCTTTTAGTACAAGATGCAAATCACTCAAGCACTTTTTAAGTTATGGAATTTTAAGCACAACCACCGCTTTAAAGTTCTGTCCACGGATCACACAAAAGGTGTGCATTCTTTCACTTAGTTTCAGCAAATTCAACAATTCACACACATCCCTATGTGATTTGTTTTCGTTTTGCTGAAAGAACACTTACCGTTTTGTGATCCGTGGACAGAACTTTAAAACGGTGGTTGTGTTTAAAAGTCCGTAACTTGAAAAGTACATGAGTGATTTGAATGATTCTTCTACTAAAAGAAAGCTTATAAATTGAGCTCTGACATCCTAGATTTTGAAAGTGCTACATTTAGAACTTCACTAAAACAATGGTCCGGGCATTTGGGTTTCGGTTTTTTTTTACTCACCCTGTAGTTACATGTACATACATGAATGTGGGCAATAAGCAAATTAAAAAAGTGCAATTTCTGGCGTTTTTAAAATATTTATTTGATAAAAACTGGTTGAGGGTCTACTTTGTTAGGAATGGGAATAAGATAATACTGGTGAGGTAATGCGAACGGGCAATTGCAATGAGGAGTGACCGTAGCTTGTTATTCTGATCAATTTGACGGGATGTAAACAATTTAAATGACAATGCGACCTGAAGTCGAAACCGGTGGAAAATATCCAGGGGAGGCGGAATTAACGCGGAGGCTAGGGGCAATGCTCCCCCTCACCTATTTTAAAAAAATTTCCCCTTCTAGTCCCATACCACGATTTGACCCTTGCTGATATGCATGTGGCCTATTTTCGAGTAGTATGTCAAAATAGTTCGCCCCCCCGAAAAAAAACACAATTTTTTTCTTCTTGCTGAATTTTTTTTTGAGCCCTCCCCCCCCCCCCAGCCAAATCCTGGGTGCACCACTGAACACAATTAGAGCAGCCTGATGTTTCAGCCCTAGCAAAAGGCCTTCACTCCAGAAGGCTGAAATCTCAGGCCGTTATTAAAAATACTTATTAGCCTGACAGAGATTTGTATTGAGTCAAACTTGAGTTTGGCACAGTTTGATGGTTATTTTGTATTTTCAACAATCCAATGCCATATTTGGAAACTGAAATAGCCATTTTTTATTCAATAAGTTTTTGCAACTATCGCCTTCCATATAAATGCATAGCTTGCTAACCCGTGGTTCGGAAGCGCAAGGGTGGGGGGTGGCAGGGGGGGGGAGGGGGCAAGAGGTTGCCAGTGGTGGGGGAGTTCTTTTTTTTTTTAGTGCCACCACCGTGGTGATATGTATATGCCTAATTTCGAGTAGTATGATATAATAGGGATGTAAATGGCGCCACCAACGTCAAAATAGTCTGTCCCCCCCGTCCCCGCCCCCCCCCCCAAAAAACCCATTCAATAGACCGCTTGCATACGCGTTCGATAATCGACGCGCGAAGGCGCGCGACGCCATGTTGTGGGACAAGCGTTTATCTATCCATGCACATTTTGTCCCACAACATGGCGTTTGCACCTTCGCGCGTCAATTATCGATCGCGTCTGCAAGCGGTCTATTGCATTTTTTTGCAGCCAAACAATTTTTTTTTTATTTTGTGCAACATTTTGCTGCAAACAAAAAATCAAACTTCTGATACAAAATTGAAAAAAAAAAATTGTGAGCGCCCCCCCCCCCCCCAAATTCCTGGTGCACGACATGCCGTGGTTGGCAAAAAGTACAAGCGCCATTGTATATTGATAAAAGGTGTTAAATTCATGCTTTGGTCGTCAAAATGCCAAATTCCCTGTCATTTTGACTGATATCTGCCTAACTACTAGTCTGAGTATCACCCGTTCTACGGAGCGAGCCGTGTGTTTTCGACGAGCGTCTATTACATAGACTACCTAACTACTAGAACTGACCCAGATCATTGATCACTTGATCAATGGGAGTTTTTGTATGGTTTTAATTCCATGGCTACAGTCTAGCGCCCGCTACTGGCGGTCCTGTGTCGATCGTGCAAATTGTAAACAAAATAAAGGTCGGCGTGTGGTGTCGAGTAGGCTACTCCATAATCTCGTCAACAATTTTCAGTACAGTTTCAGATATTACTAATAGCTGCAAGTTGAGAGGTAGGTACACGTAGGTCGTGAGAGCCAAGCCGTTTTTGTAGAGCTAGACGAGATCACCACGTTGTTGATCAGTACAGTGACGCATGGAGGTAGTGACACGCAGTCCTCTTATACGCTTTGGTGGGGGGCTGTCTGACGCGCTACACTCGGCATAACATAAACTGCATGAACAGGTGGTCGCGTGTTCATTTCCTGTCTCGATCAGCTCCGTGGGGCCGGGGACTGTCGGGGCTTCCTGTGTGTACAGGGTAAACGGTACCCCTAGAACCATAGAGCTAGGAGCCTAGGACCCAGCTAGAACTATATGGGACTCCAGTCGAGCTTGACCAGAGCTGGACACAGATTTCCATATCTGGCCATCACTATTTTTTCCTTTGAGTGACCTATCATACTATCACAAATTCACAAATTACGGTAATCCTTACTTTTTGGACACCTCTATTTTGTACGAGTTCTGTTCAAAACTGACTTTTGCAGATGACTGTCCAGTACCAAAGTGACTTTTGCAGGCTAAAGAATTCTTTTTTCTTCAGACAAACTCATTTTAGTTATAATTTTGAAAGCACTTTCAAAGAAAAAGTGACTTTCCTACCTTTTTGTGCACTTCGCCATCTTGCTTTTTAAATCTATTTTCTGTTTGTCATCGTCCCCTCATAAATCAAAACCCTGCCCTCTTTCTACAAAATCAAACCTGCTGATATTCAAGAGGTGTCATTGCCAACTGTTCAAATGTGCCAAGAAATACCAGAATGTCACTTTTGAGTGTCATTTAGTCAGCTGTTTTGGTGAGTCTTTTAACTTTATATAGGAAAGGGGTCCTAAAAGTAAGGATTACCCAAATGACTTTTTAATAAGAGTAGACTCAAGAGACGAATTTAACCAGAAGGACTCTAAAGTCCTAGTTTTAGCTAAATATTGAGGCATAAGGGTAAGTAATATTTTCAAAGTTATACAACCAACGGGTATGTTGTGGGCAGATACAAAATTTTGAGGAAATTGTTGGGGTCAAACGACAATGAAAATGATACAACTCGTAAAAGATGATGGCGATCACACCACGATGCGCTGTTAATGAGCAAACCCACACAGATTACCATGGCGTTAGCAGAAAAGTGCGCACCGAAATCATGTTACTATTAAGAAGATAAGATTTTTGATGTTGAATTCAGGCGCAATACAAAATATGACTCGGCAACTTTTGAATTGATATCGAGATCCTCGATTTGATTGATCCTTGGAATATACCAGTGCAGCTTTCACAGAGCTAAAATTTTATCAGGTTAATTGTTAAGCACCCGTCTTTAAATTTTGAGCATGTAATCTATAAGGGCAATCATCAGCTTTACTGCAATCAGATCTGGTTATTTCTGCATGTACCGTGTGTACACAGACAACAGTATTCAACCCTACATTTTGACTGTCATCAAGGATTCTTTGAGCTTGGAATTATTTGGACAAAAAGTGGAAGCTGGAGTTTTTCTTGCAAGCTTTTTGATAGCCCCATGTGTCTAAGTCCTGGACTTTGTCCATATTTAGAGCCACAATGCATGCTAAATTTCTGGCATTTAGTTGTTTCATGAATTTGACTGTTTTTCACTCAGTATTTCTTTAGAAGCTACTTTACCCAGTAAATAATCAGTAAATAAAAATGGAAATTATGCTCAAATCCAGCAGTAATTCACTTTTCACACACTTCCGCCATGAGCATGCAGAGCCTCGATCTGGCAACTTTACATAATAAATATAGCCGGTTCAGTGATTCCAGAGTCGGGTTTCAGATCACTGAACCGGCTAGTTTTATTGTGTAAAGTTGCCAGATCGAGGCTGTGCATGCCCAATGGCGGAGCGTGAAAAGGGCGAATTGGCAGTCTTTATGGACAAACTTTCTACACATTTCTCCAGAAAATTACAGAGTTTATGAGTACATGTCTAGAGATACAGAATTATATTTTCCTGGTTACTAACCTGGTAAGTAGCTTGCATAGCGAATATCAAATGAAACAATAACTATATGGATTTTAAAGCTCTGGATCTGGTAGATAGACGCTGTTTTCAAAGAGCTATATTCAATTACTAGAGCGCTAACTCCTCATTCTTGCACGCGGAGACACTTTGAAGCCGTCCTTTGAATTTTGAAAGTGTACTCTAAGTGCAACGCGCAAGTGTAACGTGCATGTACGCAAACTTACGCAAAAGTCTTACGCGTGTTGTGGTTAAAAAAAACACAGTTAATCAAGGCTGCAGTGGAGACGCGCACAAATCGCGCTGTTTGCGTAGAGTATGATATGCTCATTTGCTGATCGTGCATTTCGGTTTTGGGCGTAGGCCCTATATGCTCAGGAGATGCACCGGTATTGAATGTAAACGCAGATATGCAAATGGACGTACAAAATACGTACAAAATTTCTAGTTCTCCATAGGTTTGTGTACAAACATGGATGCGCCCAGCAGGCATCACTTTGTACATGAGTTAGCGCTCTAGTAATTTAATATAGCTCTATGACTGTTTTACACTTACCATGCTTTGCTTTACCTCCAGGTAATATGTGTGCATATGTCCAGTGTAGAACGCAGTAGAATCCAGTGTGATTGGTCATGAGCAACTAAAGAGTGACCGGGTTTTACGGCAGAAATATGGCTCCACCAAGTTCGCCTCTCAAGCGCAGCCTCAGCAGCATTGGGCGCCAGATCTCCTTCCGCCAGCCCATCAGGCCCTTCATCTCCTCCACCTTCGTGGACTTCTTCGAGGAGCGGGACCACCTGGTCAAGCGGGTCTTCCCCCAGCTGAACAGCCTGTGCCACCAGCGGGGCACCCACTTCAGCCCCGTGGACCTACGCTGGGGCATCAACGAGGAGCAGTCGCAGTCCGGTAACGTCATCTCCCTCTGCCTGGACTACATCAACTCCTGCAGCCCTTTCTTCATCTGTCTCCTCGGGGAGCGCTACGGCTCCCGGCGGCCCACCGATGCACGGCCGCTCCAGCCCAACGCCGACATCAACAGCAAGGACCTGACCTGGCTGGATAAGAACTACCTGGTGGCAGCCGCCAACGGTCATAACTGGATCCTGCAGGAAGCCTATCAGTGCTGTAGCGTGACGGAGTTGGAGATCATTCAGGCTGTCTATCTGAATGACAGCCAGCATTGCAGGTTCTACTTCAGGGATGTCAGGCACATTGAAGACAAGTTTGCCGATCTGCCTCAAGTTGAGAGAGAAAACAAATTACAGGTACTGTTCACTGTAGGACCAAATTATTAAAACACTTAATTGGGCTGCTCATTCACCATTGGTAAATTGGCACTGCAGAGTAGGCATCTGTGTTCTTTAATAGGCAAGACAGTTTAATACAATTGCGTCTCCCTCCACAGTTGCTTCTCTGCATTTGCTGCTCTGTTTATAGGCTTTGCTGCACAGTGTGGCAAGACCGCACTGCCAGCCAGTTTACAAAAAGTGAAATAAAAATTTCAAAAAAATCCAGGACATTTGCAAAAACTAGGGTGAAGGGCAACACCTTAACTTTTTAGCGTACTGCTTTTTGTTATTACATTGTATTAGTAATTGTATAATAATATGAATTGTGGAATATGTCTGGATTTTACCTTATGATTCCTCGTTTTGTTGGTCTGTACAGTGTAGGTCATTTCTGTCTGTTTTGTGTTGCCTGTTTTGTGTTAGTAAACGGAGATTTGTTTGTTTTGTGTGTGTTATGTTTCCTTTTGTGTTACCATTTTGTTTTTATTTTCAAAGATGACCTTTTGGAATATGAAATACAAGTGTAGAGGGAAACAGTAGTCCTGCAGCATAGTGTTAACATTCCAGTCATAGCCAAAAAAATTCCCCTACCCTGTACTGGGGAAAATGCGGAAACGGACAGGTGTAATGAGAAAAGTCTTGAAAAGAAGTGAAGATAGGGTTGGTACCAAACACTCTGTGAAATTATTCCGTCAGATAGCATTCAGAAGAAAACAGTTATTTTTTTAAAAAGTGTGTTTTCATGCTTAAGCAATGGAATCCACCCGCAAAAAGTGAGCAAATGTTCCTCTGTTTTCTTAAAATGTACAGTTTCCACTGAGCTCAAACTTCCACAGGTTAATTTTAAATTGCACTCTTCTTCAAATGTCGAGCAGTTTTATTGCTTCAAAATGGACAAATTTATGCGGAAAAAGCAAATGATCCTACATGTTCCTTTCGAACAATTGCAGATATATAGCAGTGAGAATGAAGAGACAGAACTGCGAGTGCGGGATCTCAAGAGGAAACTCGTCAACAAGGGCCTACCGGTGCGATTCTTCCGGACGGTAGAGGAGCTTGGGGAGAAAGTTTTGCAGGATTGGAACGCCATCATCAACCAGCTGTTTCCACCACTGCACGACGTCACGACGGACGTAGGTAAGCTTCAAGGGCATGTGTTAGCACGTGGGGCACCGTGGTTCTAATAGTTACAGTGTCAGACCTATCTGCCTTGGAACGTGTTAAGTGTAAGTCTCATGCTGAAGAAAGAGATTGAAGCTGGAATAAAGACCAGTCAATTCAGCTTGTCAATGGACCGATCCAGTAAGCATTGCCCCATGGTGTTCTGACCAATCACAGCCGTGATTTATGTTCCAACGTGCGTGCACTAAAGTCCGACATGAGTGCACGCTCGTATGATGCGCGCGGCAGGAAAATGCAGCGTGGCATTGGAGAGGAGCACGTGTTAATTTTGCCCACGTGCACACTGGGCGGAGCTTACTGGATCGGTCCATTCGGTACCCGTGCACAGTTATACGTTGCCCACGTATTTCACTGGTACACACTCTCCTAGACGTGACCACCAGCGCTCTCGAAAGAGCTGGTTTCGGTCTTGGTCTCGGACATGGAGGCCTCGACTACAACACTGGTGTACATACACGCGCAGTTTGTACAATTCGTCGGTTCAGTGCGTGACATCTCGTAGCTGTAATCAGCTGAATGAGAACGTGTCCCGGACACTGATTTTGGGTGCAATTCAAAACATGACTCGGCACATTTTAAATTGAAATCGAGATCCTAGAATATTGTTTTCTCGGAATTTACAGCATTCACTGAGCTAAACGTTCTTCAGGTTAATTGTTAATCACCCATCTTTAGATTTTGAGCACTTTTGTTGCTTCGAACGAAAACAAATTGACAAATGATGTACTCTACCTTTATACATTTTGTAAGTTATGCAGACAAGTTGAAATTTTCAGAAAAACAAAATTTTTTTTTAAAACATTTTAAAATGCATAAAATGACTTTCTTGGAAACACTCAAGCTACATATAAGCATATTCAGCTGTACTACTTTTCTTCATCGCAGACGGTGAACAGTTTCGTGAGTGGACGGCCCACGAGGCTTACGCTGAAACACGGCGCCGCGTATTCGTCCAAACGCCACACATCAGCAAGCTGTTTGACCAGCTGGATGCACACGCATTTCTGGCTCTCAAAGAACCACGACCGGAAGATGAGAAGGTGCAACAAGAAGGAAATTATAAAGTGAATGGTGCAGGAAAAGGACGGAAGTCCACGTAAGGATCGAATGTCTCCAAATTTGTTTGTTGAAATCAGTTTTGTATTACTTGTACACGTGTACACATGAGTACAATTTTTTTCTGTATACGTACTTGTCATGGTCATGAGAATGTGCTGCTACTTGTACCTGTACTAGCAAGAAATAAATATGTGTACTTGGACTTAATGGGGTGCTGTGGTCCAATAGTTACAGTATACTAAGATTGCCTCTCTCCACCCAGGACTATAAATGGGTACTTGTGAAGATACCCATTTGTGAGTTTGTGAGGTGCTGCAGAGAAACAAAGGAAACTGCAATGATGATTTTCAAAATATGGTTAAATAAAACAATATACCAAGTGCAGTCTTATCCTCTCGGTCAATCGCCTGACACTGCATGAATAAACGAATTGGTACAAAGAACAGTGATCATTTTATGGACAGAAACTAACCTGTAACTGTATTGTATTTCAGCCTAGGCTATTTGTATTAACCCTAACTCCCTAGGCCTTTTTGCTATGATGTAGCCTCAGTCCTGCAAAATCCTCCAATTGGCTCATGGAAAAATAGTATATAGCCTCAATCCTGCAAATTCCTCCATTATTTCTTGAATATGGTCCGTGGAGAGGTGACCACTGCCATAATCCTGCAAAGTCCTCCGGCTATGACTGTCAATAGACTGAGGCAGAGGCAGTGACATCCTGGAGCAGTGCGGAGGATTTCAAGTATAATCAAGGACTAAATGTATGCTAGGGTGAGCATAAACAACACAAGGTCCGGCCCAAGACCTTGACACAGCGCGTCCTCCGAAATCAGCAACGCACTTTTGCCATGTAACCTCAGTCCTGCAAATTCCTCCAATTTGCAAAAAGCATTTTGGAGGATTTTGGATGGTTAGGGTTAAGTTAACTAAGCAGCAATCAGGTAAGAACTACGCTTGATGCATTTTATTGATCGTGTTCCAATGTCCGGAAAACGGCCTAGTTCCCTTTACTATTGCATGCAAATTTCTTTTACCCAAGATCGGTACCCATCTATCAGTGCAGTGAAAATTGACAGCTGCCCTCAGTTGACATCTGGGTGTATACGCGACGCATGCTTATTTAACCCCTCAAGCCGAGGAGTGGCTATAGCTGCGGCTGCTTATCCTCACTGGAATGCATTTGCCAGCTGTGGTATGCCGTGGCACATGGCTAGTGGGTAGTTCCACAGCTGCTGCTTTTGTGCAGTCCTGCTACCACACAAAGGCTGTGCAGTCATGCGGGTCACTTGGTCCATGTATGGAGGAATGCCCCCATTACACCCCATCCTTAAGGGGTTAAGAGTGACCCATAGAGCTATATTAAATTACTATGAGCGCTAACTCTTCATTCTTGCGTGCGGAGACGCTTTGAAGCCGTTCTGTGCGTGTTTGTAGAATTTTAAAAGTGTATTCTAAATGCAATGCGCAAGTGGAAGATGCGCAAACAGCTTAAGCGCGTCATGACGGTTCAAAAAACGTCACAGCGAAAAGCATCTGCAGCGATGGGACGCTCAGATGTTGTGCTGTTTGCGTAGAGCAAAATGGCACGCTCATTTGCTGATTGTGGGTTTCGGTTTTGGGCGTATCGGCTTCGATGACGCACTGGTATGGAATACAAACGCAGATATGCAAATAGCCGTACAAAAGCCGTACAAAAGTTTGAGGTTTCCATAGGTTTGTGCACAAACATGGATGCGCCCATCAGGCATTACTTTGTACATCGAGTTAGCGCTCTAGTATTTTAATATAGCTCTATGGAGTGACCGCACATCAGCTTTAAATATTATTAAAGTACAGTGTGATCCCCTTTTTAATTTTTGTTTCCAGTTATTGGCACAAAAAACTAATAGGAATTCACTCATGAATGTATTATTAAAATCCCAACGCGTGTTCCGTTTTTGGTTCCTTAATCATGGTGCCACACGGCGCGGTGAACCAGTCTTTCGTGTTCGGCTACGAGCCATGCGTGGGGCGTTGGGAGCCACAATTTAGGTTGGGCCTCTGAAAAGAACAAAGTTCAAATTTGTATGCCAGGCCCATCATAACACTGACAGTGGCGGAGATAGCCATGACATAATTTTCTTTCAATGTTCCTTTCAGGTTTATTGACAGGCCCCTCTTATAACACTGACAGCAGCAGAGACAGAGATGCACCTTGATAGAATCACAAGAAGGACAATGTACCACACAATAAATATGCAAACAGACATTCAGTTGCTGGCACCCTGATAAAAACCAAAATATTGTTTGAGATTTAATTTATTATTTGATTTGAGAAGCATATGAAGCAGAATATTGAATGAAATTAATGCATGTTATTGTCAGTGTTCCATGTCTTAAAGGGCCATGCAATGTATTTTTTTTTTTTTATATGCAATCCTTGAAAATGCAGCTCATTGCCCCTTTATAAGTATTTAAAGTTGCTTTAAGTATTTAAAGTATTTTACGCACCTTTTGAGTATTTAAAGTTGCTTTTTCAGTGCTACTTTCAAGTTCCACCTGAAATTGGTTTAATTGTTAGCGTTTATTTTTCAAGCAATACAAATTTTCAAGCAGTATAAACTTTTGAACGAGACTTCGAACGAAAAAATCCATTCTCATTTTAGTTATGGAATAATTACGTAACAAATTGTTAATTATTTGCAGCCGACACTAATAAAGGGATATCTTTGTTTGTGTTATGGGCCCAAAAGCGTATAGTTGGCAGACATCTGTCGCGAGTGACAGTGTCACAGTTAGACAGGTCCATCATAGACCTCTTCCTCTTCTCATATTGTTGTCAGTTCGTTGGTGGTCATGTCTCGTCCCGTCATGCAGCATCGACCTCCAGCCAGATCGATTGCTAGCCAACCTTGGCCATGACCTGGTGGAAATTTGGAAGTCTACCAAGTCTCTCTTCTAGGGCTCCATAAAGTTTGGAGCGGGGGAGTCGGTGTGGTTCCATATGGGTCACATGACCTGCCCAGCGGAGACTTGGTTATCTTGACTAGTTCCACACAATAAAAGCATAGTTTCAGAGGGTTGAAATTGTCTAAAATGGAGAAAAACAAAAATTACTTTGTGTTCATTTAAATAAAGATATCAGAAATTCGTTAGGAGAAGAAAAATCCAAGGTGTTGAAGGTTAAGGGTACAGTAACTTCTAAGCACTCGTTTTTTTTTCTCAGGGAGCTGATCAAACAGGCAGAGCCATCTATTCTTACACTGGTCGGAGAAAGAGGTTGCGGCAAGACGGCCATCGTCGCTAACTGGGTGAAGCATTTGAAGAAGAGCTACCCGGGGCTCAGGGTCATCTCGCACTTTGTTGGCAGCAGCGCCCTCAGCACAGACATCACCAGCTTCCTGCGTCGTGTCACCTACGAGCTGCGAGGGGAATTCGTTGGTGGGTATGGTCTCTGGACTCAACGGTTCAAGTGATAGAGTTAACCCCCCCCCAAAAAAATAGTTCTGCTTCCGAATACATGGCATTCGAAAATAGGGTAGGTAGGTAGAGAATTTTTTTTGTGTACGATCATATGGAGGCGTCTGGGTAAAAGGTAAAAATTGATGGTTTTGGGTGTTTTTTCCTCATTTTTCCCATAAAAAAATTAGGGTAGGGGCTCTCAGAATAGGGTAGGTAGGGAAACCGGAAGCAGAACTATTATTTTTTTGGCCTTAGGGGAGACCTGGGCGGATCGAGCTTTGGCTCATGGGGGAGGGGTTAAGCTGTTAAGGTACATGTAAGCGGGGGGTTAGCAGGCATGTGCTACTTTTTTTCTGCATGATTTTTCTATATTTTTTTGCGGCCGAAGGAGTGGGAGGTTTTTGCATAATTTCAGTCAGGTCGGGTCGATTGCGGTTTCGCGTTTGGGATTTTTGGGTCGGGTCAGGTCGGTTAAGCCATCTTGTGAAAAACTTGAAAGAAACGGGAATAAATGAAACAGTACGGAATTTCACGCAGTACAATAGACAGTACGACCAAGGTCAACGCACCGCGAGACTGTGCATGTGGATTGTGGTCTATCACGTACAGACTGTAACTTAGATAAAGTTATGAGTCTTCACCGTACCGCACTACAATTTTTTTACTGAGACAAGACGACGATTTTCACGCAACGTGGGTAAATTCAGGCGCAAAACAATATGCGTACACAGTTGCCCAAGCCAGATATTCAGGCTTTTATTTGCTTGAATTTTGTCAAGTGGGGTCGGACAAGGGGAGTTCGGATCGCTCGTCAATTTGGAATTTGGTGGTTTCAATTTAGATTTGGTTCATATCTGTAATGTTTCGGGTCGGTTTAGCCTGGTCAACCCGACTTGATGCACAACATTAGTCTTCACTGTATTCGGCATGGCCCTATAACCTTGTTTGAAACAGGCTGATTATTAGACGGATTGTATTGAAGGTGATATTTCTTCTGTTATATCCAGGGAACCAGAATGAGACATCGGGTGATACAGAGGACATGTCTAACTTCCATCATATCTGCGAGGCGTTTGTGGCAGCAGTGGCCATGGGTCCTTGCGTGCTAGTACTGGACGGCATCGATGAACTGAGCGGTACCCTTGGGCAGAACATGCACCAGGTATTGGCTTCTAATGAGGGGGTTCATTAAATAGCTTTGCGCAGTGGCTGTTGAGGGCGCTAGTGTAGAAAGCTAAGTGTGTGCACAAACGGTGTGCCAAAGTTTTGCAAATTCTGAGATTAATTTAGACCAGAAAACTGTATTGTAGTAAAATTTTTGTTGAATTTGTTTTTGTAGTACCCCAATTTAGATGCACAACAAAAAATGGAACTGACTTTTTCCTCTAGATAATTGGAACACACATACAACCCATAATAGATATACTTGTAGGTTTATATGTGTTCCGTCAGGAACAGTCTCTCTTATAAATAAGCAGACATTTAAATATTGTTAAACTATAAAGATTCCCCATAACATTAGATAATGATAGTGATTTTTGAGAAGTCCTTTTTTAAATATGTAAATTACATTTTTTTTTCTCTCCAAGATAGCCAAGAAGAAAAATCAATTCAACATTGAATCCAAAAATAAAAAAACACCATTTGACACTGAAACTTTGTATTAAAGAAGAGTTAAGCAAAAACATAAACCCACCAAGTTTCATTTCTGCTTCAGGTGAAAGAGATGTCCTGGCTGCCCGCTGCGCTACCCCCGCAGTGCCAAATCGTCCTGAGCACCGTCCGCTCCGACCTGACCTACAAGACCCTCTCCCAGCGGGGGGACACGCAGGTCCTGCCGGTCCCGCTCTTCAGGGACAAAGGCCAGAAGACCACCATGGTGGCCAACAACCTGGCCGTCCACTGCAAGTGCCTGGACCAGGCCCAGATGGAGAAGGTGGTCGCTTCCAAGCTGAGTGACCGGCCGTTGTTTCTGTCCATTCTGGCCAACGAGCTCCGAGTCTGCGGGAGCTATGGAAACCTGGACAAGGTGACGGAATAAATCAACCCTTAAAAGTGGCCTGTTTTCAAACTTGTCTCCCAAAAAGCTTTTGACTTAGCTTTTTCCTCAAACAATACTAAAACTGTATAGTTTTCTATGAGACATTGAACGGAAAAATCTGCCCACGCTTATAGTCGTAGAATGATTAGTGTTCAAATGTACAATAACAATAATTTGGGCGGCTATTCATCCTTACTCGCAGCTCAGAAGCTGAATTGCGAAGAACGTAGCTACAACATGGTTTGAGCTGCCCTCAGGTTGACCTAGCGATGACACTGATCAGTCGGCGACTGATTTTTCAGGAACAAGTCGTGCCTGAGCTACAACCGCTGGGAACAAACTAGAAGCCGATTTTTTTGCAACCTGACTGTAACTGCGATGATATTAAGACAATCGGCATCAGTTGGCACTATAAAAAAACAATCAACAGTCGCAAGGGTAGCAAAATGTCACATTCTGCGATGTGTTCCCAACAGGCGGGAATCAATCGCAGTCGTGAAGCCAATCAGCGTGCGGCAAAAATAGTTGAATGAGCATTTGATTGTTATCAACACGCTTTAACCGCAATTGTTAAAGAAGTCACATGACTGTCTATGCTGTGGAATCGTCGTGGATCGTCGTGGCTGACATGAGCATGGTTGCGATTATTTTGTGTTGAGATGCAGCTTGTTCCATGAGAATCACAGGATTTCTCACTTTTGGGACCTGAGCATTACTTTTCTGCTTGATGCCCAAGGTTCCCATGGCGTGAACACTCCTCTTAAGACCAACCTGACCAACCATAGGCCACTCGGGTTGGGACACACCATTTTGGAGAGTTTGCCCTGGGGGAATTAAGATATTTACGAGCACCTATCCTATAATTGGTTCCATAAAGGAGCGAAGGTCACTCTGCCTGAGAGATTTTAAGCATAATATGTTGTTGCTAAATTAAATCTGTCGGCCGACAAAAGTTTTATCATAATGATGTACCTGAAGTGTTGACTTGTTTTATATGTTGAAATGTGAATATCGGTGAATAAATGGCCGAGAAGGATCTTTTACTGCTATGCTAGCATAAACCACAATCACCAGAAAGTATAGTTGCAGAAAGCAGTGTGGCCAACAGGTGGTATTTCATTTACCCACAAGTGTTATCTCGCTGGGACTGTGGAGCAGGGAGGGGAGTTTTGTTTACTTAAGGGCTTCCCAGGGGCTCCCAACAGAGGTCCAAAATGGTGTATGAAACTAGCCACTTTCTTAAGAGGGCCGTTTTTGTCATGCATCGTGGCGCAAGCAAATCGCAGGTCGACCTGAGGGCGGCTTTTGGCTGCCACCATACGACACATGCCTGACCACGGAGCACAGCCAGAGATCGAAAGTGTCGATTTTGGCAGAGGGAGGAAAACCAGATAGCCCAAAGAAAAACTGTCGTGGTACAGGAGAGAACCAACGAACAACTCTACTCACATATGGTCCGACCCGGGAATCGAACCCGGGCCACATTGGTGATAGGCGAGCGTTTTATGCACCAGCCATCCATGCCATCCTTAAACTTGGGCCAACCGTCTCTTCAACATTATTTTCATAAATTTCAATTTTTTAGTCAGTCTTGCAATTTTGTTTTAAATGCTTAGACATTGTTCACTTCATACAATATTATATTTTGTAAACTTTTTTTTTTGGGGGGGGAGTTTGAGCCCATAAATCTTCTAGAATTCCTCATCCAGAATGGGCACAGTATCTTTTTCCAGTGGCAGAAATGGTATGCATCATATCCTTTAAGATTAAAAAAAAATGGTTTTGGTAATATTGCCTTGGTAGGTGATGGAGCAATACATAGAGGCAGTGACATTCAGGGACCTGTGGAAATGTGTGATTCACCGATGGATTAGGGATTACGGATGGACAACGGACGGCCGCTCAACGTCGGTTTCCACTGATAACAGCTTGGATGGTACGTGTACATGTATGCCATGTAGTGTGGAGAAGATATAAATGTGTGGTTTTAGATCAGTTAGCGGTCTGGCTGCCAATAATGGCCCGAGCCAACCCCAAAATCCCCATTCGGGCAGTTCCTTAAATTCGGGTGTACATGTACATGTCAGACACTAATGAGCTGCTGTTGGAAAAGTGAATGTGATACATCACTAATAATGTGACATCTAATGATCAGAAAACAATTACAGACCAAACTAAGGTACCACCACCTTAACGACTGTGGTACATCATGTGGTCGGACGTACGTACGTTGGATTTTACACCATATTACCCATTCACAAATGCCTTTTTCGATCAAAAGCAATAAAAAGTTGAAAAATTGACGAACTTCCTATAATTTTGTTGTTACCAATTTTGAGCGTGCGGTGTGCTCATCATCGCCTTATATAGAGATCATGTCAGTGGTGACACAAACCCGGTTGTAGCAAGCTCGCAGGGTACGTACTGTGCACATATGGCACTGAACGCAGGGTTTCTCAACGGCTTTTAAATATCGCAGGACTGGTGTTTAAATGACAGTTTAACACCACCCACATGACTAGACCTCGAGCAGTAGGAATGGATCAACTTTGACTTTGACATCAAAGTAGCATGTTACCATCCGGTTTCCTCATGATTGGCGGATCAAGAACATAATTTTATTTTTTGGGGGGGGGGACCAAAAAAATGTTGGTCCCCAAAAAGTGTGTTCAAGAAAATTACGGCGTGGTGTTTGGGGCCTGAAATCTTTTTGGATTCTAGATGCTCTGTGATGCAATTTCTGCCCACTTTAACCAAAGTTTTTGGAGGAAAAGATGGTGGTGTACTCATTGCCCTTGGCCACCTTTGCAAGCATTTATAGTATGCAACCACATTGTGTGTTGAAAAGTTTACAGGGCTTTATTACACATAAGATGACCTCAAATTGTTTGGTTCCATTAATTTGAAAGTATTAATTTCACTGATTCTGTTTGCTTCAACTTGGCTACACATTTCCTTGGGACAGACGTATCAGGCTGGGTCGCAGAGGTGCTGCGCCTGATCAGCTGTTCCAGACACGGCCTGAGTGAGCCCGAGATCCTGGAACTGCTGAGAATGATGGGATACACAGGTCAGGCTGAGGTCACGCCCTTTGACTTTGCCCTCTTCCGGTCGGCCACCTTCGATGCCCTGGTGGAGAGGCCCGGGGGCCTGATGAGTTTCTTCCATCAGCATCTCAGGGAGGCTGTGGAACACTCGTTGCTCGGTGAGAACTTTTTCTATCAATTTTTCAACTTGTATATGTTTTATTCCAACCAAAAACCCTGGTGGTGCGTACATTATCGATGCTAATTGTGTCTGGAAGCCAATAATTCGAAATTGTAAAGTAATTATTCAGAAACTAAACATGGGGTGATTTGTTTCAGTTGATGAATAACTTTTGTTATTGCCACAAAATAGCAAATCAGAAAAGGAATTAATTTTTCAGGATGAAACTCGAAAATAGCATGGGAATGCAACTTACACTCAAAAGACGTATTTCAAATTGTCTTCGACATTACGGATCTTTTCACTTTTAATCATCTCGTTATATTTACGTGTATAGGATGGGGTTTGCGTTGAGGAGTTGTAGATTCTGATTTCTTTCCCTTCACCGATGCATTTTTTTGCGAACACTGTATTGGTTTTGTGATGGCTATATATGAGAGCAAAGTTACAAATTTACTCGGGAGGACTCGAACATACGACCCTCTGCTTTCAGTGCAGATGTCTTTACCCACTGAACCACCAAGCTTGTCAGGATGGGCTCAAGGGCGGATCCGGGGGGGGGGGGCCAAAGGGGGCCATGCCCCCCCCCCCAAAACGAAATCAATTTTTTTTTTTTTTTATGTGACATCGTAATAACGGCAGGCAATGAGTACACCACCATCTTTTCCTCAAAAAAAAAAAATATTGGTTAAAGTGGTCAGAAATTGCCTCAGATCGCACCACAGAGCATCTAGAATCCAAAAAAATTTCGGGGCCCTTAAGCGGGCCCCAAACCCCACGCCGTAATTTTTTTGACCCACTTTTTGACATCGCAATAAAGGCAGGCAATGAGTACACCACAATCTTTTCCTCAAAAAAAAACATTGGTTAAAGTGGTCAGAAATCGCCTCAGATCACACCACAGAGCATCTAGAATCCAAAATTTTTCGGGGCCCTTAAGCGGGCCCCGAACCCCACGCCATAATTTTTTTGACCCACGTTTTGGGGGGAACCAAAATTTTTTTTGGCCCCCCCAAAAATTGTGTTCTGGATCCGCCCTTGGATGGGCTTGGTGGCTGGAAAACATTTATAGGATGGACATTTTGTTGGGGTGATGTAAATTCAATATTGGGGTTTTCCCTTCACAGATTTTTGTCTGTTTTGTTTGTAATGCACATTTGCAGTAGAAAGCAGGAGGTCCTGGGTTCAGAGAACACTGCCCGAAACAATCATTGAAATGAAAACAATTTGTAGGGTTACAGGCGTTGGAATTGAATGCAGTGGCTACTGTATGATGTTGCCCGAATCGTTCTTGGTCTGGGTTATATTATTCATTGTTCATTCAAGATTAAAAATGTATGAAATTATTTCTTCCCTGGCCTTGTCCTTTTGCCGTGCTGTCCAGGAATGATCAGCGGCACAGCAGGCTTGCCCGACTCCCCCGAAGCCTCCGCCGTCAACTTCCTGGCGGTGGGCCAGAACCGCCAGAAGAGGACGTGCCACGAGGCCCTGTCCCGCTACTTCTGGAAGCAGCCACACAGCCTGCGCAGAACCGGGGAGTTGCCCTGGCAACTGGAGAAATGCGGCGACGTGCAGGGCCTCTATAGCATCCTGACGGAACCTGAGTGAGTGCCATTACTTACTGCAGCAAGGATTGTATGGAACAAAAGAGTAACCTGCCAATGAGAGTGTGCGAAGGATACCAAGCTGGTTCATGCATATTAGTCACTGTATATATACAGTCACTGTGGGGCGAGATAGTATACACATGTAGACTGGCAGTGAGGTCACTAGCGCACGTCTAAAGAGGTTCAGGGCCCCCCCCCCTCCTCCTTTGCAAACTTGCATCACCTGAACATTTTGGGGAAGTTTGTAGGGGGTCCGCCCTTGGTGTCATCCCATATACTGGTGCCCCCTGGCAGAGGCTGGGTTTCTAGTATTAAATAAGATCTCCAGAATCAGCGTAAGTGACAGTGTTTTCGTGTTTGGATCCATCTCTTGTAGAGTATTCCTAATGATGTGCCAGGACAGCATTCAGAGCGTGGCCCTCAAGCTGGATCTCCTGCGCTACTGGCAGCGACTGAGCCGCAGCGGCTACGACATCGCCGAGACTTACGAGAAGATGGTCATGAACGCGTTGTATGAGCAAGAGCTTGCCTGGAATGGTGGACGGGGGAATCCCGGTGACCAAGAAGCGGCTGTGGTGAATGATGGAGATGGTATGCAGCACAATGATTATAGTCATGCTGTCCACTAGGAGGTTTCCAGTTGACCTTTCGCCATTTCCGAAAAAGCACTGTCCAGCTTTTGGGGCTGTCCTGTTGTTTCTATTGTTTGTTGTGTCATATCAATAGCCTTAAAAGATACCAGTGGTTTCATCCTTTGTTGATGTACTGTAGCACGTACTACATGCCATTTCATGCTTGAGTGCTCGCAAGTAGTGCTTGCAGGTCCCAATTTGTGTTAAGGATGACAAGCAATTGACCTATCGCGGTAGAATCGCGGTAGAATCGCGTCAACGCAGCTTGTGAAATATTGTCCAATTACATGATATACAAATGGACGCAGAATGCGCAACATCTGAGACAAACAAAACTTGGTGTGCAAAAACTCCATAGGGTTGTCTAAGGGGCGGGGCTAACTCGCAAATGGTGAAAGGTCAATTGACCTATCGTGGTAGAATCGTGTCAGTGCTGCCTGTGAAACATTGTCCAGTTACATGATATACAAATGGACGCGGAATGCGCAAAATTTGCAACAAACAAAACTTAACGTATAAAATTCCATAGGGTTGTCTAAGGGGCGTGGCTAACTCGCAAACGGCGATAGGTCAGTTGTGTGGAAAAGGGATTACAAAGATAAAAAAACACTGGCAAAGGTGTTTAAATGTCAGTAGCAAGAAGGCAATGGAAATCTGGCAGCTCCCTCTAGTGGAGCGTTTCCCTCAAGGGCGTGAATTTGTATTGGGCGATATAAATTCAATATTGTGTTTTAACATTCAAGAATAATAGCCTTCTCTGGTTCTTGGAAAATCATTGCAAATAGCATGAATCAACTTTGGGAGTCTTGTTTAATGTATTCTCATTACTATGGTTTGCTCTTATATTGGCTTGCAGGAGGAAAGACATTGCCATCCTCTGCCAAGAAACTTCTTTACAAGCTCTCCGTCATTGAAGAAAGTGAGGGGTCGGTTTCTCCCAACGACAGCCCCGTACATGAAAGCAAGATTTTGTCTTCAGATGCAAGTCTCACAAATGGAACCGATGCCAAGGCTTCATTGTGCTCCTCTTCAGCCTCCGCCTCAGTGCAGGACAAAGTGTCTCCAGCCTCCGTTAAAGGGCCTAGTACAGCCACCGATGATAGGGAGGCACTCTCGTCCTCAGATACTGATGAGGAGGCGGGGGAAGTGTGGGAGGATGCCAGAGATGGAACAGAACCACAGAGTGACGAAGGTAACCTGTCTGCATCAAATTCTGCGTTGACTTTAGACTGCACTGTGTATGGCCTCCACGTGCAAACAAGAGAGGGCACTTTCTGATCACTTTTAAGAGCCCAGTGGACGGGTCATAATGACTACGCGTACTGGTTTCTGTGCGTATAGCGCAAAGTACGCATGACTAAGTATATTCTGAATGTGCGCAAAGCCATAGCGTCTTCATGTGAGCGTCAGGCATCACGTACTTGTTCCAAAATTGTGGGGACAACACACCTGATGAATGATAGATATTTTCAAAACCAAAGATGCCGTGGAAAAATTTCCATAACTCGGTCAATATTACCAAAGAAATTCGACGGCAATAATCAATAATCAGTATGAGAGAATCGGAATCGCGTTGTTGGGAAGCAGGTGTGTCATGTCAAAGTTCAACTTTCCAGCTCTTGAACGAAATTTTACCCGAAACCGTTCGTTTAGTTAGCTCCACTGCGCATGTCTGTCATTACGTGAGGCGCCCAGCGCGAGTAAGCTGGGGGAAGTAATCGACCGCAATCTGTGTGTGCCAACCTTGTCATCTTTGTGTGGACCTGACAACATAACAGGTCCACACGATGCAGGTTGTGTGAACCTTCTGTGAACTATTAGCCAGGTCCACACAAGTTTTCCTCCTCTCTGGAAAACAGGTTTAGAGGCATGTTTGGGTTAGGGTTGTCTGTTGCAAAATGAAGAGGAACACTCAAGGAAATCATGATAAAAAAATTGGGTTGAAACATGATTCACAATGCGAGTAAATAATGTTTTTCTTCATTTTTTCTTAACTTCACGAACACAAAGGAATGTCCACATTAGGTATGTATGTACATGTAAGGTAGACCTGCATGAGTGTGTAAACACCGGCAATCGTGGACCTAGGACAAAAGAATTAGGGCACAAACAATGCATCGACGATTGACCAATGAGAGCTGTTGCTAAAAAGTTTGTGGACAAACAAAGGAATGAGGATTACGGACAATGGGGTGTCCATGATTGCCGGTGTTTACGGAGATGGGTGCATGCACGTGTGTACATGTATGGCTTTACGACAGAGGACAGACACACAAAGGGAGAACAAAAGATCCTTTCAGTCCTCTAGCATTGGGTCTTTTGTTAAAAACGGTCCTCGTTGGTTCAGTTATGTACCATGGCTATGGGAGAGTGTTATATTACTGGGACAAAGGGAAACACAAAGCATGGTCCTCGGGTGTATAGAAATACGTATGAAGTGTGCAACTGGAGCATGCAGTGTAGGAATGGAGAAGCACACATGTTGTCCATGTGTGTAGTGGGAGGGGCCGAGTAGATCAGTCTATTCATCAGTAGAAGATCAAATTATCATATCACGGAGATATGAACGGAAGAGTCAGAACTCCAGTACTTCAAAGTGTTATAGGATCATCGCAGCGCTCGAAAGCAACAATAGAAAGCACCTGGCTGCCAGCTTGCTCAGTCGCTCACTACTCTAATCCCTATATAATAGAGATCCCTGCTCACTAATGCTAGAACAAGGAGTTTGCATTGCTTTGTGGATAGCACCATGATAATACGCAGGCGCAGTTCTCGTACATCGTCAAAAATGAATGATTTTGAAAGAGTTTGTTCGGAGTGGGCTAATGCTGGCTAACAATTGTGGTCAACATCACTGAAACAATCATTTCATGACGAACAAAATGCTCTATACCTTCAGTAGGAAAACTTATGAAATTGCCCAAAATATCACAGTTCATAAATGATGTATTGCCAATTAACATTTACGAAAAGACATGACAACTTATCGGAAAAATATTTATCTTCAAATTACGGGAACGGATAGCACTTTCAAGGACCAACAACTGCACATCCATAACTTGAATTCGTAACTCACGTCTAACATCTGTGCATTTGTTAAAAACCTGCCTTGCCATAAAATGTATTTTTCAAAACAGAGCAACGATGTGACATAGCATATTGGGAGGTTTAGTGGTTACCAACTACAAAGGCAGTGACGATCATCGTGTTCAAAGTTCGCTTGCATTCACGCTTTCAATGTCGAGGTTTGCAGCCACAGTGCTGTAGCTATGCACATTCCCTAGGGATTGGAATGTTAATGGTCAAAATGTAAATTGCCCAAGAGTTCTGACTCCTTCCCTTCATATCTCCATGGTCATATAAAATCATTTGCTTTTCATGCATTTTGTTTCTTTCCAATAAGAACACCACTCCAAATCAAAAGAAGAATGTTTCAAAACCAAACCTGTTGAAGTTTCAGCTCAGTGGATATTACACTTTTCGTGAGAAGACTGAAAAACTATGCAAATTTTTGTGATCACAGACAGATTTTTATATAGCACTCTTTATATCCAACAATCAATCAATGACTATTCATTAGAAATCCCCTACATTTCTTGATTTCTTCAACATGACAGCAAATCAGACAGACTAAATTAAAGTCATTTCAAAAGGTGTTTAGTACTACACGTACAGTAATAAGATGTTTAGTCAAGTAAGCTTTTTAATAATAATTTGGTAGGCAACTTCTGGGATGGCCAATAAGGTGTGCACCCAAGGCGAGTTGAACTAAAATGTACCGAGAACAGCACTGACTGTCATTTTGCTGTCTTTGAAAATTTTGAAAATAAATCAAATTGCTGCAAAATGTGGAGAGACTTGGGCCTTAATAAGGCTGAAATATCAGGTTGTTTGAATTTGTTGACTTTAAAACAATTTTGATGGAAAAAAAAGAAATTAGTAGGCAGTAATTGTGGGGAAAGGTCTAAATCTCGTTCTTCAAAAACCACCTCGAATTAATATTTTTGAAGGCGCTTGTTCCACAATACTTTCTTTCTGTTTACCCCGCAGAAGACATCTTCTATGAGTTCAAGCCACAGGACAGATGCAAGATGGCCGTGCTTGCAATGCATGCTGGGAAGTTCCTGGCCGAGAAGTCAATTTTCACGCACTCGGAAAGGCTGTTGCAGTTGGCGCATGAAGAAATCAAAACGGTACTTTTCATTCTGTAAAACAAAATGTGAAGTAGTGTAAGAAATATAGGGTATGACATTTCTGAAGGGGGGGGGGGGAGGACGGGGGGTGGAAGAAAGGTCGACATTGACAGGAGGAAGAATGTATTAAACTATAACACTGATATATTTAACACAATCTTTTGGCATTCTAATGAAACAAAAATACACTTCTGAGATACACAAAAAATTAACCCAGTCGTGTTTTGCTATACTCTGGAGAACGAGGCTTTGTGTTTCCTTTTCTTCCTATAATATAACACTCTCCCATAGACTAAGCACACTCATGTTCACGATTGAGGACCGTTTTCAACAAAAGATGAATTCTCGAGACAACAAAGAATCTGTTGTTCTTTATTTGTCGGTCTGTCTTCGGGGTGTATGTAGTCCATGTACACCTGTACCGTGCTTTTCAATGTTCCTTGAAACTCAAAAACCATTTACTCATTCGAACCCAAACACAGTTTTGTGAAGGTTTTTATGGATTAACTTGGTTGTCCTTCCTCACCATTAGGGTTATGAATTATGTTTTATGCCTCAACACAATATTTCTGTGCCTCCCCGCATCATTGCAATAAATTGCAATTGAGGGGGGGGGGAAGTGGGAGGGCGAGGGGGGGGGGGGCGGGGAGGGAAGCAAAATAAACATTTTTAATGTGCCCTTACTTTTTCCCCAGAAATTCCCCCTGAGCACCCCAGAGCAGCTCTTCCTTGTTAAGGTCGAGGAAAACCTGGGAGATCTCCACCGTTTCCAGCTCCATAAGCATGCAGCCAAGAAATTCTACCACAAGGCACTCAATACACTCAGCAACATCGCTGCGGACAAGTCCGACGATATCTACAAGCAACTGCAGGAAAATCAAGGTGGGTTTCAATTTTTGCTTTCTGGTTTCATTTTGCTGGTCCCAGAGGGCCGGCCTATATATGGTGACGGACCAACCAACTGACTGACAGACTGACTGGTGGACCGACTGACCGTGACTTGTGACTGAGCCTGGTTGTTTGTTGGCTAGTGAATAATATAGGATTGCCTCATGATGGGCTAAATCTGGCTGATTGCGTACACCAGGTTCATTACAAGTCTTCCAGTGAGCAGCTATTCTGAATCAATTTGGGTGATTCACAACGCAGTGCGCCACCAAAAGTTTACCATGGAGAGCCCATTTTTCAATTTCATGGTCGACAAAACATGGCCCATTTCAATGAGTGTCACTAGACAACTTGAGCTAATTTGTTATAGATTGGGGCATAGCATTCTACCGCCTTACAAAAACACCATGTTGATAAAAAGAAAAGAAAACGGCAAATATATACTTAAATCGCTTATGAAACTACTGTCCGGAAAAACTAACAATTTCAAATGTCCCCTGCTGTGAATTTGTCGACCATCTCCCACAATGCACTGGGAAAAATGAACTCTCCAGGGCAAACTCTTGGTGGCGCACTGCATTGTAAATCGCCCAAATTTAATAGAACTTTGTACACTCTGGGACCAGCTTTACGAGGCTTGTCTTGTTTAAAAGTTACATTGAATACCAAAATTGAGAACATTACTGGTAGTTGTACCATTTTTCACCTTGATTAAAAAAGAAATTGTTGGTCGTACCATGGAGTGCGGTATTGTGGAAAATGCATTGGTAGTAGTAATAATAATAATAATTATTACCCAGCACCCGATTTCATCAAACTCTTCGTAACTTACGATGCATCGCAGCACTGCGATGCGTCGTATCTCTACGATGCGTCGCAGCTGCGACGCGTCCTGCGATCCATTTCACTAAACACGTCGTAAGTGCAACACGTCGTAGGTGTATTTATAGCACAACTCGGTGACTGTTTTATGTCTTTAGTCAGCGTACAGTAAATAGTCGTCTGATATTTAACAAAGAGTCGTCGGATCTCAAGTCGAAATTTGTTAAAACGTAAAACAAAATGGCGGCCGTGCAATGCAATTTTGAAGGAAAACAAGCTCTCATTGGACTGTATAGCTACTTTGAAATTTCAACTCTAATATTCCGGTATAATTCATAATTATTCAATGAATTTTCTATTTACAACTTTACACACATTGCCTCGGTATTATAATCTCGTTAATGTAATGTTTGTGGCATAAAACTGGCTTAGAAATGACTCTTCTTATTTTGCGATGACCACTAGACACGTCGTAACTTGCGATGTGTTTTAAGCCATTGAACTTACGATGCGTTCAACACATCGCAACTTTAGTGAAATAGAAGATACGACGCGTCGCGAGTTGCGACGTGTTACACGTCGTAACTTGAGTTGCGACGCGTCGCAACGCTTTGTGAAATCGGGTGCTGGATTGGACATTTGGGAGACATCCCCATAGACTTGTACACAACGTTTTTCAAACTTAAATGTGCCCTAACCCAATATTCCCTTGTCCTTTTTACATGAATTTCGATATGTTTACTAATTAGACCACGAGCAACAAATATAACCTAATTGCGACAATAAAATTGTGCCTCTAAAGGGAGGCTGTGACATTAGGGAGACATGAAAATGTCTCCCTAATGACCGATGTCTCCCACCATTCGAAGAAATTATGATACCGTGTCTCCTTAATTGTACATTTAGTTGTTCAATAATACCGGAGCCTTATATAGCACTCATATCTACCAACAATTAGGTACTCAAGGCGCTGGAAAATGTGTCTATTTTTAAAGACAGGTATTCATTAGTACCGTTTTGTGGGTAGTTGCCATACATGCCACTATAATGACATAATGTGTGCTCACTATCCATTAGTCACTTATTGACACATATTCGTCACTTTATGATGCATCCTGTGAGTGCTGTGTCGTTGGCATCAGGACTGTATTTATCTCTTCGTTTTCTTACCTACGAAGGTCGTCTGTTGAACCATCTTGGTCACATGGCCGTCAAGGAGCAGACCAAAGAGGTACAAGAAGCAGAGACGATCCTGCAGAAGGCTAGCCAATGCATGAGAGATGCTAACAGCATCGCTGGCTTGGCTACTGCGCAGTTCATTCTTGGCCTAGTTCAGTAAGTCCAGTACTTTGAATAGAGTTTGAATATTGATGTCAGGACTTGTTAAAGGCAGGTACAGGCATGAGATTTTTCAGATTTTTGTCTGCGATCAGACTGTTTGAATCTGAGGAGAAAGACATTATCAGTATAGAAAGAAATGCATCTTTCAGATTCGATGCTTCATCGATGCTCAGACTTTTGGTTTAATTGGCAATCGCATCCCTGCATATCGGATCATTCGCTGTTCATACAGTTTGTTCATTTCCAATAATAACATGACTTTATTAAATAAAAAGAAAAACAATACCTGGAGATGTTTCAGCTCAGTGGATTTTTCACATTTTAAAAAAACTGCGAATTTTTTTTCGCCATTTCTTCATTTGTTGACAGCGCGATAGATCCTAACCATCATGAGGAAATGACGATTTATTCTTCTTTTCTTCAGTGAAAATGACAGCGTACAATTTCACAGCATGTTTGATCCTATTCTTTACTTAAAATCAAGCAGGATGTTTCATAATATTTTTTTGGCAGTTTTGTTTTTGAAGTTATGCAAATGATCCTACAGGCCTTTTATTCTTACGATGTAGCATTCTTAGCGGGCCAGATAGGGGAAATATTTGGGAGGATTGTGCCTTTGATGATACAAGCATGGCATTGGGCACACGGTCAAACTATGTCTTAAGAAAGATGTTTGGCATTAGGGCCATCGCAGATTTGTCCTTTGAAAAAAAATAAAGGTAGAATAACAAGCAATTTTCACAGTTTTCGAAAAAGCTGCCGTTGCTTGTTATTTCTACCTATATTTTTTCAAAGGACAAATCTGCGATAGTTCTACAGACAAAAATCATTCTCATGACATACTCTGACTGTGTGCCAAATGCCATGCTTGTATCATCAAAGGCACAATCCCATCACGTATCAGTCATACTATCTGTCTCTGGTTGTGTCTTCTTTGTTTAAAGTTTCCATGCATCAAATACAAGATAAAGTACAAAAGTGTCATTTTGTTTCAAACATTACAGAGTAAAGAAGAGAGATTATGTCACAGCAGAGAAATGCCTGTGTGAGGCCTTGGGCACTAGGGAGCGATGGTATGGCAAATCCCATCCGCACGTTGGCGAAGTACTGGATGAGCTGGGCGGTCTGCTGTGCAACAAGAAGAATCTACAGAGGTCAGGAGCAATGCTGTACAAACCCGACCTGAAACCGACATGGGGTCGGGTCGGGGTCGGGTCGGTTTTTCCGTCATATCAGTCCGGTCGGGTCTGTTTCAGTTTTCGGGATTGTGATTTTCGGATCGGGTAGTTGCGGTTAAGCCATCTTATGAAAAAAAAACCTAGAAATAAACAACAAAAAAGGAACAGGAACTCATGCCATGCAATACTATTGTAGAGTTTGCCCAGTAAGACCAACCAGTGGCGCACCCAAGGAGGGGGGCCCTTGGGGGCTTGAGCCCCCCCCCCCCAAGAGGTTGTCAGTTTTTTTTTAGTCCCATGATTTGACCGTGATGATATGTACGTGGCCTATTTTTGTGTAGAAAAAAGAGGTGTAAATGGCGACACCAACATCAAAATAGTCTGTCCCCCCCAAAAAAAAACCCCCAAAACCCAATTATTTTCTTTTGCCAACCATTTGTGGCAAAATTTTAAACAAAATTCAAACTTCTTAAAAAAAATGGGAAAAAAAATGTGTGAGGCCCCCCCAGCCAAATCTTGGGTGTGCCACTGCGACCAATGTCAACCCAATGTGCAATTGTGCATTTGGTTTGCGGACTATCAAGCGCAGTCTATAACTTCTAGGCCCACCAGTAGGTAACGTTACGGTGTAGTTACGTGGGTTTTTTTTCTGTGCATGATTTGCATAAATGGCTGTCTAGCATTTTCTTGCTCTCTTTTTGCAAAATGTATGTTCTTTGTTGCCTATAGATGGACAGCATTCTCAGGAAGCACTTTTCTTTTGTTAAAAAGATATTACAGGTTCCTTTTAAAAAGGCGAATTCTTATGCAGTATGCGAATAAAAGAGTCAAACGTATCAATTTTTTTTCTTGGCTAGGTATGACAGAAAAATGGCCGAGACATATTTCCGGAGGGCGCTGTCCATAAGAACCCAGTCCTATGGCAGAGACCATCTTCTTGTCGGAACCACGTTGTTCCATCTCGGTGAGTAAGAACGAAAAAGGCACATTCCTGCTTAGCCCCATAAATGTGGCCTATTTACTGGACTACCTCCGTAAACATAGGCCACACATCCACATGTACAAAAACGTGTCGCACTTTGCCAAATTTTGATTTTCACATTTAGGCTTAGTTTGTAGGCTTTTTTGCTTTAGAAGCATACTCACCCTCTTTATAAGCTAATCAGAAAGTGCTGCCTTTTTCAGATGTCTATTTTTTGTGAAATTTCCAGATTCATTTGCCCACATTTGCGTATCAAAATTTCAACATGAAATTTCACAAAAATTAGACATCTGAAAAAAGCAGCACTTTCTGATTAGCCTATAAAGAGAGTGAGTATGCTTCTAAAGCAAAAAACCCTACAAACTAAGCCTAAATGTGAAAATCAAAATTTGGCAAAGTGCGACACGTTTTTGTACATGTGGATGTGTGGCCTATGTTTACGGATGTAGTCCAATAAATTGGCCACATTTATGGGGCTAGTTCCTGCTCAGAGTACTGAATGAAGAATTGACAATACTCTACAAACAAATAAGGCGAGGCAAGCCTAGTAAAACTGGTACCACGGCACAAAATGCAATTGTAATTGTTCTGGATGAGTTTTCACTGCGACTCTTTTTGTGCATTTAGTATGCACAATGGGCCTGAGTTAGCCATTATTTGGCATGGCGGGTTACAGCTACATTCCATCATTTGCAGCTATCCAAAAAGTAACTGACGTAATTATCGTTGAAAAGATTGGTTTAAAGATAGTAATGGGACTAAACTCCCTGTGAAATTATTCTTTCTGGCATGCTGTCATTTTGAAGAAATCAATGAAAGAAGGCCATTCCAGCGATGCGTCCATTAACGATTTCCATTATTTTCGTAGTTCATTTTTAGTTTAGCGAAGCGCTTGCAAGCGTTGACACGATGCACGCGCGGTTGCTAAAATTTGTCGGTTCAGTGCATAACATCGCGTAGCTGCAATCGGCTCATTGAGAACATGTCTCGGACGCTGAATTCACACCCAATTCAAAACATGACTCGGCAACTTTTGATTTGAAATGGAGATCCTATAATATTGTTTTTCTCGGAATATACAGCATTCACTGAGCTGAAAGTTCATCAAGTTAGTTGTTCTGCACTCTTCTTTATAATTTGAGCACATTTGTTGCTCAAACGAACATAATGCACAAATTACAAATAATGGGTGCATTATCCTAGACTAAATCAGCGACACCCATATTCTGAGGTAGCATGAGGCTCTCATGAATCGGGCTCAGGTAGTAAACACGCCAGTGGCGTAACCAGGATCTTGTTTGCCCGTTGCAAAATTGAATTTTGGTTTTCACTGATCTGAATTTGCTTTCTCTCACCTCCAGCTAAATTTGCTTTTAAACTGTCCATCTCAGTGAAATCTGCCACCTTGCACAATCTTACCCCCGCCCCCGCCCCCGTTGCACCTACTGACTTCGGCTCCTCCAACCAATAGGGTTACCAAGATGTGCAATGAGCCTCATCTTTAAGAACACATGTAACTTTGTTTGCTGAATTGGTCGACAGTTTATGAAGTGATCACAAATCTCACCCCTGTTCCTAGTTTCGTTTCTGAAATGATCATGTTTCCTGAATTTGTTGGTTTTTTTTTTTTTTGACAGGACGACTCCTGAAATCTAGTGGTAGTCAGCAGTGCAAGACAGAGGCCGTGACCCTTCTGGGCCGTGCCCATGACATCCGCACCACTCACCTGGGGGCCAATCACTTCCTGACCAAGGCCGTGCGGCAAGCCCTGAGGGAGGTCCAGAAACAGCTGACAGCCGGCGATTACGACTACGCTCCGGTCAAGCAGCCGGACCGACGCACCAAGGATCAACCTTACAGTGCCCTCAGCTGGCAGGAGGCTGACCTGATGGGTTTCGAGAAGCGGGCCCGGGCCAAGAGCGCCGTGCTGAGTGAGGAGAGAAAAGGCCGTGAACAGCGCCAGAGGAAGGCGGTTGGGAATGGGTCGGTTAGAAATCCAGACGCAACAAACATTTCTGGTAATGAGCAAGTTACAGAGGGCTCTGATAGTGGAGAGATTAGTTTAAAAGCCAGGTCAAATAGTGTACCCAGTATACCTGACAGTATCTCAACACAGAATCATGCCTCGGGACCACTTTTCACGGGCAAGGGGTTTCGTCAAGAAGCAAATCGAGCAACTGGACATGTAGCCGAGAGAGATATGGGCTCTGCACGGACCACAAATCGGACACGGCGACCAAGAAGCATGCATGGCACTTACAAGGCGGATCAAAGTAAACCTGGAGGAAGAGCTGCAAGCACCCGTTCTCCCGTCAGGACATATCCGACTGAAATACTCACTCATCCCACGAGGACACAGCAGAGTCAGAGACAGGATAATCTGCAGTCTCTGTGCTTGATACCCAGGGCCGACGCACATGGTGGAAACACGGCTCCCCACCCAGTTGAGAGTTCATCCCGGGATGCTTTCAAACGTTTCAGCACTTGGAGTTCCGGGACGCACAACAGCAGCAGACCCCAAAGCTCCCAGAGTCCAGGTCCTGGATCAACCTCATCAGGCAGGGGGCAGGATACACGGCACGGCCCACGACCCTTCAGCAGCACCAGTCAGGTGTCGCACACCTCACACCGTTCCCGCTGTGACATTCCCAGTGCCTTCCAGATGCACCCTAGCAACGACAGGACGATACGAGGGCCGCACAGCCAAATCCAGGCCGTGCTGGGGGACCCTCCATGCCCCCGGCCCGTACAGCCAAAGGTGCTTCATACATCGGCGTGGTGGCATGAACCGGGCCGCTACCCTAAGAAGCCTGATGATATCTACCCGCCTAGGAGACACCAGAAACGCCCCGTCAGTAGCGTTCCTGCTGTCGAATCCAGCAACAGGTTCAGTGTGCTCGAATCAATGGGTGATAACGACATCTGAATGATGTACTATGCATTGCAATATCCAAAAACATGATCATGTGGATTTTACACACAAGTGTCTTGATTGTCTGTCAATCAAGTTAATTTTCTCACGTCATTTGCCTTCACGATATAATGTGAGCAATAATTTTGATAGGATTTATAAATTTGAAAAACACTGATACATGTACTTGTATGTTGTTTGGATCACTAAAAAAATATGGATGTTTTTCTATAAAGTTCTATTTTCAACCAGTTAGATATTTTGAGAATCAAAATAAGGTTTTGTAGGACCCTCCAAGCTGTAAAGTGTTGTTTTAAAGTTTTATATTGCTTATAGTTGAAGAGGTGATTGTACACAAGCTTCCAAATAGTTTATGCAGTAAAAAGTGGAAAGTGATGTATATTCAGGAAACAGTTATTTTGCCTTTGAATGCTTCTTTATTGTCATACATGTATAGCACGCACATCTTACCTAGAATGCATTTGAAATATGTCTCAAGACACTGTATAATGCAACTGAAATATGATTGTTCATTTATATTTAAGTTCAATGGATTGTCAAAGTGCTTCCTTAGTCCATTTTCATGAGTTGGTTGTAATCTACCAGAACATTTGCGATAGAATGATACTGAAATTTGTACCAACTGGACAACAGATGACATCCTGTGTTATGGGCTCCGTGCACAAGTACCCCCTCAACGGTAAGAAAAAGGAGAGTTTTGGAAGACGCGAAGACGCTATGGCTTTGTGAACATCAACTTCATAATAAAATATAGTTGCGTGTACTAAATCTAGCTATATAAGCAAAAATATATCTATGGGCGTGGTTCAAAGTCAATAACTCGAGGAATGAAAAGTCGAAAAAATTATTTTTGGACATTTGTAACTTTTCCTGAAAAGTCATAGGTTAAGAAATCCGATTTTGATTGGAAGAAATTCCTGTTCACTGTGCATCAAACCACGCACACAGATTTAATCCAGTAAGAATGATACTGTAGTTATAGTAAAACGGTGGAAAATTGTCATCATAAACTAATAATAATAATAATAATAATAATCGGCATTTAAGAACGCTCTTATTAGTAAACTAAATCACAGCGCTTACAAATAATGAACATTTAAATTAAATAAATAAATTAAGTTAAATAATAAAAACAGGTAGCATAGACAATGAATTGATTATTGGTGGAATAAATTGGTCTTGATCAGCTTCTTGAATTGCTCGAGAGATTTGGCATTTTGAATGGAAAAGGGCGGACTATTCCACTCCTTCGCTGCAGTGACTGTGAAGGTTCTGTCACCAGCTTTGTTGTGGGTACGTGGGAAAGTCAGACGAAAAGGATTAGAACTAGAACGGAGGTTTGGTCTGGGGGGAACATGAGGCAAAATGCAGGACTGCATATATTCTGGTGACTGGTTGTGAAATGATTTGTGTACCAAAAGTAATAACTTGTAACGAATTCGTTTGGAGATGGGTTACCAGTGTAGTGACTGCAGCAAAGGGGTGGAATCCTGTCTTCGGTTAGTCCTGTAGATTAAGCGAGCTGCCCAGTTCTGGAGACTCTGGAGTCTTTTAAGGTGACTTGTTGGGACAGATGTGAGAAGCCCATTACAGTAATCTAACCTTGATAGGATGAGACCTCTAACTGCATGACAAGAATTATAATCGATGAATTTTCTAATTTTTGAAATATTGCGAAGGTGAAACCGGACAACATTGCATAATTGAGTAATGTGAGATGTCATGGACATATTACAATAAACTAGCACTTTGTTAACTGAAATAAACCGGCTACTGTGTACAAAGCTGTATATGTTATTCGACTTTAACTTTATGCATCAATTGTAACTTGTTTCAACTTTATTAATGAAAACGGGGATTTCGTGTTTCTATATCGATTACATAGCGAAATTTTGATGGGCATATCTTGATTGCAGAAGATTGTGAATTCTTATGAAAACGATTTTTTTCTGCCATATCAGTAAACATTTGAAATCTTTTATGTTTTGAACCAGGCCAAATTTTTGTAATTAAGTGTTTGAAGTCATTAATTGACAAAAGTCATATGAGACAAATTTCCTGAACCCCCAGAGCGTCCTTTGAACTTAAATTTTCTGATTGAAAATTGCTTACTTTAGATAACTATCAAAAATGGACACCCCTTTGCTTTTGTTTTTGTCTTTTTAATTATGAACCAAATTGTTAGAAAACCGAACTTTGGATTCGTGGGATTTTGTTTAACTTTTTGTTCTGTGCAACCACATTTTTTTACTTTTACTGGAATGGAAATTAATTTGAAAGTGAATTGAACTCCGAGGTACGTTGAGGTTGACGACTTGCTGATGTTAAAAGATGTTAAGAAAAAAGTATCCCACAGCGAAATAATGAATTTATGAACTATGAAAATGATACACAGTAGCTAGAGTGATTTTCTTTCATTGATGTAGGGGTGAGCAATTTGTTTCAGGATATTTCTTGCCGAAGACCAGCCGTGAATAAAGCGGAATGGGAGGGGGCGTCACTGCATTTGAGTTAGTTTTCAGGGTTTTTTTATGTCAGTTTACTTTCATGAAATTGCTAAGATTGCCGTAAGGCATCTTCTGTCCTTTTGTCTCCTCATTAATCTTCCTGATTATGTTTTGGGGCGTGTGGTGATGAATGTTTTGAGTGGTCGGGCACAACCCGACCACTCTTTGGAGTTGTTACGATTAATCTTTCTTTCTTCCTTTCTTTCTTTCTTTTTTCCCGGACAATACTTCTTCGTAGATTTTCTCCTAAACGGTTCATGATATGAACTTGTAACTTTCAACATATATCGACCCTCATCCCAAGTGGTGCATATCACTCTGTCGTCATGATGACGTCGTCAGGTGTCAAATTCCAAGAAATTTTAGAGGAAAAAGTGGCCATAAACTTTCACCAATAACTCTTAAACAAAATGGTCAATTATGTTCCAACTCTTTAATCGGATAGACCATTAGTTGATAAACATTTTTTGTCGTGTACGTGAAGTTGCCTGACCTTTACTTCCGGGTCTACCGGAAGTTCAAAGTTGGGTGAAATCAAAATAAAGAAAGCCTGAAATTAAAACAAAGCAGAATTTCTTCCGAACGGTTTACAGGATTATCATCAAAGCTAGTGTGAACTGGTGCCACGTAACGAAGATGTTATAAATTTGGTTACGTCATCATGACGTTATCAGGTATCAGATTACAAGCGATTTGATGGCACGATTTGACAAAATAGTTTGACCTATATCTCTTGAACTAAAAAGAGTATCGTGTTCATTTTATCGTGAGGTTGTAGACGGTGCCTTGAGCAAAATTTCTAATTCCCGCGGGCACAAAACCGCTGGACCTTCACTTCCGGTGTTACCGGAAGTGCAATAGAAACTGAATTATTATTATTTTTTTTTACCTGCCCCCACCCCCCTCATCGCGATGGCACTGATATAGGTTTGATTATAACCCTTCGGTAAAAGTTTCAGATTGCTTGAAAACAAAAATCGTGTAAATGAGAAATGCTCGTTTTATGCATTTAGAATCTGTCAATTGCATTGTACATGTATTTTCTCCCTGAATGATTGTGTAAATTAATGATCCTGTCATAGTTTAATCTGTTTTGTCAGAAGTGTTTGCCGTTCATTAGCGAGGGTTTTGTATTCCAACTTCCAAAAGAGCTGTTGAAAATATTAACGTCTATCATAGCGACCGTAACACTAGATACTGATTTTTTTTTATTTCACCCATTCCGGCAATTTCATACGATTATGCATGCTTTAATGCTCATCTACTTCTACCTTTAAGCCTATATTTTTTTCCATGCGTAAGCCAAAGATTATGCCAGACACAGCAAACAAGTCGATGTCCTTGAATTGGAGTCGTCATCAGGTGAACTATTTTACTCAAGAGGGATTGTGTCACTCACGGTAACAGTTTCCACGTCTTCTGAAACAAACAGGAAATACTTGCAAATGTTAACCATGAAGAAACGCCTATAATTATGGCTTTCATTGACAGCAATTTGATTTTTTGGGGGGTAAGAGCGCAAAACTTGTGAAATTTTGTAACCAAAATACCACTGTTTGGAATTCAAGTGCCTATATAGGCTTGAAGCTATTAAAAAGTACTCTCAAAAGAAAAATGGAAGCTGCCGACAACTACATAGAAACTGCTTGGGAAATTAACTGGAATTCGCTTCAATAGAAAGGCAGCTAGTTATTCGCTCTTTGCACGTTGTTGTAAATTGTTACAAAAACGAGGAGACAGGGTTTAAATATAGACATGGGCGTCGCCAGGATTTTTTCTAGAGGGGGGCAAAAAAAAAAATTTTGCCACAAAATGCTTGTATTTCTCAACACATTCTCGATTTATCAGTTTTAGAGGGGGGCAGGGACATTTTGCCCCCCCCCCCCAACTCATTAAATTTACACCACTTTGTCTTCGCGCCTCTTTTTCTTTTCTTTTCTTTTCTTATTTTTTTCTTCCTTTTTTTTTTTTGCTTTTCCAGGGGGGGGGGGGGGGCAAGTGCCCCCCCTTGCCCCCCCCCCCCTCGCGACGCCCATGAATATAGACACTCTCGCCTCGTTACTACACGGAGGCTGCTATTACGCAAGAAGCCTTCCAAATGGCCAAAGATTGTCAGCCTCACTTTCAATTCAACCTAGCCTAGCAAAAGGTTTTGTTTGCCTAGTAGATTTTTTTTAAAACTGTCTCTATACAACCGGAAGGTTCTAGCCTGACTCATATTCCGCCGATTCTGTGAATAAAGGGAATGAGTTCTCACCTTGGCGGCAGACCACACCGGCATCCTGGGTGTGGTTACATGCGACCTCCTCCCAGCAAAACGAGGGGCAGTCCCAGATCTTACTCTCCGACCCATCGCACGCGAGGCCGTCCATGTACACGGGGCCTTCCCCTTGGCCGTAATGGGCGCCGGACTTGGCCTCCGCTGCGCCCGAGAAGCCCAGCTGACGGCAGACCACCTCGGCATCCATCACATCCCAGTCGGTATCGCAGAGGGTGCCCCATGCGTTGCCTTGGTAAAGTTCGACGCGGCCATTGGTGTGGTTCGAACCGCCGACCAACCGAATGATGTCTGTGGTTAAAAATGGATTTCTAGTGTTAATCCGGAAGATATATGCTTTATGGGAAGATATATTTTGCGGCATGACTTGCACTTCGTAAATCAGCCTTAAAGGAGCCACGAAATTATATAAAACCTGACAATTTAAACCGCGTCGACTTATTGATACAAACTACGCAGTGTGTTTTTCTACTCAGAACGAAACCCTCTTGTCGATCTTTGATGTTACCAATCATAATGCGACACACAAGCTGTGTTACGAACAACTACATTTTGTCTTTCCCTGTTACCTCTGACATCATTGATTTTGTAAATTTGGATGCATTCCTTACTAAATTGTACTCTTCCTCAAAGAGTGATTATGTGAAGCAAACGACATAGCCAACCAGAAAAAATAGTTTGTAGCCGTTTTTAATGACAATTGTATGACAAAGTACATAGTTCTGAGGTAACAGGGACAGGAATAATGCCACACTTAAACGTACAGAATGACCTATGTAGAAACTGGCAAGCATGTTCTGATGTGGAGGGCGTTGTTCATGCACAAAATCTAGAGCCCCAATATAGGCCAATACAAGGTGAGTCAAAACAATAACGAAACCCAAAAGGCAGGACCAATTTTGAATGAAGTTAATTAAAATTTTCCTACGGTGCTTCTTAAGAATCACCGTTGGAAATGCCTTCTTTCGTTGATTACTTCAAAATGACAGCTTCCCAGAAGGAATAATTTCACAGGGAGTTTAGTCCCCTTACTATCTTTCAACCAAGTTTGTTTTTCAACAATAATTACGCCAGTTACTTTTCGGATGGCTGCAAATGATGGACTATAGCTTTAAATGTATAGAATGACCGATCATTATGTTCTGATGTGGAGAGCGTTGTTCACGCATATAATTATAATCCAGACCACTATAGGCCGATATAGCTTTTCCTTTCAAAGCACACAAAGACAGGGAAAGACGACTGCAATTTTTTTTGTAAAATCCTTCAGGTAGTGTGGAAACTTGTATAAAGACACGTGTGATTGTACACTTAAAAAAACCCTCCTTACTAGGTTTGCATGTCACTCCGGCTACGTGTGAACCGTTACACTGCTGGATGCTGCTACAGACAAACGGGCAGTCGACCAGGCGCCTCTCAGACCCTTTGCAGGAAACTCGGTTCATCACGATGGGTACTTCCTCCTCACTCTCCTCCAAGGACACGCTGGTGGCTTCCTCTGCTTCTAAGAAGCCGAGCTGATGACACACGATGCTGGCCTCTTTCATGTCCCAGCCGTTGTCGCATATCGCACCCCAAACATCGTCGTGGTAGATTTCGACTCGTCCAGAGCGTTTCCCATCACCGTCTACTAGGCGAAGCATGCTGTCAAAGTCTTATCGGGAGTAAGAAAGCGATTGTAAATTTGCGTATAGGATTATACTTCAGGTGGATGTGGTGGGTTGCGCTTGATGCCTCAGTGAACAACAGACTAATGAGGATTTTTACTTATGGACAATCCAGAACCACTCATCAGCCCTTCCAATCGCTTTGATTGAACTATTTGTAATACCAAGGATCAACCTTTCCTTTGACCTCAATCCAAAAAGTTGAAACGACAAAGAACTCGAACGGTGTTGAACTTAAACGGATGTTAGAAGAATTTAATGACAATGAATGTACAGATTTATTGCTACCTCTCTCACCGATACAAAACCACTGCCCTCTCCGCCATAACACAAAGGGTCTATGAGGCTTCTCTGAATTTTAGTTTTAGATGAATCCATCCGAATCCATCAGACACGTTCAATTTTAAACAACGTCGGAAATACATCTATAAGAAGTAGATGTCTCTTACATTCACATTTAAGTTTAACCACAGTTGTGACGGATGATGAAATTCTCTTTGTTTCTATCATCAGAAATTTATTTATAAGAGTGATTGTGCTTTTGCGAAATTGAAGATGCTTATAGGCAAGTATCATGAAGGCCTGCAATGTATATTCTGGCAAAGTGCTATTTCATTTTTAGACACATTTTTTTATGCTTCGGTTTTTTTTTATTAAAAATGTAATTAAATTGTTCACACCGAATGAGCTGATTTGAGGATTAATTCACAATGGAGCGAACACATTTGATTAGAAGAGCTTCCAGACATCATCTTATCATCAATCAACTCACGAATCAGTGACGCAAGAAAAGATTGAAATTACCTCGGCATCCGAGCACTTCCAATTGTAAATGACACCCTTTGTGCCAGGTAGCCATTTGTATGCGGATGAATCTGGTCAACAGTGTCACAGGGAAGGTGACAGTTACTCTTACATGTGGTCCATTGTTACCCTCCAACTGAATACAAGAAGCAAACCATCGAAGATTATAACATTTAAATTCGATCTTAACTTTCAATGTGTAAAAAATAAATTAACATAATACAGTTTTAGCACCAGGCGTATTAATTGCCCAAAATGTCTAAATAAAAACCCAAAAATATCTTTACCACTACATGTATATTGATGTACTCTATCGAATCAGACTTTGGATATTTTTTGGATCAGTCAGGCCGTGAAGGTACATGTGCCCCAACACGAAGGGTTAGGTTTAACTACTTATTATACCTCTTAGCAATTCATAGTTAGGCCTTGTTGAATAGCATCCGACCAACCACCTATCGAACAATCATAGCCAGCCGATGGCTACAAAAAGCCGTTTAGGGACAAGTTACAAAAGTGGACATCTACTTTTCTGCTAAATTTATTTCCTACGTCGATAAAAAATTACATCTGTCAATAGAGCCACAGAGTACTGCCAAAAGGTGAATTGCAGCCAGAAAGTACCCACACTTGTTGAAGGTTATACGGATCCATGGGAATGCTTCCTCGCAACGTTGACATCGGAAAACATCTCCCTCATAGATCCACACTCATGCAGCATTGTCGCCTACTTACCTCAATGCTTTGCCCGTCCGTATCGGCTAAGCTCTGCCAGTCATCCGACTCACCAGTCATACTATACCGTACCGTGAAGGTTCGGATGTAGTGGGTACTGTGTCCCTTCACTACGACGCCAGTGACGAGAGTGTATGCACCCAAATCCACCTGGATCCATTGATCAGTCCCACATGGTCTCGCATGCCAGTATCCTATACAGAGAATGTAATGTAGGTCCATACACGGACCAGAGTTGCATGACTTTATTACCAAGCAGCGTAGAATATTACTAGTGATGGAGACTTATTGAATTTTTAAAATAATTTGTTCGGTTAATTTATTTTTCTTTATATACAAATACCAATATACTTTATTGTCGAATGATTTGATAAATCAACAATCGTGTTTCAACAATGGCTCCGTGCAGCTTCGGGCTCGATTAGGCCCCTGCTTGCGAAAATGTCGAAAGTATCGTTGTCGCCATTTCTTTAGTCCTTCAGAGGTTGTTCTTCATTATTATAATTTAGTAAAATGAATGCGCAGAAGGTTTACACATGTCTATCCCAGCGTTACACAATCATTGCCCTCTGACTCTGCCTTAACGCATGCATGAGGTCTAATAACCTATCGCGGTAGAATCGCGTCAACGCAGCTTGTGAAATGTTATTCAATAACAACCATAATGAAGGCAGCACTTACAAGGAAGAAGAAGAAGACGCGGAACGCGCAAAATCTGAGACAAGCAAAAGTTAACGTACAAAATGTCATAGGGATGTCTCAGGGGCGTGGCTAACTCGCAAACAACGATAGACCTTTTCCTTTCGGAAACTCGCACGGCGCCCTCTACAGTCCAGCGTGGCTTTGAAATCAGACTCACCGGAATTTGGACGAGCCTTGGTTGGGGCATACGCAGAGTTTAAGCTGGATGAAGCGGTGATCTTGCTATTCGGGATCGCTCCACTCTCCATGCCTAATGGCCCGGCCGTACATCCTGGATACAGATACAAATCTTTTGTTCAATTACTAATATCTCGATATATAAGGCCTATGTTTCTTGACATAAGGCCTATGTTTCTTGAGATATTCCGTCTGCAAATGTCATCCGAGCTTATCAGCATGAAATCCCGAAAATCCTGCCTCGCCAGACAGAGGAAACATGAAAAAAATAATGTCTGCTTTTAGATGGAGGGGAAAAAGGTCATTTCTTTAATTTCATCATGTTTAAAATATAACTTCGTTTGCAGTTGCTGATCTGCTCATGTCTTGAGGCAGATGATCATTGATGAGTTTCGAGTGTCATGTATTTACCTGAAATAAGAGGCCTTGGGACAACTGCTTCTTCTTCCAGAGGATGAGCTGAATGCACTCCTTTATAGATGAGGCGAACAGAATAAAAACAATAGTTATGTTTCATATTCTCCTGAATTCACATTGGCATTAAATTTCCGGTAAGTCATTGAATATTTGTTTCATTCATGATATACATGCCAAAAAGATAGCAACAAAAAGACACCGAAAGTCCAATTCGCTTTACTCTATTTCTATATTTTAAAATACATAAAAGACCAAGAGGCCAGGGTCAGGAAAAAAAGGTAAGTTGATACTTTAAAATGTATGTAAGAATGGAAAGCGGGAGAGGTGCTTAACATTTCAAACTTTAAATCATTTTGTATTTAAAAATGAAAATTGAATTCCTGAATAAATTAAATCAGTATAACCATGAACATGCGCGGCGATTTCTTTTGTCTATTAAGGGACTGTGGTCTACACAATTTGAAACCAATAAAGATGTAATGTGAGTGCTTTTCAACAAAATCAACACAGGGCAAAATAGGAGTACCAAGTGGTACAACCCAATACCCTCGGCGGCCGGAAACGTGTGAAGACGGCTTTAATACGGCACCGTCCGTGCACCCGAATGGGGCGTAATCTAATCTAATATGCTAAAAACTAATGTGTAAATTAGACACATGCGCATCAGTGTTTTCAAAACCGGTCTTCGAATGCAAAGCTGTAATACTCGAGTTGCATGAATACAATATATCAGCCGTGTGGTTGCGAAAGCCGATTTCTAAAGGTTACATAATACTCTATTTTGAATGAAACAACATGCACACAGACATGTTCACACAGGCGGCCGAAATCTTTGAAAATTAATTTCTTCCGTTTGGAAGACCGTATCTTCACGCAACTTCTAGGGTTGGTTTCTCTTATAATGGTCCAACTGTGTGCTGAAAATCGTTTTGATATGATCAGTACTTCTCGTTGAAATTGGAAAAAAGGCCCGGCTACGGGCATTTTTTAAAGTTGTAACACGAGTGTTTGCAATATTTTTCAATCTTTTCAAGCCTCACGAATATTGATAAGATTCCTGTGCATTATGGTGTGCAGTAAAAAGTTGCAGAATAGCCTCCATAACGAGTTATTAATTAATAAATATTTCCCTATTTGCCGGCTTCCATTGGTCGATACCGAGACCCACGCGAAGTCAAGCCTAGTGACGTTAATGAATATGCTAATATGCGCTTCGTCATTGTTGCCCCCAAAATCGGCCAAGCATGCAAGCCAACCTGAAAACCATGCAAGGAGTTTGGTTGGAAAAAAATCCTCGTCAAAATTGTGTTTGGAGATATTTCAAGGTGTAACACAAGCGTTTGCAACAACAGATCAAGCTAAAATTCGGAATATACTTAGATGATGTAAGTGTTCAACTACTCGTGAAATAACAACTTGAGGAGATTCATAGGAATTGAGATAAATACATAGATTTGGGGAAGTTTCGAACAATTTCCGCCCGCCCTTAAGGTCAGCTTTACCAGTTACCAGTATTAACGTTCTTGGCATCGATGACGGCGATTTTTTTTCACTGACATGAAGTTTAGAAATTCTTCTTCAAAAGGCCATGTTTTTTTGGGGTGCATGAATTTCACTGCTCTGTTATAGCGTCTAAGTACGTAATTGGATTAACCCATCCAGCCACCCACCCACCATCCAACATAAGCAGCTCAAGCCCACGGTGTGTTTCACATCTGCCGTTGGAAGAAGACATATTGAGACACACACGAGGGATGTATTGTTTGTTCTCTTCGGGTGCTGAGCAAAAGTGATATGCATTCTGTTCACGAAAGTTTCGTTTTAATCTGTAATACAACTTTGGAAGGAACAGAGTTATAAAAAATTAAGGTCGATATGCCCCCCAATCTCATTAAATTAAAATTAATACGATGTTCCCTACTCGATTGGCAAACACGTTCTCTCTATACAAAATGTTTGATCCAAACAATGTTTATGCTAGCCTCATTTATTACCTAACCTAACATTAAAGCAACCCCTTTGTAAAAATAATGTATAGCTATTGGTAACGGTCGACAAATTCAAAGGCTTTGTCGACTGATAATTCTTAAAGAACCCAACCACATTATAGGTTTTTCGATGCAATTTCACACCTTGCTCATTCAGTTATGCAAAACTTCCATTCAAATTCGCTTATATAATGGCGAGCATTTTCACACCTGATTCGATTAAAGATGCATACACCATGCTCTTCAAGAAATGATTTTCAATTTGAATGTTTTTGAGTATCCTACATAATTCCCATTTTTAGCGTCTGCAACTCTCTGAAAAAGTGATTTCATTTTGTGCACAAATAACCCGCCTTGCGAAAACCAAACTGTTGTCTGGCAGCCACAATTTAAATTTGTGAAGAAATAGGTCACTATCTAAACTGGCGCACCCAGGATTTGGCTGGCGGAGGGGGCGCTCACAATTTTTTTCTTTTGAATTTTTTGAGAAGTAAACATTTTTCAAAATATTTTGCCCGAAATCCTTGGCTGCAGAAAATTCTTTTTTTAAATTGTTTTATTTGGCGGGGGGTGGGGGGATATTTTGACGTTGGTGGCGCCACCTACACCCCTATTATACTACTCGAAAATAGGCCACATACATTTCACCAAGGTCAAATCGTGGGACTAAAAAAAATTACACCAAAAAAACAAAACAAAACAAAACAAAAACCATTTGGGGGGGGGGGGGGGCTCAAGTAACTGGTGTATGTAATTTCGTGATCTTTCGATTTAAATTTCGCTCGGGATTTCATTTTGTGGAAATACGTTTACAAAAATAACACATGAATTTAGGCACTTTGCTTAAGCAACATACAGTCCAAAATGACATGAAGTTTTTAAAAGTTTTGTATTAAAAGGAATGTAGAGGTATTTCAAAGAATAATGTGAATGCCTGCATGGAATGAAATAGTACAAAAATGCATAACGTACTTAAAACTGTAAAGTGCCAAAATGTAGAGTGCCAAAGAAAATAAAGTTTGAACACTTGCCGATGAAATACCGCGTAAAAACAAGACAGATTTCTCTGTGCAGACCTAAGTGCCCGGTGTGTATAATTTATGTGATCACTTTGTGGAAAAGTCACATAAATAAAAAAAAAATCGTATACATTTCTATAAATGTACGATTGACGTTCGGCGAAATGCAAATTCCAAATAGAGTTGACTCTTAATTCCGTTGCACCTTCGTTGAAAAGGAATACTTTTTCTATCAAATTCGCCTACTCAAGGGGAAATACAAAACCAACAAACGAAATAGAATTTCTATTGCGACAACGTTTGACCACACTGAACTTATTTGAACACACTGTAAAACGAAATCGAATGCTCCAACTGCGATTTAGAAACTGTATTCGAACCCGACTCTCTGAAACCTCACGAACATGGAATAAATATTCTTTCTGATTGAATGGACAAGTTGCGAAATTGAAGGAGAAAACAATAAAAAGATTATGAAAAATGTTTTCATTGCAAATAGATTGAGTTTTAGCGAATTGCTAATGCCAAATTAAATTCTCACCTATTTCCAATGCACCCTCATTGAAAATGAGATTCGCTTACTCAGTGCGAAATCGAAAACTAACAAATGAAATTGGATTTGCTTCCACGACAAATTTGGACCATTCGCTCAAGTTAAATCAAAATAATGCTCTATACTGCGAATTAGAAACCGCAATCGTACCCGGCTCCCCAAAAACCTCTTGAAAAGGGACGCACAATCTGTCCGACTGAATGACCAAGTTGCGAAAAATGAGCGGAAAAACCAACATTTACAAGAAATACATCCCCAGACAATTAAGTGTCATATTGGGTGAATTTCCCAGATGGATCATTCAAGACAAACAGGTGTTGATAGTTCCTCTTAAGTCCATCCTACAATGAACTAGGAAAAACGATCTGGAGTAAAATTAATTCATTCGAGTTTTTCATTCGAATTTTCACTCGAATTTTGGACTGTAGAAACGTCTAGTTCCTAGCTTCACTCCATGGAATGTAGAGCGTATAGAGAGAGAAAAAAAGTTTCTTTTGAGAGTTAGTACAACAAATAGGTAGATTAATTGGAGGTAGTGGAGTATATACGAAAGATATTGAAAGGAAATCATTTTGACTTACGAAACAGCGCAATAACCAGACACAGTGTCAGAATGGTAGTGGATGACATCGTTGCAACGTGAGCTAATTGGTTGACGGGTATTAACGGACTGCAAGGCGTCACTCTCAGATCAGATCTGCTTCGGAGTTTGAGACGTAACTGGGTTTTATAGCATACCAGTTTTTTTTGTGGAAGTTAACTTACTTAAGGAATTGTAAGGGCGGTGATCACGCCACAATTTTTGAGATAAAGATCTGTTTTGACATTCAAGGGCTTCAAAATACTAACGAGCCAACGCTCAGTCGAATTTCAAGGGATGGTACTAGTCGTCGTTGTAGTATCATTACAATACAGGGAGAATTACTATAACTCTTACATATTCATGAACGAGAGCCGAATTCTTACTGGTCCATTCACCATCACGTGCCAGACGCACGGGCGTCGCTAGACCATTTTGAGTAGGGGGTGCTTTTGTGAAATTTGCCGACCGACCGTCACGCTAAATGAGTGTAATTGATAATTTCCGCCCAAAATGATCCCTTTAACGCCTTTTCTAATTTCCTCCAAATATAATGATTAATTGCGTTGATTACTTTGAATGAATTAAAATTTTCAGTGGGATAAATTCAACTTCGAAAGTTAATCGTCAAAATTTGGCCCTGTTGTATACAAAAGTTTTGGACATTTTGTTCGTCGCAAAACTGCGTGTACACGCTCAGTGCGTGTGCGCATATCTTGTTCAGGCCCGACCAGTGATCTCACGGGGGGGGGTCTTTAAATCCTAAAGTGGAACTTATTATATGCAATTGCCAGCGTGAATTGTGTTCTTGTTTTCAGAGAGCAGAAAATGGTTTACAGTGTTTTTATTTTGAATGGTACATTCAATAGAATCGCAATGCTCTTAAAGACAGATACAGTCATTTGCATTTGTCCAAAAAAGTAACCTTCCAAATAAAATATTATCCAAAACGTACTTGGATCGAGGCTCGTTATGGTACTAAATACACAGTGAAATTATTCCGTCTGGCTTGCTGTCGATTGTTCAAAGAAATTAAGAAATTCGGGTGATTCGGTCAATGGCTAAAAACTTACAATTTAATAGGAGAAAAAGATGTCTTTTAGGATTTTTTTGAATACACTTCATAGGATATTATTTATTTCTCGAAGAAACTTGAAGGACTAGCAATGACAGAAAATAATCTGAAGTGACAGCTGATGAAGATTGCATTTAAACCAGCCCGTTTAACTCTAGAACCCACTGGCTGTAGGTAGGTAAATTTCGCGTCGTTATACGTTTTCGTTTTCAGTCCATCGCAATTCGATTTTACCCATCTCCGAGTGAAATCATCATTTTTGTTCTTGAAGAATACAAGAAAAACATCCAACATGAATGTTTCTTGGGGTGATTGCGGTTAGAAATCATTATGACAAAAAAATTAGCAAGTGTAAAATGCCCGTAAGCGGGCAGCGCGAGAGTTCCTGAAGCTCGCCGTGTGACCTTTTATTTTCAGCCTCTATTGGCAACGAACAAAAAAAAACTGATGAAAAGCAATGGTTCTTAATGCCTTTAAAGGGACTTTAGTGGTCAAAATCATAGTGGCCACTCTGTACACGATGTCACCATAGCAGCAATGTGTGAACGGATATGCCTTTTGGAGCATTGTCTCTATCTATTCATCTTTTTGCAGAGACATCTCTAGCTAAGTGGCGATCAAGCCACAGGTTTCGATTTGACACTCTAGCTCTTCAAAACGAATAATGAGATCGATCCCGTACTCAGTACCCTTGTAGTTTCGTTTGTCTTCCCTTATGACTTACACAAAAAGAGAAGGAAGTACAAACCAGATGTTATCAGTCGCATGCACTTGTTAATGATGCAGGGTAAATATTCCAGCTCCTTATAATACAGAAACTAACTGCTTGGTAGATATTTAACCACTTGAAATGTGTTCTCTTTATCTGCCAACATGATTAAGTACAATTACAATTTTAGTTTACAAGTGAACAAGTAAATAAGGTTATCATTTAAGGTATTTATAAACTTATTAATTTCAGTTTTCCAGCTCCTTATAATACAAAAACTACCTGCTTGGTAGATATTTAACCACTTGAAATGTGTTCTCTTTATCTGCCAACACGATTAAGTACAATTACAACTTTAGTTTACAAGTGAACAAGTAAATAAGGTTATAATTTAAGATACTTATAAACTTATTAATTTCAGTACTCAATTAGCTATACTCATCAGCAGAAATTTCTCAACTAAGTGGGGTTGGGATGGTAGGGTAGAGGTAGACGGTGACCAGCAGCTTGGAAAATTAAACAGCATAAATGTGGAGGGGGGGGGGGAGAAGTCTTACCAACTTATCTAGGGGTGCTGTTCAATCATGTATGTAATCACGTACACGTGTATAATTATACGCGTTTCATGCTGCCATCCTCCTAGTATTTAGTGGACCAATATCTAAACGGTATTTCTCTTTGGTAATATCATAATGAGGATCACGATATCTAAAATATAAACCCATGTGGATGTATAGGGGGATGTCGCCATGGGAGGACGGTGGGAGGTAGGACCAGTAGCTTAGAGAAAAAACAAAGGGGGGGGGGTGTCTTGAACAATCTGTTTGATGTGTTGTACGAGCATGTTTGTACTCTTGTAAAAACTCCTATATGTAGGCCTAAGTCCATCATTGAATGCGAAGAACGAGCTGACTCCATATAGCATGTGTTGTGCCACAACCAAACATTTGCAGTCATTAATTCTCTGGCCCTTTGTATTCTTTCGGTGTGATCACGCCACACATTTCCATAAATGTCTGCTTAACATTGACATCCCATGGCCTCTAAAAATAACAAGGACACCATGGAAACTGCGCCAAATTTGTATCCTGGTAGTTTCGGGTTTTTTTCCCACTAAAGAGGAGGAAGTAAAATAAAGATGTTAACGATAATAAATGCACTTATTATTGGTCGTTGACATCAAGGCTCCAAGCAGGGTACATACCAAGGCCGTAATACAGGAAGTCTCTACTTGGTAGATATGTTAACCTCTGAACTTTATGATTTCAGCAGACAGTTCGTGTACTTAAAGGGGCCATTCAACATGTTCAATGTTTTTAAATTTGGATTGTTTTTTTTTCAAACTTGCGGGAGGGTGGGTCAAGGTAAATAATTAAAAATCAGAATTCACTGTTCGGTAAGAAAAAAAAATTAAAAAACAGAACTAGATTTTGCCTGTGCTTTTTCCAACTTCGTCCCCATTGACAGACAATGACCTTTTGTACATTAAGTAGCGCCCACTAGCGCTGCATGCATATAGCGCATAATGAATAAATATAAATGCGGCATTCCCACGACGATAAAAGTGGCCGCCATCATGGATGTATCCGAAATACCGGAAGATCCTCGCGAAATACCGGCAGATCCTCGCGAAATACCGGCAGATCCGACACACCTTTTTGTTCCCCTGTTGGAACGAGTTCCAAAACTACACAGTTTTACTATCTTTTGGTATAATGGCCTCGAAATACTGTTTTAGAAATGAATTTCGAATTCCCAAACAGGTTTTTAAGGGGAGACATTTACTTAGGGTGGTTAGAGATTATCTCCATAGCCCCCCAAATAAAATGTCACCCCTTTATAAATCTGTTGAGTAGTTTTTATTTTCAGTAGTTGAGTAGTTTTTATTTTAAGATGTGGTGGCAAGACGGAACTCTTTCTAAAAACGTCACTGCTGACGATGCACACCCATTTTTTTTTTTTTACAACAACACACATACCTAATCCAACTATCAGCTGATGAAGCACAATTTCTCAGGGCACCAATGCAACAGGGGGAGCAGCTTCATCTAGCCGTCACTGAACTGGACACACAATGTGCATGGACATGCATTGTGCAGGGACACACATGTACATGTACAAGTATATTTGTATGCAAGTGCATGTAGGCCTACATGTGCAATTTTTTTTAATCTTTAATGACAAATCAATTTTTTTCAATCGAAAATAGGGGTTGGTGGGTGGGTCAAAACAATTTGGAAAAAAAACCCAAATTTAAAAACACTGAAAATTGTGTATGGCCCCTTAGGCCTACATGTATTGAACAAACAACGACTTCTCAATGAGCACAACTGGTAATGGACATTTTCAGACATTTAAAAACGATATTCACAATTTTCTGTCATTTTCAGGACAAGAGAAACTACCATCATTTTCGTATGATAGTTTAGGACCAAACCATCGCGAGAATACAAATCTTTGTTTTTTAAACAAATACCGCTCCCAACTGACCGAATTCAGTCTAGTTTGCAATCGGTTATATTATATCTGACATCTGTGAATGAGAATTATTTCCCCAAGCGACAAACTGGGATCATGCCACAAGAGGGCGCAAGTCAAAACGTATTAATGAACATTTTGGAAGGGAGGACTTACAAAGGAAACCTTGCTTAGCGTGAAGAAAAATGAAGATGCAATTTTAGAGTTTTCTTCAAAAGTGTGAAATCTACTGAGCTAAAATTTCTACGGGTTAATTTTTAATAAAGTGGTTTAGATTAAGTTTATTGTTGTTTCGTGAATCAGCAAAACATTTTCCCCCGGTAAATGGTGTCTATTATCTTTAAGATCTTTTGTCTTTGTGTGTGTTAACTTCAAGACCTTAGCCACCCCACTTTACATGCTAAACACTTGATTTAAAATAATTTCTTTTGTTAAAAGGTTTCACAGGTTTCTATTGAAATCCTCCTGCAGCTTCTGAACAAGGCTGACATATGAAATGTATTTAGCAGTCATATGAATTCAATCTCTAAAATGTTTCATTGCCGACCCTTTTCTTTGGGGGAGGGGGGGGGGGGGGGGGGGGAAGTGACACAGACATATTTTCGGAGGGCGCTGTTAATAAGAACCCAGTCCTACGGCAGAGACCATCTTCTGTCGGAACCGTGTAGTTTCATCTCGGTGAGTCTAACATAAAAATTAATACACATTGCTGCTCAGAAAACTGATCTAGGAATCGACGGAACTTTACAAAAACCAGGACAAGGCAAGCCATGTAAATGTACTGATCCCAGAGCGCACAGAATGATATTCATTTAATTCATGGCAAATTGTTGGTGGCGCACTGCAGTGTGAATTGCCCGAATTGATTCATAATTGTCTTCATTGGAAATGTTTTCTGCAAATGTGAAGCCAAATCCAGGCCGTGCTTGGGGACCTTCATGCCCCCGGCCCGTACAGCCAAAGGTGCTTCATACATCGGCGTGGTGGCATGAACCGGGCCGCTACCCTAAGAAGCCTGATGATATCTACCCGCCTAGGAGACACCAGAAACGCCCCGTCAGTAGCGTTCCTGCTGTCAAATCCAGCAACAGGTTCGGTGTACTCGAATCAATGGGTGATAACGACATCTGAATGATGTACTATGTATTGCAATAACCAAAAACATGATCACTTGGATTTTACACACAAGTGTGTCTTGATTATTAATCAGGTTAATTTTCTCACGGCGTTTGTCTTCAGAATAGAATCTTGATAGGGTTAATATATTTGAAAGACACTCAAACATGTGCTTGTATGTTGTTTAGATCACTGAACAAAATATGGATGTTTTTCTATAAAGTTCTTTTTTTTTCAACCAATAAATTAGTTTATATTGCTGATAGTCGAAGAGGTGATTGTACACAAGCTTCCAAATAGTTTATGCAGTAAAAAGTGGAAAGTGATGTATATTCAGGAATAAACTTTGTTTTGCCTTTGAATGCTTTTTTATTGTCATATGTATAGCACGCAAATTTCACCTAAAATGCGTTTGAAATATGCCTCAAGACATTGTATATTTGCAACTGAAATATAATTGTTCATTGATATTTAAGTTCAATCGGTTGTTAAAGTGCTTCCTCAGTCCATTTTCATGAGTTTGTTGTAATCTACCAGAAAATTTGCGATAGAATGATACTGAAATTTGAACCAACTGGACAACAGTTGACATCCTGTGTTATGGGCTCCTTGCACAAGTACCCCCTCAACGGTAAGAAAAGGAGACTTGGGGAAGACCACTGGGACAGACACTGGAACGCATTGCTGACGACGCCCGGCGCTCACGCGAAGAAGCTATGGCTTTGTGCACGTACAAATTAGCAGGGCGTACTTTGCAAACGTACAGCACGCGTGCGCGGTGTGCCCCGTCCACGGGGCTCTAACAAGTGGTCAAAAGCGCCCTCTCTGTTTGCGCAAGGAGCCCATACCAGTCGCCATGGACAACAAAAGTTTGCTCGCTAGCACAAACGTTGCAGTTTCTGAGAAACTACAAATGAATCACATTGTATGATCACATTTAAATTAGTTATACATCATGCAAGTATAATCAATAATGATGCAGTAAATAAACACGTATAGCATTCTATCTAAATCTATCTAGAAGCAAAAATATATATATGGGCGTGGTTCCAGGTCAATAACCCGGGGATGGAAAATCAAAACAATTTTTTTGGACATTTCTAATTGTTCCTAAAAAATTCAGTGGGCTTCATAGGCCAGTTTTTGAGAACTTGTTTGGTGGATAAAGAAATCCAATTTTGATTGGAAGAAATTTCCTGTTCACAAAAGTTGAAAGTTATGATGGACAGACGGAACTCCCCGCATCAAACCACGCCCAAAAATCCAATACAATAAGAATTATATTTTAGTTACAGTAAATCGCAAGGAAAATTGTGATCAGAGACTAGCACTTTTTTTTAACTGAAATAAACCGACTACTGTGTACAAAGCTGTACATGGTATTCCACTTTAACTTTATAAATCAAGTGTTACTTGTTTCACCTTTGTGACTTTGTGTTTCTACTTCGATAACATTATGAATTTTTGATGCATTTGACAATGAAAATTTCGCATATCTTGGTTGCAGAGGATTGTAAACTCTTATGAAAATGTTATTTTTTTGCCATATAGGTAAACATTTGAAATCTTTTGGATTCAAAACGTATTGGACTAGGCCTTTTTTGGTAATAAAGTATGTGAAGTCATTAACCGACAATCATTTCCACATTCCATAAAGTAATGTGTGTATAAACTGCCCAATTAACACTAAAAATATCAATACATACTATGCAATTTTATGTGATAAATTTTAAGTGATTTAGAATAGCATTAAGTATATGCAATTTTATACCCTACATTTTCCACAAGATAACATGCAAACTTGAGGATGCTTCATTTTACTATATAACCTCATAATTGTTAATTTTTGTGTCCATGTAGAAAACGGCCTGTATTGAATTGAAAACTAAACTTTGTAATGTCGAATTTGATGCAGTCATGGAATAAACTCAGATTCAAGAAAAGATAATGCTCCTGAAACTCGTCATTTAAACAAAATCCATTAATTGGACGTGGTTGAATGTTTTACCTCAGTTCCTCCTCCTGAAGAGGATACGGGACCAAAATGTGAGAATATTTCCTGCATCCCCAGAGCGTCCTTTGAATTGAAATCTTGCGTTTGGAAATTGCTAACTTTAGAGAACTGTCAGAAAATGGACACCCCCTTCGCGTTTGTTTTTAATTATGAACCAATTGCTTAGAAACCCAAACTTTGGATTTGTTGGGTTTTAAAACTGTTTCTGTGCAATCACAACATTTTACCTTTACTAGAATTTAAAATAATTTTGAAGTCCATTTAAGGAAGCTAACTTTGAAGTCGACGAGTTTCTGGTCTTAGAACAAGTTATGAAAAAAAAGTGTATCACAGCGAAATAATGAAATTATGAAAATTATGAAAATGGGACACTGCCGCAATTTCATAGGGGAAAAGGGTATCGAGTTTTTTCACTGCAATATCTGGCCAGGACCAGCCGTGAAATGTTTAAAAGCGAATTGGGGGTGCAGGGGTTGGGTGGTGTCGCTGCATTTGAGTTCCTTTCCAGATTGTTTCTTATGCCAGTTTACTTTCACGATATTTCTAATTGTGCCGTTAGGCATCTTCGTTTATTTTGTCTCCCTCATTAGTCTTTAGTGTTTTTTTTTTGGGGGGGGGGGGCATTGCGACGGCACTGATGTAATATTTAGTATAGCCCTTCGTTCTAGGTTTCAATCTGCTTGAAAGAAATCGTGTAAAAAAAATTTCTGACAAATTGATCGTTTGATGCATCTAGAATCTTCCAACGTTGCACCGTATTTTTTCCCAGAATGACGTTTGTTCAAGAATATTTATAATAATTTCAATATTCTGTCTTAGTCTAATCTGAGCAAATGTTTTGTCTGAAGTGTTTGCAGTTCGTTTCCATGGGTTTCCCAAAATAGTCAATCACTGGCTTTACCCTAACACTAGATATTGAAATTTTGTAAATGTAATATACATGTATTCCGGCAATTTCTTACGATTATGCATGCTTTAATGCTCATGTATGTTCTACATTAAGCCTATTTTTTTCTATATCTATGCGTAAGCCGAAGATTATGCCAAACACAGTAAACAAGTCGATGTCCTTGAATTGGAGTCGTCATCGGAGGTGAACTATTTTACTTAAGAGGGATTGTGTCTCTCACGGTAACAGTTTCCACGTAATCTGAAGAAGAAAAAAAGGAAAAACTTACAAATATTAGAACTCTGAAGAAACGCCTATGAAAACTTCCATGAACACTTTTTATTTATTTTTTTTCAGAAATAGCGCAAAAACGTTAAAACTTCACAACAAAATACCGCTTGTTATGTAGGTGTCAAATACGTTTGACGTTTTTAAGTGGCAGCTTAAATCTACTTAAAAATTACTCTCAAAAGAAAACTCAAAAGAAGTTGCCGACAATTGCACAGAATTTCATTCAGAAATCATCTGGAATTCGCTTCAACAGCAAGTTAGCTAGCTATAGCTTTTCGATCTTTGCACGTTATCGCAAATTGTTTCAAAACGAGGGGTAACATATAGACATTCTCGCCTCATTACTACATGTAAGCTGTTATTACGCAAGAACCCACTCAAATCGCTGAAGATTATCAGCTTCAATTTCAAACCAACTGAGCAATAGGGGTTTTTGCCCAGGTTATTTTTTACAAACTTTGTGTTGTAAACTGTCTTTTTAATTAGCAACAGGAAGATCATAGCCTGACTCATGTTCTGCCGATAATGTAAATAAAGGGAATGAATTCTCACCTTGGCGGCAGACCACACCAGCGTCGCGGGTGTGGTTACATGCGACCTCCTCCCAGCAAAACGAAGGGCAGTCCGTGATCTTACTCTCCGACCCATCGCACGCGAGGCCGTCCATGTACACGGGGCCTTCCCCTTGGCCGAAATGGGCGCCGGACTTGGCCTCCGCTGCGCCCGAGAAGCCCAGCTGACGGCAGACCACCTCGGCATCCGTCACATCCCAGTCGGTATCGCAGAGGGTGCCCCATGCGTTGCCTTGGTAAAGTTCGACGCGGCCATTGGTGTGGTTCGAACCGCCGACCAACCGAATGATATCTGTGGTTAAAAAATGATTTCTAGTGATGATCCTGGAGATATATGCTTTATGAGAAGATATATTTTGCAATATTGATACTTTGATATATATTGGAATGACTTGCATTTCGTAAATCAGCCTTAAATTGATGAAATGGACTGTCACGGGAAACCATTTCAAGGAAGAAGCCATGAAATTAAATAAAAATGACAATTTAAACCACGTTGAATAATTGATAAAAACTACGCAGAGTTTTTTTTCTACTCGGAACAAAACACGTCTTGTCCATCTTTGATGTTACCAATCTGATGAGACACACCGGCTGTGTTATGAACAACTACATGTTCCCTGTTCCTGTTATTATCTGACATCCAGGATTTTGTAATTCTGGATGCATTCCTTAATTGAATACTCTTCCTCAAAGAGTGATTGTTTGAAGCAAACGACTTATTTAACCAGAAAAATTGTTGTAGCCACTTTTAAGAACAATTGTTTGACTAATTACAAAGTTTGGATGTAACAGAGACAGTCAGGAATAATGCCACACCTTAAATGTATAGAATGACCGATCATATGTTCGATGTGGAGAGCGTTGTTCACGCACATATAATCCAGACCAATATAGGCCGATATAGCTTTTCATTTTCAAAGCACACAAAGACAGGAGAAGACGACTGCAATTTTTTTGTGTAAACTCCTTCAGGTAGTGTGGAAACTTGTATAAAGACACGTGTGATTGTACACTATTAAAAAACCTCCTTACTGGGTTTGCATGTCACTCCGGCTACGTGTGAGCTGTTACACTGCTGGATGCTGCTACAGACAAACGGGCAGTCGACCAGGCGCCTCTCAGACCCTTTGCAGGAAACTCGGTTCATCACGATGGGTACTTCCTCCTCACTCTCCTCCAAGGACACGCTGGTGGCTTCCTCTGCTTCTAAGAAGCCGAGCTGATGACACACGATGCTGGCCTCTTTCATGTCCCAGCCGTTGTCGCATATCGCACCCCAAGCATCGTCGTGGTAGATTTCGACTCGACCGGAGCGTTTCCCATCACCGTCCACTAGGCGAACCAGGCCGTCTAATTAGAAAAAAGAAATCTGAATGGTTAACAACAGACCAATGAGAGTTTTGTTTTGCTTATGGACATTTCAGAATCAGGCCTTACAATCGCTTTAATTAAACTATTTGTAATACTGTGATCAACATTTTCCCTGATCTAAATAAAGGAAGTTGAAAGGACCAAGAACTCAACGATGCTGCACTTAACGGATGTTAGAAGAAATGTACCACACAGACCTAATGCATTGCAGGTATCTCGGAGGGTGTTCTTTGTTGTTTAAATTTAGTAACAATAAATTCATATTACAAAACCACTGCCCTCTAACTACGCCTTAACGCATAAGGTCGATACTCTCTAAATTCCAAAGAGTGAAAATTCACTCCATTCGAGTGAAGATTCACTCCCACAGTCGGAAACTCGGGACTAGACGTTTTAGAGTGAAATTTCTTCAATCGTAAAGATCGAGTTTTCACTCGAGCTTCGACTGAAGAGGTTCATTTTTCAGACTATTTCAATCGACTACTAGGCGAACTGTACCGTCTGAGACTAATGCGGGCGTAAGAAAACTATTGTAAATGTGCGTATAGGATTATACTTCATGGTGGTTGAAGTGGGTTGTGTCTATTGCGTCTTTGAACAACATTATTAGAAAAAGAAATTTGAAATTTTGAATCTGGTAATGAAACCACGGATTAATCAAAAGTGCCCTATAGGCACTGTAGCTCGAAAGCCTGAAAAAAAAAAACTGATAAAGAGAAGGCAATGAGAAGAAATTACAGTTTTAGAGGTGGAAGGAAAACCCCAGAAAAATAATTCTGGGTAAATTCTAAGGCATCAGGTAAGGACTAAAAACCCAGTCCACATGTGGCCAGGGCGGGAATGGAACCCGGGCCATAGCGGTGGAAGGCAAGGAATTTAAGTAACCGCTGGGCCAAACTGACTCCCTGGTTGAGTTTGGTGCGTCAGTGAACAGAGCACCAATTTAATGATGGCAAATTCAGAATCCCTCACCAGCCCCTACAATCGCTTTGATTAAACCATTTGTAATGCCAAGGATCAAATTTTCCTGTGACCTTGATCCCGAAAGTTGAAAGGGCAGAGTACGCAAACGATGCTGAACTTAACGGATGTTAGAAGAAATGTACCACATAGACCCTATGCGTTGCTGATTAAGAAGGGTGTTCTTTGTTGTTTTAATTTAGTAACAATAAATGCATATACAAAACCACTGCCCTCTTACTCCGCCTTAACGCACAAGGTCGATGAGTCTTTTTGAATTTCAGTTTCAGATTAGTCAATCAGAATCAATCAGAACCGTTTAGGGAGTACAATTAAATAGATGTCTTTTGAATACACGTTTAAGTTTGAACCACAGTTGTGACGGATGAAGCAATTTCCTTTGTTTCCATCCTCAAAAGAAACTTATGAGAATGATTGTGCTTTTGGAATACGAAGGTGCTTGTAGGTCAGTAATGTTGCAATGCGCATTCCGGTTTTGGGGGGTGGGGGGGGTATAGGCTTGATCATGAAATATTTTTTTCAAAACATGAGATTTCAGGATTCTCTCACAACAATAGAGCGAACACACTTCAGTCGAACAGCTTCCAATCATATTCTTATTATCATCCAAAAAAATGAATCTTTGACACAACAAAAGTTCGAAATTACCTCGGCATCCTAGCACTTCCAAATTTAAATAACAATTGCCTTGGTATGAAGCTATTTGCATGCGGATGAATCTGGTCATCAGTGTCACAGGGAAGTTGACAGTTACTGCTTCACCTGATCCGTCGTCAACATCCAACTGAAACAAGAAATGAATCATCAAAATATTATCACATCATTTTCAAATTCGATCAAAAGTTTCTAACTTGCAAAAATATATACTGTCAGCACAAGGCGTATTGCACGAAATGTCTAAATGATACAAAAATATCTTTACCACTATAAATTTACTATTAATATCGCGTCAGGCCTTTGGACGATATGGATTTCGTCTCAGAATCTCAAAAGTGTGACCAGACATCGACGCTAGGCATCATTGTCTAGTTCAGATTTTTGCCAGTACCTTGTAGGCGTTACCTAAACGAAAAGTAAGGTTGAAGATAGTTGCCTATAGGGCAGTTTCACTGAACAGATGGTGTTTGGCCGACAACTTTAGTGGGAAGTTAATCTAAGTCTGGAATGGTTCTTGGGAAGAAACTATTTTGGTAAGCTTGAGTGCGGTAGGGGAGTATCACTGGTCATGTCTTTTTCTCTGGATTCTTTCTGCCGATTTGATCATTTTGGAAGATGTCAACTGTAATTTCCTGAAGAATGGAGTGGTCAAATAGTGAGTCTGCTGATACGTTGTTGTAGGGTGTGTCAGAGGTTTTGTAACATGTCTGTAATACACTTGAGGCTCTTTGATAGTCACCAGAGACTTTGAGACTGTATATCTATTAATTAATTTTTTTCCCCAATTTATTAATTTGGTTTGGTTCTTATAGGTTGCTTTACCAGGATCACATCTGGAAAGGTTACGTCTCAGACAGGGAAGACACATTATGCCCCAACATATAGGGTTAACTACTTGTTATAGTTCCTACCATTTCACGTTGGAGCCTGCGGATAGCGTCTGACCAATCACTTAACGAAGAATCACAGCCAGCCGATGGCTACAAAAACCCTTAAGGGACCGGTAAACCAACAAAACGACAATACGTTTACCCGTGTCAAAATTGACCAACAGCGTACTGCCAGAAAGTGTATAGCTGCCAGAAAAGTACACACTCTTGCCGAAGGTTATAGGGGTTCATCATGGGAATGCTTCCTCGTAAAGTTGACATCTGAAAAAAAACCTCCCTCATAGATTCACCCCATGCAGCATAACAGTATTGTCGCCTACCTACCTCAATGGTTTGCCCGTCCGTATCGGCTAAACTCTGCCAGTCATCCGACTCACCAGTCATACTATACCGTACCGTGAAGGTTGTGATATAGTAGTTGCCACTGCTGTGTCCCTTCACTACGACGCCAGTGACGGCAGCGGAGGCACCCAAATCCACCTGGATCCACTCATTCCGACAATAATTCGAAAGCCAGTATGATCCTGCAGAGAATATAGAATTGCATGACTTTATTCGCAGGCAGTGCTACACAGTTTTGTCGAATGATTAAACCAACCCAACCCAACCACAGCCCAACCCAACCCACGCAAGACTGTATTTGCCTGCAATTGGGGAGTGGGAACTCCTATTGTCCCTCTTTTGTTTGTACTTTTAACTTTTTAGGAAGACCTCCCATATTTTTTGTACACGATCGTAAATTGGGGACCAATTCGGAGCAATAGGGGACCCTATTGTCCTCTATTGTTCAACGTCCCCTATTGAATGCAGAAACAAACTCCACCCAATCCAACCCAACCCCACCACAACCAACCCACACAAGTGTGTAAACACCTACAATCATGGACCGTCTGTTGTCCCTCTTTTGTTTGTACTTTTGACCTCCTTTATGTTTTGTACACGATCATCAGTCGTGGACCTTCAGGATTTGTGGACCCTTGAGTGCAAAAACTAGCCCAACCCATACATTCGTATTTGACCCATTCGGAATTAGGCTACATCTCAAAGGTGTTATGAAAAAGAAAATGAAACCCACGCTCTGCTCCGTGCCCCTACCAGTGAAATGTCAAGATAGAGTAATGTTTTATGAAAGCGTCATGTTCGCCATTTCTATAGACCTTATGCGTTGCGGTTATCTCAGAAGTTGTTCTTTCATATTCTAACTTAGTAAAATTAATGGGCGAAAAATATCCTTGCCTATTCCTGAAACAAAACCTTTGCCTCCTGATTCCAACTTAACGCATTAGGTCTAGGCTATTGTGGAAACTCTCACGGCGCCTTCTACGGTGCAGCGTGACTTAGGAACCCTTAGAAATAATGGACTCACCGGAATTCGGACGAGCCTTGGTTGGGCCATAAGAGCCAGCGCTGGTTGAAGCGGTGATCCCGCTATCCTTGATCTCACCACTGGCCATACCCAATGGCCCGGCCGTGCATGGTAATCCTGGATAACAGATACAAATCTTTGCTAAATTACTAATATCTCGATTATATATAGGGGCCTAAATGTTTCCCGAGCATGTCAATATGAAATTCGGAAAACCCTGTCTCACCCAAAAAGACTAAACATAAAGAAATATCCGGTTTTAGATGGAGAAAAAATTATTTCTTTCATTTCATCATTTCTCAATTATCATTTCGTTTTCAGTTGCTGATTTGCTCATGGATTGAGCCGTTTGGGCATGATACTTAACGGGTACAATTGTTATATATTCAGTCGAGGTTCGGTGGGGGGGGGGGCTTTAGACCCCCAAACTTTTGTCTAGCCCCCCCCCCCAAAAAAATCCATTGATAAATTTGCAGAAGCAAATGTAGAAGTTGACGTCACATGCGAACGGTCTCCCCCTAAAAAACAGTAATCAGAAGGGGGTATTTCCATGGTTGTGGGATTTTATCAGCGCTCCGCATTGAAAATAAATTATGGTACGAGCGCCCCCATGCACCTATCGATTTTCGGAGGCCTAAGGGTCCGGAGTAAAAAAGTCTACATTTCAGCACGCCTCCCTGCTAAAATTGTCTGGATCCACCAGTGCTAGTCTCCCCTAAAACATAGGCTCTGGAACTGCCGCGGCGCCTGCATGCATTTACCTGATTTAAGAGGCCTTGCGACAACTGCTTCTTCTTCCAGAGGATGAGCTGAATGTACTCCTTATAAGAAGCGAACAGAATAAAAACAATTGTTTTGTTGGATATTCTTCTGAATTCATATTAGCATGTTTTTTTCCTGTAAGATATTAAATATATATATTTGTGTGATTAATGATATAAATGCCAAAATAAAAACAACAACAATGCCAAAAAGGCACATGAAAGTTCAATAAAAGAACTGTGACATTCTATAATAAAAAAAACCATGATATATGAAGTCGGGGTCAGAAAAAGGGTTGGTTCTCTTAAGCAGGATTATGCATGAAAGACTGGAGAGGTGCTTCGGATTTCAAACTTTGAATTATTCTATGTATAAAAACAAATGATATACAATTATGAACAGGCGCGGCGATTTCTTTCGATGACTTAAAACAACAACAACATATATACTTCGAGACGGAGGTCTACGAAATTTGAAAAAGAAAAAAACCATAAAGATGATATGTGGGTGCTTTAACAAAAAATAATTCCCCCTCTTTACCGATTTAGACTTTTGAGCGTTATATTTTAAAAATGAAATTGTTATTTTTCTATATGGGCGTCTGCAACCATCTGAAAGAGGGCGTATATATTTAAAACTGTTTTTGTGAAGAACCACCCCTAAAAAAAGACTTTAGTTATGTTGAGGTTGTCAACCCAAATGAATTGCCAAAAATATCGTGCCCCAACAAAAAGGTAAACATCAAATGGTATTAAAGATAATCAATATCTTGTTCAAAGAAATTGAATTTCAGCCTCTATTGAAAAAAAAAATCATGATAATTTGCCATAAGAATTATTTGAAACAAAAGTTCAATAGGAAGGCATTTGGATACTTTTAGATTTGTATTCTCTTCGGGTGCTGAGTGTTAGTGATAGGCTCTGTTCATGAAAACGACGCTTTGTTCAGTAATCACAATTTTGGAAGGGAACCCAGTTATTTAAAAAAAAAAAAAGCATGGTCGATATTCCATCTTTTCATGGGGGCGCTGTTCAAAACCATCATGGTAACATTAGACAATATTTATACCGTTATTTGATTTCCAAGGGACGCTACAATGAAAAGCCACTCGAGAAAAAAAAGACAGAGTTTTGATGCCAAACATAAGCACAAAATCGCGGAAAAAAAGGACTGTTATTCAAGCTAATAATAACTCGTGTGGCTGTGCATTTCTCCGGATGCCAAATTTTCAGTGGGGGGGGGGGGGGGGGGACTGGGGGCAAACTTTTTATGGGGAGCATGCGCCCCCCCCCCCCCCCCCCCCCCCCCACTCCCCCCCCCCCTCCCCGTAACTACGCCACTGCTTGTATGACCACAAGTTTTTGTTTATTTTAACAGAAATACTACCCCAAACAATTGGGTAAAGGACAACCCAATTTTGGGCTGTTGCAGTTTTCACCGTTGCTTGGGTAAAATTTTTCAGTTGGCGAATTGCTAATGCGAAATGAAATTCTCACCTAATAGCAATGCACGTTCATGAAAAATGAACATTTATCAAATTCGCTTACTCGGTGCGAAATCGAAAACCGGCAAACAAAACTGGACTTGCTTATACGACAAATTGTGATTCTTCGCTTATTTGACATCATTTAAACAAAATCAAAATAACTGCGAATTAGAAACCGCACCCGTACCCGGCTCCTTCCTAAAACCACTTGAAATGGAACGAACATTATGTCTGATTGAATGAACAAGTTGCGAAAAACTTAACAGGAAAACCGACATTTACAAGAGAAATATATATCGAGACAATTAAGTGGCACAATGGATGAGTTTCCCAGATGGACCATGCAAGACAAACAGTGTTGAAAATGCATTCGATCTCACTGAAACCAGGGGGGAAACAGGCGATTTGAAGTAAAATTCATTAAATCGAGTAAAATAGAGTTTTCACTTGAGTTTTGACTGAAGTAATTGCATTTTTGTTTGCAGAGTTGTTCAATAAGAGTTCTTTTTACTCTGAATCGTCGAGTTTCTAGCTTCACTCCTTGGAATTCAGATCGTAACTGGAGGTGGTTGAGTATATGCTAAAGAAATAGAAATGAAATTATTTGAACTTACGAAAAAGCGCAATGATCAGGCAGAGTTTCAGAATGGTAGTGGATGACATCGTTGCAACGTGAGCTTGGTTGACGGGCTAACCAACTGCAAGGCGTCACTCTCAGATAAGGTCTGGTCAAGATTCCGAGGCAAATGGGTTTTTATAGCACACATTTTTTTTAAGTTAACTTGAGAAATTACAAGGCCAGTAATCACGCCACAATTTCAGATAAAGATCTGCTTGACATTCCAGGGCCTCAAAATACTAAGGAAACGAACCAACGATAATGTTTTCAACAATCCGCATCGTAAAAATATCTTTTGTCTTCATCATATCGAATTTCCAGGGATGAGTAAGTAAAACAAAGAGTTAAAAGTAAGGCCAAAAAAAAAACTTGGTCTCTGGTCAGCGCACGCGTCGATTTTAATCATGCGCGTCAACCTTTTTTTTCTCTTCAAATTAACACGGAACAGCGCCGCACCTCCTCAAATGTTTGTACCAAGGAGCACCAAGGAATGGGGAAATTGCACCAAGGCAAATGATAAAGGGCACCAAGGCAAATTATGGAGGACACCAATGTATAATGAGGACACCAAAAAAACAAAATAGTTCCCACCTTGTCTGTACAATTCAAGCTTTGAAGAAAAAAAAGCCATGCACCAAAAAAAAAAACAAAACAAAAAAAAACCGCGTCGCCGCATCAATTCCGGAATTTCGGTCTGACTTTTTTTGGGCCTAAAATGCACTTTTTAATGTTGGATGACATAAATGATCTAGGGTACATCTCCAGGCCTCTTTCAAATACAGGAAGTTCTTACTTAGCAGACATGTTCTCTTCATTTCAGTAGACAATTCATGTAGGCCTACACTAATGTGCGCATTTCAACTCAACTCCCAAGAACATCACACTGCATGTATATGTTTGTTTTATAATAGAACCTACCATAATATTACCAATTTAAAGGTAGATCATTTGCAGCTTTCCAAAAAATAACTGACCTAATCATTGTTACAAGCTTTCTTGGTTTAAAGATAGTAATGGCACTAAACTCCCTGTAAAATTGTTCATTCTGGCTTGCTGTCATTTTGAAGAAAATATTTTTTTAAAAGGAGGAAAGAAAGGAAAAAGAAAATGAAAAAGAAGACGAGGGGTGAATCATATTACTGTTTATTTAATATATGTTTAACACTTGAAACCGGCGAAAAGGGGCTTAAATCCGGCTATATACATACAATTCGTATCACGGTTTTTAGCGCCGAGTGCAGGCGCGGTTCTATGGGGGGGGGGGCTAGGGGGCTTTTGTTTACCCCTCCCCAACAAAAACATCCCTAAAAAATGGCAGTAGCGAATGTTAGAAGGTGACGGTCTCTCCCCCTAAAAAGATATAGTCGTGAGAAGGGGGCATTTGTACAGTATAAGGTAATAAAGTGGCATGATTGTAGGATGGATTTTATCAGCGGTCCCAATTAAAAATATGGGACGAGCCCCCCCCCCCCCCACCCACCTATTGATTTTCTGAGGCCTAAGTGTCCGGATTTAAAAAAAGGTCTACATTTAAGCACGCCTCCCTAATAGCTCCCCCCCCCCTAAAATATAGGATCTAGAACCGCGCCTGGTCGAGTGTTGTCTAGCACCCCCTCTGGTGAGTTCTCCCTTCGCTTCTGTTGAGTGCTTTGCCCCTTCCCCACTTCCCATGTAGAGACAATCCTGGCGACGCCCATGTCTACTCTATCTTTAATGTGTAGTTTTAGTGGACAAGCTACATGATGCGGTTGTATGAAATGGTAGTCTTGATTGTAGTATCATGTAAAACCAGGTACTTGTCGCCTTTTTGCTGGTCTCAGAGGGGCCATCCTTTGACTCACTGATTGACTTTTGTGATTTTGACTTGCTTAAGTCTCATCTTGTTCCAAAAGTTTGTGATTACCCGTATAGTAAATGGGCTTAATCCAGACCCACTGTATAGGCTACATGAATGAAAAGTCTTCCAGTGAATAGCCATTCTGAATAGATTGAAGTAAGGCTCTACAACCTGCTTAACCATAGACATTTCTAAAATTATTTTGAATGGGTACATATTCACCGAACAACATATGAAGACCCCTGTGGTTATGCCCTGTAAAAGGGACTTTACTGGTCACAATCATAGAGGCCACTCGGTACACGATAGACTGGTCACCATAGCAATGTGTGAGTTCCAGATGTGCATTTTGAATCACTTTCCCTTTCTGTGCACCTTTTTGCAGATAATCTTGCGTACGAGTTTTCTAGAGACACTTCAAGCTAAGTGGTGGTCACGCCACGTGTAGTCCGGTGGCTTAGAGCTCATTTTGGGCAAGATCGTGACACGCCGGATTAAAGCACCAAATTTAGTATACTTACTGTATAGGTCCCTAGAAGATATTCTAGAGGGGGGTGCCCGGTTTTGGGGGCCAAGGTTGAGGCCAGAACAAGGTCAAAGTTCAAAAGGTGTACAATACTGCATATAGTTGTCGTAAATTTCCCCAAAAGTCTGAAATTTAACGTTCTGAAAGCATAAAAGGATGTCAGGCAACTATAAGACCAACCATATCAGAAAAAAAATCCATCAAAAAACCTTTGCCCAACAAAATAGTGGAGACTACGCCATTTCCAAAAATGATGACTCAGCACTTTTTAGAAAGTTTGATTTCTGTTATGTTAATGTTATAGAAACTAAAAGCTTTGTTATATTTTCATTATTTCGTTGGAATGTGAATAATCACAGGCATAAATAATGTTCTTCCATTCTTTTATTAATTAGTTATGGATCATTATCTTAATTAAGCGACGGTTTGCTTCAAAATAATGATAGTTTTAAAGTTGCCATTATGTATGCATATGTGTAAGTACAAATGTATGAATTCCCATCACACTTTACTCATAAGGCATGAAGGTGTACAATCAGTTTCCAGTATTCTAATCTTGGACTAGTGTAATGGCTTGGTCATATAAGCCTTTTCGGAGTTCCAACTGCGCGCATTCGTAACCTTTGACAACGCACATTATTTGTCTCAAATGCCCTTTGACAGTACCCACAATGCACAAACAGCCCTTTTGTAAAGTCAGTGGCGCGATGATGTCAAAGGCCATTTGAGACAAACAATGCGCGTTGCCACAGGTTATGAATGCGCAGTTGGAACTCCGAAAAGGCTTATTACATGTAGTTACCGGTGTTTGATTATCAATACAGGTATACGAAAACGAATGGTAAACGAAGGTATACATTTTGAGAAGGGTCAGTACTGCATACTACGCTCTTTAAACTGTTTGTTCTTTTCATAAGAGTTTACTTTTTGATTGACATTAGGCATATATTCATTCATAATTTTGTGTCCTTAAAACTGAAGAGAATGCACTGCACGATAACTATCTTTCCACATCAATAGCTTTGTTTCATCATAAATCTCAGCAAATTACGGATTAGTTGGCTATTCTCCAGCCATTGGCTCCAGTCCAAAAAGTTGTTGAGTTTGCATACCTCTTGACTAAATTTTCAAACTAGCTCTACATGAATTTTATCGTTTTCATCATTGAAAAACATACTATTTGGCATGATAAGGTATTTATAGGCATTTAGGTTTAACGACTCGCAATTTTCAAGTTTGGTCCGAAGTACACTTGATCTTTCATGGAATTAAAAGCGTTCTTGTAAATCTTTTGCTGTGTGAATTGTGAATCAATCACACACAAGGTATAGGACAGAATTCCAGCGTAGGCAAAATCAATCAATGAGCACATCAGGGTGCTAATAATTATGCAAATGAAAAAAACAACTTTGACATAATGTCATTGCAGGTATTCGCCTCCTCATCTCCATATACATGTACACTGTATAAATGTAGGTTTACGTATAGGCTTACCGTGCCACCTGAAGCAATGACACCCAAAGAATAAAAATGTGAACTGGAACGACCAATAGATTTTCAGAAGAAAAAACATAATAGAAAACCAGAAACTGACCATTCACTTTCATGCCTTGTGAGTTAAAAGTGATATATGTATATACAACAAGCTGATTTACCCGATCATAGATCGGGTAGGGCGTAGTGTTTAGGATGAAAATTTTGGGAGTTAAATGTAAATGGGGATATAGTTAAGGAGGCATGCAGTTATAGAAAAGCAATTTCTGTGGTGTGATCTGAGGCAATTTCAGGCTGACCACTAAAACCAATTTTAGCAAAAGATCATCTGTTAAAGTTTTGAGTTTGGAGTAATTGTCTCAGCTACATGTATTCTGAGCAATAGAATCATTGTTGTAGGCTACAATTTTTATTCGGGGAAGAAAAAGTGGGGGGGGGGGACCAAACAATGTCCCCGCTTTAAAATGGGGAGGGGGGGGGGGTTCCCCCTGTCCCCCGTCGATTTACGCACATGATAATTGTGTACCATGGCAACTGTCTGTAAATGTTCCCGTTGGTCTGTTAAATTGGCATTTTGTGAGGCAGTCGCATTTGGAAAACGCAGTGAAAAGGTTACCGTAGTACACAGGCGAAGGCTGATTGTACAGTTTCGACAATAAATCATAATGCAATAAAACGTAAAGGTGTCATTTGAAATGAAAATGTTGAGTGTTACCATAAAATTACAAACGGTCTGAATCATGGACGAAGGTCATAATTAAGTTTCAGTATTGGACTCTTCAACAAACGTAAACTTGAACTTCTTACAATTTGCGAGACCGTCTGCGAGGAAAAAGTCGATTTAACTTTTATTGAAGTTGGTTCAACCATCTATATAAGAGCAAGTTTTACTCGGCCTCCGAGAAATGTTTGCTCCTGAAAGGATCCGAGACCGCGGTCTCCCTCGACACCAAAATGGCTCCACGTCCGTGGAAAAATGTGGGTGTCTTCCGCCGGGTCGGACACTTTTTCGTCGATTTTTTTGTGAATGCATCGATCCTTCGTTGACCCAAAACAGGCCCCCAAAATTATAACACGACACTGAATTATACGTGGCGGGCAGCGAACTCACAACGCTCAGCCTTGGTGGTGGAAGCATGGAGCTGTAAACACATTATGGAAGCAACAGCACTCTACACGTCACATGCTTGCGCTTCAAATAGCGAGCACCGTAGACCCAACCTCGTTTCCAGGGTGTGGAGCA